AGTGTACTTCTGAATATAGCAGTTGCTCATGCTCCTAATAAAGTCCCTGATGAAAAAGGATGAAAAGGCTTCAGGCTAATATCCTGTGATGATCTTAGCAATCCATTTCCTCTGAATTTATTATCCAGGATCACAAAACCCATACAACAAACTCTTATTCCTTGAATCATAGACACTCAAACATGAAGCCCTTCAGAAAGATATTGAATTTCTCTGACACACACACACACACACACACACACACACACACACACACACACACACACACACACACACAATCACTACCTGTGTCTCAGGGTGTCCTTCTGTGGTCCTCATTTTCTTTGCTCTAATTGTCTTCTGGCAGGTGAGTCAGACTTGGAGGTGGAGGCCAGTCTTCAAAATGAAACACACAAAAATTACAAGATTAATGATGATCTATATCTACTGTTTCTTTTCCCCATTTATGTTCCATAAGGCTGTCAGGAAGTGCTTTTAGCTTAAATGAACAAAATTAGCAGATGATCCAAATGCCGCTCAACTAAAGAGAGAAACATTAAGAATTTTCTAAATCTTTGATACAAATTAGAACAGCTTACACAGAATGTTTATATTAAACACAAAGCTGTACAATGACTTAATCAACCAATATGCAAATGTAAATTATGCAAAAGCTAAAGACCATTTTCTGTTCTAATGTAGTAAAACATATCTGCCTCTAGCTCCATCTTGTGGTACAGCCTTGAGTTGCAGCCAAAGTAGGGCTAACCTCTTGCTCAAAGAAGTTGTATGAATAACCACCTGTGGTCTAGTATTCTGCCAAATTATCCTATAGCAGGGTCTCCAGCCCTAGTCCTGGATTTCTACCTTCCTGTGGAGTCCCAACCCCCATCCGCCACACCTGCTACAGCAAATTAACTTCTTCAGACGTTTTTGATGGGTGGGATCAGATGCTTTAGTGTTAAGTGTTTAGTGATAAGGAGAGCACGGCATGTTAGAGGCAGGTTGCAACAAAGATACAGCAGGGGTGTCCAGTCTCATCCACAAAGGGCCAGTGTGGCTGCAGGTTTTCACTCCAAACAAGCTGAAGCACACCTGATTCTACTTGTTTAATCAGTTAGTCTTCAAACATTTCATCAGGTAACCCCCTGCTTTGTTGGCTTGAAGACCTGCAGCCACACCGGCCTTCTGCAAATAAAAATGGACACCCCTGATCTACAGAAAAGCAGATCTCCAGGAGGAGCATTAGTGACCACTGGCCTACAGGTGTGATATTTTGATAGTCTAAATCAGGGGTTCCCAGTCCTGGCAACTCAACACTTCGCACATTTTTGTGCTTTGTCTCATCAAGCACACCTGCTTCAACTCATTGACTAATTAACAAGCACCTCCTTAGCTGGGTCAGGTGTGTAGGGAAACCTAAATGCGCAAAACAAAGGGGTTGCCAGGACTCGAAAACCCTTGGAAACCTATGGCCTAAATGATCAGAAAATTATAATAGCATTAAAACTATAGGTCAGATGTTTTGATGGCTCAAATCAACTTATCAGAAAATGCTACCAGTTTTAAAGCCCTAGATGGGTTATTTTAATAGTCAGATATACACTTATAATACAGTTGTGGTAAGGCTAAAACAACATTAAAAACACAATAGAATAGAAAAACAAGATTATTAATAGCATACTAATGATGTGCACATGGACATCTTGATGAGTTGGACAAATTGTTAGAATACCTTGCATTGGACAAGTTGTGGCAAATTTTAACACACTGGAATGAAAACAACAAAAAGTATCCCTGGGGTCAGGAGTTAGTGTTCCAGGCCGCCTGCTGGAGCGAAAAAACTACCACCCTGAAAGAAAGAATGTACGTTAATTCAACCCAGCAGAGAGAGGAATAAGGGAGAGATAGAGGCATGAAAAGAACACAATATTTTGTCTTTTTTCCAAGAAGAAGAAGGTGGTGAGTTAGTCTCGTTGTAGCCACGCCCTCTTTTCAGAGTCCTTATATCTGAATTTTGTTTAATAACTAGGTTAGACCACAGCAGGTTGGAGTAATGCTGACAGTGGAGCCATATATATGCGGGAGGTGTGGCCATGCAAAGAAGCTCTCGTGAGGTGCCGTGGTCCCAGCGTTTTCATGGTTTATGGCAAGACCAAACATCATGTCTTACTTTAGGTTTCACTGCCCACACTAAAGGCCACACCTTGACTATGAAAGAATAGATTTGTAGAGCAAAGTTATGTAATGTGAATAATGTTATGCATGAGTTTGTCAGGAGATTTGCTATAAATACCAGGTGTAAACGTCGCCTCTAAGGTGGTGTATTTTTTTATTATTATGTAACACACTCTTACGTCGATATTTATGTTACTAATTACATTTAGTGCTTTAGTATTTTTAAATCACTTGGAGATAAAGATTGAATAGAGGAGATTACAGCTGCTGTTCATGTTTTAACCACCAGGTGTCATTAAAGTGCATCACTAACGTTCCGATTCGTCATGGCTTTTGTTGCTTCTATTGATTTAAGCCACGCTTTGATGGTTACCGTGCTGAAAAAAAAGAATGCCGTGCTGGTCTATGCTGACTTAGGCTGGCTTGGTGCTGGTCATGCTGGTTGATCAGCATCCAAAACATAACATATGCTGGTTTTGCTGGTGCTCAGCATATTAAGTACCATTGCTGCTGATCAGCATATCAGCATTCAAAACACAATACATGCTGTTTTTTCCTGTTTTTTTCTAGCAGGATAATTAGTATTATACACTGAGGCCAATCTGTCTGGTATGTTATACTGGAGTGACAGGTAAAATCAGTTCAGGCTGTGTCAGTGTTAGTTCTGTGCCATTGTTTCATGTCTAAGTAAATAGATTTGTCCTCTGTGGTGTCCAGCTAATGTGTTGATATATGGCATAATGTAGAATGCTGTACTGCTGATAAATGTTCTAAATAACTGGGGACAATGGTTGGTCAAGTAGTGGCCATCATAACTGACAATCCATAGGTGAACCAGTCCTGGCTCATTTATTAAACAGAGCGGCAAACCTACAGTGGACTGCTTTATGGCCTATGTCAGTGGTCATAGATTTCTGTCTCTGGTGGACCAATAAAATGTTAATACTAGGATAGTGTGGACAAACTCCACAAACACACTACAACACGAAGCCTGTGATTAGAAAAGAGGTGTGCCATGATTCAAAGATGGATTAAGGAACAACTCCCAGAGCAGGTACAAATACTACAACCTTAATGATTCACCAGTCTGAGAGAACAAAGACACTCAAGCTTTTCAAAATTGGTTTCATAAAGCACCATGAGACAAATATAAATTTGCTGAATTCCTCTGAGGTAAGTAATGTATGTTCTACTCCCTGAAGAAGACAAACAAGTACAGCTAGTTGGCTATAGTGAGTTACTACTAGCAAATACATATTGTAGTTTGCAAACAATCTGAAGAGAAATTGATATGTAAGAAAATTATATGTAAAGCTATTAATTCTTATTTTAGCATTTGTTTATTCGCTTCCAAAAAATTGGTTAGTTGCAGTAGCTGCTTATTTTTGCTGTTTTCCTATAGTCCTATGAAAATTGTCAATAAAAGTCATAGTAGTGCAGTACTGCAGCACTCATACACATTGGCCAAAATGAAAGTTACAGAAATTATGGTAGGTTTGACTCCAGGATGTTGGTCAGGGATCTGAAAAGTTCCCACAGCAGCAGAGACAACTAAAGTGCAGAGTGAGGGTCTATGCTGTAGTGCAGTGGGAAATTAGGACACAGACATACATAACCACCCATCCTCGCAAAATGCATGTAGCAGCCTCGCCACAAATGCAAACCAGTGAAAATGTTTGTGTGTTTATGTGTGCAACACAATGGAAATAATAATGTAATTTCCACTATTTATTTGCCCAGAGACTGGTGACCTGCCTTCCACCCAATGACTGCTGGGATAGGCTCCAGCTCCCTCCGTGACCCAGAAGGCTTATCCTTGTTTACAAGGATTGCATGAATGTATGTGTACAGTTGTGTGCTTTAAAATGTAGTATGTCTGAGGGTATGTTACAATATAATATTTTTATATGAACTATAATGGCAGTAAAGAAACACCCAAAGAATTAGGAGTGAGTGAACACAACATATTCTTTGTATTCATGCATATGTGTTTGTATGTGTGAAGTCAAGGAACACCCAGAAGTTCAGGAGTGAATCAGCAACACTTCTGTAACACACTTAAACATCTATTTATTAATGCATGTATTTATTCGGTAGTTAGCATTTAAATGCTATTCAGAAGCTGACTCTATGGTTGGCATATGGTTGGTGAGAGCTCCGCCATTGTGAGAGCTGGTCTTTGGCACGCAAGTGTAAAATATGTGGAAGATATTATAGGTATGAGAAACAGTTTGTAAAATAAGAATGAGAGTATTTGTCAAGGTACTAGAAGTGCCTATTTCTCTCTCTAAGATTGCAGGGTCTAAGAAAAATGGCTTATTTATGGACATATCCCTGCTAAAAATAAAAAAATAAAATAAAAATAACATAGACCAGCATGCATTTCATGCTGGTCTAAGCAGTTCTATGCTAGTTTATACTGATCTGGTGCTGGTTTAGCTGATCATCCCAGCAAGGTCATGCAGCGTACCAGCATCAAAACGCAACATTTGCTGATTTTAGTAGTGATCAGCTTATCAACTTCCATTGCTACTGACCAGCATACCAGCATCCAAAACGCAACATATGCTGGTTTTGCTGGTGACCAGCAATGTACTGTTTCTAGCAGGGATGAACCGAAAATGAACATTTATCAAAGGAAAGAGAGACTGCAAATTTTCCTAAACACACAAGGCAGTATTATTAGTTTGGGATTGCATGGCTGCCAGTGGTATAAAGATATTAACTGATGATCTAAACAGAATAAACAATAAAATACAAAATGAAAAGGTGTTTACAGAAATGTCTTGGGTTTTTAAGTCTTCAAATAATCGATGTGGGAACCGTGGGAGCCTATGTGCTGAATGTTTCCAGGGGAAGAATTAGAAGGGTGCAAAATTGTTGCCGCCTGTTGGTTGGAAAACGATGAATTTTCCCGGGGTTTCGGCTGGATAAAGTAAGACGTTTGAGTGGCCGATACAAAGAAGAAACAGAACCCTGAGTTGGTTGGAGTTAAACTTTGATGCTCTAAATGTAAACTACCACGCAAACGGGAGAATAGCCGAGTCAGAGCGGTCCTATCAGATTTGCTAGTTAGCATGAACTGGCTACTTGAGAGTAACCTTATTCCACAAAGCACAGTATCTCCGCAACGCTGAAAACATAAGCCGATAGCGAGGTCGGTCCAATTCTTTACTTCTCATTTTGGATCGGCTATGGACTTTGAATACAAGTTGTCCGGCTAACAGACATTGCTGGTGTTGTTCGGAAGCTGCTTGATGGCGAAAACAAGCAGTCATGCTGGACCTGCACGTCTCTCTCGAACATTATTTAACATCACTGCGATTCAACATTAACGTGAACACGTTCATACATAGCTATATAATAAATACTGACTGTATAACCTATATAGCGATTTGTGGCCAGACTATTTAGGCGAGGTCGTAATATTACTGATACTGAAATCCATACTGTTATGATCTGCAGCTTAGCTGTCAATCTCGGCTATTCTGCTTCTTTGTGTTGGCTTGTTAATGTGCTTTTGTTTATTTATGGAATGACACGGCACGTTATCTGCTTTTTACAAAGAAATTACAGTTAAAGCGTTAGCTTAACCTGCTAAATTTATGACAGCCTGTGCTGAAAGGTACCCGCCAGAGTCGTTTAGCTTTCTGGGCATGTGCAGACCCTGACACTGACGTCCAGCGTTGCCAAGTGAATGATAAAATCACCGATATACGATGTTTATCGCACAGAGGGCAAATTACATTTACAAATATGATAAGTAGGGAAATACATAGGTTAAAAAATATAAAATATACTATAATTTTTATAACTAAATTTAAAATTGTCTGATGGCTCTTTGATCTAATGGCATGATTTCTCAGCACCTTGGCAGCGCTGCTTGTGCCACATTTACTCCACAGCAATAAGTTAAAGCCTGTCCCATAAAACAATCCTGTGGTCCACATTTTGGCAGTGGCGTGTCCAGCCCAGTTTATTAGAAGTGACAAAGTATGTAAACCAATGTAAGCCAGTTTAACCCTCCTATATCTCTCTAAATAAAGGATAGAAATATTTTTTTCTTCATATTTAATGACTTTGCCTAATTTAATAGGGACAACACAATAAACATAAAATGATGATATGTTTTTAGTGTCCTGTACACAATTTTACACATCACTGTTCTTTGGGGTCCCCTGGCTGTTTTAACTGTATAAAACAAGAAATGTCAATTTTACACATACTGGTTTTGGTTGTTTTGGAAGATATTGAGGTCACTATAACATGCAATTTTATAATCCTCAAAACTTACCTCTGCTTTAGGGCGCTAACCTGACCATGCTTGTATTAGTGCGAGTCTCACACAACCTAGGGGAGGGGGAAACATATTTCCAACCAAAACCTTAAATATTTCCCAGAAGATAAAAGATGATCCCAAGAATAAAAGTTGTTAGTAAATTTGAAGATAACAGTAGGGTTAAAGCAAAAAGGGATTCTGGAAAGCATGATTACAAAAATTAAATGTGGCAAACTTTTTAGCCACTGGACATTAAAGCTGTAGATGTTCATGTCTAATAAGAAGGAAGTTTGAGTGACTGAAGCTGCCCCTAGGTGAGCTAATGTTAAAGCTAACACTGCAATATTATTGGATAAGGAGGACACAACAGCTTTTGTCAGACCTCAGGGAATGCAAAGGATTGCATGTGTATGGGTACATTATTATTAATATTTGCACAGAATGTTTTTATTAACAGTGCTGTTTAATCTGATGAAATTTCCAAATGATTGATCGGTGAAACTTACAGCTAACTTACATAGCTAACTGAGCTAAACATAGTACTTCAACAATAGTTACTAAACATCATATTAAGACGAATGTTAGCAAATACAGTAACCCAGATAAAGTTCACCCTACCTTAGAGCAAGCATGGATATTCTGTTTAATAGTGTGGTCTCCCAGTTACAGTGGTCAAATACCACATCTGTAACTTGAGATGTATGTCTGTGTCCATAAGCCATGATCACATCACATTTAAAGTGCTGCTTCAGGATATGTTTGGTTTATAAACCAAACCATATTTATTATTGTATGTCTCTTCTTCACTCAGTGGCTACAGGCACAGGGGATGAAGGCTTGCTTAATACTGTGAAAGAGTCTTTCCATAGCGTACTGAAGCTGGTGCCTCGTGGGCTGACCTTAGGGCCTTCTTTGGCTAAAGATGGGCAAATGGGCCTGTGGTGTGTGGGACGGTCATTACAGAATGGAACTCTCCTGGGGCTGGAAGAGCCAGCCACAGTGCCCCAGAGTGGTAAAACTGAAGAGGTATAGTACATGTTTACATATTTCTTCATATAAGTTATTGGCGTTGTTACCAAACAATGTGACTTGCTTAAAATGGTATCTTCATTTTGCATGTTTCAGAGAGCTGAAGTGGAAGTGTGCCAGAAAGTAGCTCAAGGCCAAATATCAGACAGAACGTATTGGATGAGGTATGATATCAGTTCACAGTCAAGATAGCAGGCATAGTAACTACCATATAGTTTTTGGTTCTGCAAAAAACAGAGGCCTGTAAACTAAGACAATTGTGCTACAGGCTCACTGCCACTAAATCAAATAATGCAGATAATTATTTACATCGTGTCTATTACTAAGCCCAGAACAAGAGACTATGATTAAGTTTCATCACTTTGTGATAGAAATTTTAGATTGCTTGTACTGTCTCACAACTGTCTACTACTGTCTAATATTGGCCTCTCCAGGTTTGCCTGTAGAGCTCCAAATGAAGATGAGAGGAATGTCCTTGTGCAAAAGGTGGATGGGAATCTGTGCCTCAGGACCTGTAAAGATATCAATCCAGGAACAGAACTCCTGGTTTGGGCAGAACTGCAGGAAGTTCATTCTGAATCTTTGGAGCTGGAAGAAAAGTCAAACATTGTTCCAGAAAAACCCAGTAAAGAGGGCACACCGTGCAGGGTGACAGTGGACGAATCCCTACAGCCTGGTCACATGGAAAAGGTCTCAGAGAGGGCAGGTATGCTGATGTGCCCTGTTTATACTGTGCAGGCAGCTTCTATAGATGCTGCAACATGGCTTTTGTGTCACCTAACCCTTACTGTAACATGGCAGACATTGTCCCTATTTTAATGCATGTATGTAAAGTATTGAATTAAGTATTATTAGAAGTAGCCCATGAAAAGGAATGTTAAATTTAAAGACAAAATTATGCTCCCGATATCTGTGCCCCTTTGAATACTAGATCTATTTTATTATCACTAATTAATTTTTTAATGGCCATGAAATGAGGTGCTAAAATTTTTAAACATATTGTACAGCACAGCAGTCCTAGGGACATTATGTGCTGCACATAGTTGTCTAGTTCTTCAAGAACAGGTATATTAGAGAAGGGAAAACATTTGCAGTGCTTAGTAGAGATGGGAATTTTGGTTAATTCTTTTGATCGATAACTGACTGTCATGAGTCACTGATTAATCGTTCATCTACAAGCCTAAAATCACACACGCAATCCGATATATAATATTCAATAACAAATTACATATATATTCAATATAAAATTAATTTATATTAAATTAAAACACACAGACAGATATGACAACAACATAGTGTAGTTTACATACTTACGTATACCATATTATTAGCTCATGTCATTGAACAAACATGGCCTGACTGGAACTAGCTTAAAGTCCATATGCGTCATTTAAAGAACAGTTAACACAAAGTCAGTAGCTCGCAGCTTTTAACTACTATATAGGCTGATCACTACCTAACAAACACTATGTTAGCCTACAAATGCTATAGCTTAAGGCTACATTCAACAAAAGCAACGTGACATTTAAGAAAAAGTCAGTTGTAGCCTACCTTAGCACTGTGTCATGTAGCTAAGTCTCCTAGTAATTTTTGATGAAAAATACCTACATATCCAAATGAGCAGGGATCAGTCTTCTGTGCGATCTGGAGTCATACACTGTTGACTTTCCGCCAATGAAGCTTGTTAAAATAGCTGTCTATCATTGTTTCAGAGTTATCAACTTGAGATGAGTAGTGTTCACCCAGAAGAAACATCTTGGCATTTTTCTTGCCTGCTCTCTCTCCCCGGCCCTGATGTGTGATTTCCGCACTAGCAGCCATACCTCTGCTGTCTGTTTGTTGTAGTTATATCTCACATTATTTTGCTTTTAGCAACTGCCTCTTTGCTGTTGAAATAAGTTGCGTACAATTCAATATGGTACTCAAGTTTCAAATATCAATTGTTTAACCAAAAGCATTAGTCGAACATTTATGTATTTGTCGGTTAATGGTTAATCGATTAATAATTAACTTTCCTAGTGCATAGGGTTCTCTGTGACTAGGACTGAAAACATTGCTTTGTAGATCTCTGTGAATTTTTGGATTTCTTTTTTTAAAGTACAGATTGACTTCTAATGTTTGACATTTGCATATCTCATAGCAAAACTACTGAAGGATGAACATCCATTTGGCTGTTCGGGAGAGGCTCACGAAACAAGAAGTCCGTACATTCAGAGGAGGAGGCCTCTAATCTGTAGAGAGAAAAAGAATCCAGCACGCAACTCTCAAACCTGTGAAACTTGTAATCTGGAAGAAAATGCTGTGGATGAGACAGAAGACAGAAATCAGCAAGAAACAGTGGCTGCATCTGGTACTAGGGAGCTGGACAACATTAGTGCAGCCACAGTGCAGGAACAGCTTAGAGGAGCTGTGAGAGCCAGCTGTCGCCTGGCAGCTAAACCCCGCAAAGTACATTCACTAAGCCGGAGCATGCACAGGCAACAGCAAGGGGAGAGAACCCAGACTTCTTCCTGTGTTACGAAAAAGTCTCTGACTAAAGAAACTAGCACTGAAACTAACACTGAAAATGGACATGCACTTGAAGACAGCTCGATCCACAGAGATAAAGCTAACTTAGACAAGGAAGAGGGGTCCAGTAAGGTGCACAGAGGTGGGGGGGGTTCTCCAGACTTTCAGTTGAACTTACGAGATCGGAAATACAAGTGTGACCAGTGCGCCAAGTGCTTCTTTCAGCTGTGCCACCTAAAGAAGCACAAGTTCACACACTCAGGGCTGAAGCCATATGCTTGCACAGAGTGCGGCAAAAACTACAGCTCCCAGGAGAGTTACCATGCCCACTTGCTCATGCACCGTGGCCAGCGGCCCTTCAAGTGCCAGCAGTGTGACAAGAGCTATGGCCTCAAACGTGATCTCAAGGAGCACCAGGTACTCCATACGGGTCAGAAGCCCTTCATCTGCGACGTCTGCGGCAAGGCTTTTGCTCGCAGGCCCTCATTGCGTATCCACAGGGAAGCCCATAAAGCCAAAGAGGCGGCCTACAAGGCACCAAGGATAAAATGCCCAAAGTGCGACAAGGAGTTGGCTAACTCAGGCTCCCTGCGAAATCACATGCGACTGCACACGGGTGAGCGGCCATATGTCTGCCCGCACTGTGGCAAGAGCTTCCGCCAGTGCGGGAATCTGCAGGGTCACCTGCGCATTCACACAGGAGAGAAACCATACAAGTGCAAGCACTGCGACCAGTGCTTCTCGCAGGTGCCTGAGCTGCGCCGGCACCTTATTTCCCACACAGGTGAGGCATACTTGTGCCCCATGTGTGGTAAGGCCCTGCGTGACCCTCACACGCTCCGGGCCCATGAGCGCCTGCACACCGGTGACAGGCCCTACAAGTGTGAGCAGTGTGGGAAAGGGTACACCATGGCCACCAAACTGCGCAGGCATATGAAATCTCATCTGGATGAGAAGCCACACAGATGCGAGGTATGTGGAGGCAGATATACTCTAATGCAGAGTCTGCAGCGTCACCTTCGATCACATACAAAACAGACAGAGACTGGACAAGCAGCCAGAGGGAGACCTAGGAAGGTGACCCATAGAGAGACTGGGCAGTTGGGGCCTGGTCATGGTAAGGAGAAAGAAGAGCAGAGTTTGGTTTATGTTCAGACCCTGGGTGACCTCAGTGTGGTGCCTCATTCTGAAGAAGTCATTTTAAGCACCAGAACATTCCAAGAGTCTGCCATTGTAGCAGGAGCTGAAGAAGGGCTAGAACAATCTGAGCTAAGTGAGGACATTGCAGAAAATATTGTGTCAAATGGCAGTGCTAAGTGTATTGTTGTTGAAGAACAGGATTCTAATGCTAAGTGTATAGTTTTACAGGATCAGGAAGAGAATGCTAAATGTATTGTTGTGCAAGAGCATGTTGATAATAGTAGTGTGGTTGTATTACAGGGCCATGATGATCTGAACACTGTGGCAGAGACCATTGAAATAGAGTCAGCCATTCAAGGCTGAATATGAAGAACATGAAAACAGATACTAATGGCCATTAAAAACTGCTCAGAAGTAATAGGCTTATTGTGTCATTTGATTTAAAGGTTAATCTGCAGTGGCAACATTTGAGTTAAAGACGTCAGTAAATATTGACTCATCTGCCCACTGAACCTTGTGTCATCAGTGTTTGTTCCAGATGTACACGCAGTTTCACAAAACAAAACTCTGATACACGAATATGTAAGAAAAGTACACTGATTACTGGTGTAGGTAATGCAAATCTGTGTCACTGGTGTGTTATTATGGTTCAAATCATACAATCCTTTACTTGCACTTTACACAGTTTGTTAATCAGTTTTACAGAATTCTGTCTTTTGGCAAAATAAAAGAACATTAAGAAGATGGGATCTCAGATCTTCCTTAGTGTTGGGCCTCATTCACCAACAGTTCTAAAGAAGAAATTACTTCTTTAAACCCACTTACGCAGGTTTCACGAAGGTTCTGACATTTACCAATGTTTTCTTATTTGGGATTTGTTCTTAGGTAAGAACAGAATCTACACACACTCAAGAGCACAAAGGTGAGAACAGTACTGCGCTATAAGAACACGTCATGAATCTGACATAGAATTTTTCTTAAAACCTTTCTCAAGAACATGTTAAAGAAAAAGATATTGGTGAATGAGGACCACTGACTGTATTTGGTGTTCTTTTTCCCCTTTTTTCAGAGTCTGTCTTTAGAAGTAGGCCCATAATGTAATTGACTAATCACAGTTCTTCAGGATGACATCTCACAGCAAGCAGAGAAAAGCTTGGGCAGTGGGACAGGTTCTTTTGGCAAAATGGAAGGAAGGTGTTTCAGAGATGTACAGTCTTGTGCAGAAGTCAGAGACTACCCGTCATTCATTGAATGTCTTTTATCTTTTATCTTAAATACAGAATCTACAGAAATCTACAGGAATGTTTTTTTCCAAATACAAAAATATGATTTTGCTAAGAAGCCAGTTGCCTCTCGCTTGCAGTGTAGCATATTATTTTATTTTATGCTGTTGAAACAAAACAACTGATTTTTTGATTAGGAATTTAAAATGACAGTTTGGCCATATAAAGAGCAAATAATGTACTCGAAATGTGCAATTGTGTTGATTAAGCCAGTGTGAGTTTTGGGTAAAAAAAGGTTGGCTACTAAAAATCATCCATCTGCTAATTTGGCTGTAAAGTAATCGGAATCAGCTATAAAAGTCCATTATTGGTGCATCTCTATAACGCATAACTGTCAGAGATTACATATGTGGTAGGTTCAGTTTTAGTGACGACAGTTCTGATCATTGTCATGTTTTCTTTTCCTTTTTCATTTACTGGATGTTCCATGTATTTGTGTGTTTAGATTAGTGTTCAACTAATATGTAGCCCTGGTTGACACTGGTTGTCTTGGCTAACAAATACTGTTAAAATGTAAATACCTGGTTTTACATGATATATCAATTTTGCTCAGTAAAAAATTATAACTTACTCATTTTATTATTTGATTCATATCATATTAACATAAAGAATGTTCTAGAGTGTCCTAAGACTGTCCTAGAACATGAGGGCTGAATCACTGTTTAGAGTGATAGGAGCTTGGACACAATCTCTGTTCTCTTTGAACTCCAGTAGTTCAATATTAACTCAAGAGCAGCAGGGTAAGATTTTGTGGGATTTGGTAGCAGCTCTTCAGCTCTGTGTGATGTTTCAGGTCTTTTCAGGATTGTAGGCACTCTAAAAGAATGGGAGCAGTACCAGCACCTCTCCTGGTTACACTTCTCCTCAGCCAAGTGCTCCAGCTTACACTCTGTTACGATGGTAAGGCCTTTATAACTCTTGCTGATTTATTTCAACATCAATCAGTCACTTGTGTCATTTGTCTTACAGAATAATGCACCTTTGGAATACAAGGGTTACAGTTGCTTTTTGTATATTTTGTTTTTGGCAGTTTTTATCGATGGCAAGAGAGCCTCTCAAGTTATTCGAGTGAGGAGAGCAAACACACCCTTTGAGGAGCTGAAGCAAGGAAATCTGGAGAGGGAGTGTATAGAGGAGATCTGTAGCCATGAGGAGGCTCGAGAAGTGTTTGAGCAAACTGATAAAACGGTGAGGAAAGTTGCATTTTGCTACACAGCCACATGGAAACATATTAAACATTATAAGTATAGAGCACCTCTAAATGTAAGTCTTACTGCACTGTGTAAGATTTAAAAATGTATAGCTATCTTTTAAAGGCAATATTTGGTTCATCTAGCATTTAATCACTTTCTACAAATAAAGTGTTGTTATATTGTTACATCAATTTCTTTTATTTCTTTTCTCTTTCTTCTAGACTGTATTTTGGGAGAAATACTTGGGTAAGACATTACACTTAAAACATACTTATTGGTAGCAGGGCCAGCAGTGACCACATTTTGTGTAAATATGCGATATTGAACCAGGAGCAAAGTGCAAATTTTCACCAGCTTTTTTTTCTGAGTAAACCCTGGTGGCTGATTTCGAAGGCTGGGTCCTCATAGATGGTTCATCTACACTAACATTTCTAATATCAGTGAATGCCAAGACAAAAAGACAGCTAACTTTGTTTTGTAAAAAAATACAACTGTATCATAAAATAATATAAAGGAAAATTTTACAACAAAGCCAAGATTGAATAAATATTAGAATGGACCACATATTATTTTACAGTATTTCTTTAATGTTATTTCCATGTGAAACGTGTGCATATCAGTTCAATATTTGAACTTTTAATCAATAATTGTAGGTTATGATGTTCAGTCACATTGTATCAAATTGTTAAATGGTCAGTATAAAATCTTATGACATTATTACATCTGATGTACATAGATAAATAACATCCAAAAAATTATTTACATGGAAAATTGGCTTTCCACGACCTGTACTAACATGATTTTAAAGGAAACTGAGAAGTCTTGGTATTATAAATCATGGCTGGGCTTGTCCACGTTTGCTTTGAAATCATGAAAATAACATTCCAGGTTAATCTCAGTGGTATCTAGCAAATCACTTATGAAATGATTAGAGCAAATTCTTCATGTAGAGCACAGGAAACAAATTAAGGCTCATCTTGGACTATTTTACACAGTCAGTGGAGCTTCTCTAAATTCTTTTTAGGCTTAATCTGTCGATCAAATCAGACCATAATGAATTAGCATTTTCCTTTTTTGCACTTTTTATATGTACTTTATGTTGCTTTTTCAATCATAGCTTGTACTGGCAGCACATTAAAGAGGACTGCAGAAAATATTGTCAAAATTAGAACTTGTATACGTCTGACAGGTAAGAACAACATATTAACATTTTCCAGACATTGTGCATATATTATGATGTATCCCTAGTCTATTTTATATCAAGTGAGTTTGAGAGACGGTTAAGTATGGCACTGCCTGTATCTTAACTGTTAAACTACAAGTAAATTACCCGATATGTGAGGATGACGAATCCACAGAGTGATGTAAATGTCTTTTGAAAAAAACGAATAAATAACTATAGAAGTATATTAATAGCGGTGAACAGACAGTTTCCTTTTAAGATGATCTTTAGTCAACCTTTAAATACAACTACAGACAGTCCATTGAGAAACATGGGGAAACTGTGACGTTCTTCTCAAACGAGTTTAGGTAACTTCTATCACTTCACTTAGTAGAGCAGGGCGTTTCATATCTGAGTTGATTTGTTTGTGCTGCACAGATAGTAGCTGCTACCTTAATATTGGTGAACACTACAGTGGTAATGTCAGCATCACTGTGTCTGGAAAGACATGCCAATACTGGAAAAGCAACTTCCCCCACAAAATCACGTATGTACTGTTCATTCTAGGCCTCAAATTGCTGTTGCTGCCACTGATGCTACTTGAAAATGGGACTCCACAGAGCTGCCTGAATGTTTGCATGAAGACAATTGTTTGTTCCCATTTTACAGTTGCGTTTTAGATTAGATTAGATTAGATTAGATTAGATTGGATCAGATTCAACTTTATTGTCATTGTGTAGAGTACAGGTACAGAGCCAATGAAAAGCACTTAGCATCTAACCAGAAGGGCAAAATACATTATTAGTTACATATAAAATTGAGTGTGCCAAACTGGAGCACTGCAGCAATATATTTACTATTTGCTATAAGTACTTGCTACAACACCTACTTATCCAGCAAATTATGAAGAGCCATAATTTTCTGGGAAGCTCAATTGGGGTTCATCAAGGAAAACATAAACATTGAGGAGCTGTGGCCTTCCAGGACCAGAACTGCACATATTTTAAAGCATCATTCTCTGTCACATTGACTACAAAACACAGTTTTTGTTCAATTGTTGGTCTTTTAATTCATTGTTATTTATTCCCAGCGAGGTTAATGCAACAGAGCTGAAGCTTCCAGAGAATTTCTGCAGGAACCCAGACAAGAGCCCTAGCGGACCCTGGTGCTTCACTAGTGACCCCACTCTCAGGAGAGAGAAATGCGCTGTGGCAAAATGCGGTACTTACATTAAAGCAGGCTTTACTCAGGATGCTAAACACTGTCTTTATCAGTTTCCTATAATGAGTGCACTCTTTAGGATGGAATGGAATGGAAGGACCTAACTGTGAAATTCAATTATGTATTTAAAATCAAAACTATTCTTCTTTTAACATCATATTGCTACTGTCAAAACAAACCCTAGATTTTTCCTTTTTTTTCCTTTCTTCCTATTTCTCATAATTTAAAAAACCCAACTGACCTTAAATTGTGTGAAAATTTGTGATGAACAGAAATTCCAAAAATCTTGTTACTTTGAACACATTTTCATAGCCTTTAAGGTTCTTTCTCTTCACAACTTTGTGATTTATTTGCCAGGTAAATTATGGAAATTTAGCATGATTTTATAATATTTTTTAGATTTTTTTTTATTTTTTTTATTTTGATGTATGAAAACTGTACAGCCAGGAACTATACATGCTACACAACACATTATCCTCTAGGTTAGTTTTACTGGTGATTAAAAACATTTTTGTTTACTTTGCACATATTTATAGAATGTACTTTGCAACCATTGTTATGGAAGAAAATCTCTTTGTATGTGAATGTTTGGCGGAATCACTTTCTCCCTGAAGAGCAACAGATCTTTCTCATTCTGGGCAGCAAACCGTGGGTTCTTTTTTTAATTCCATAAGTTCAGCCAATAGAGGTGTGTTTATATGTCAGCTGCTGTTTTCCCCTCTCCACAGGTGAGGCCTTACAACTTGTTCCAACTGTCCCTGTAAAGCAATGTGGGACCTGCAAGCCTAAATGTCTTGCTGGCAGTGGGGAGACCTACACTGGAAATTTGTCTGTGACTCTGCATGGCCACACCTGCCTGGACTGGAGCCTGCCCAAAGTAAAGGCCCTGAGTGTGGGGAACGATTTCAAACCAGAGGTGCAGCTATTGAAGAACCACTGCAGGAACCCTGATGGAGATCTGGAGGGACCATGGTGCTATGTGAAGAGTGCAGCTGGAAACATCACTATGGACTACTGCAATCTAGAGCTGTGTGGTGAGCTCAATTCAGTTTAAGAGCTCATTTAAGATGAGGCGTATGGTCAGAAATAAAACTTGTACAGACAAACAGGTTCTCAATATTACTTTTAATCAGAACATTTGTTGAAGTTAAATTAATTTCCACTTTGTCTTTCAGATGCTCCACTGGAAGGGAAGGTAGAGGAGGAGTCAGATCGAAAGAGGACAACCAGTGAGAAAAGGAGTAGTTTCTTCAGGCCTCGCAGCTTTGGCCAAGGAGAAGATGGTAAAAAATGTAGCAACTACAGAAATTGTGACTTTGTTCTCATTTCAGTATGTTTAGAGAGGCCAACATGTACTCAGAGGAACCACACCTGTCCATCTATAGAATTAAAGCTATGCAATGTGTAACTATAAGTAACTGTATCTTATTATATGGAGATTGAGGACGTATGAACTGGGTTAGTGTATCTGCATTTAAGTTATTAGTTAAAATATAGTTATTAGTTATATACACACCTTGTGTATATTGTTACAGCACTGGGACATTTAAATTCATTAAGAATACATCATACCTTACAGCATTTTGTACAAAAAGGAAAATTTTACATTACTGTTCTTCACTAAAGGCACTTAAATTGATGTTTAGATTTGGATTTTGAAGTTAAAGTCACAATTTGGTTTGATGTTTGATTTGCTGAAACATAAACACAATAACACTGAACTCTCTCACCACATTGTGGACCATGCCAGACAGCATAGAAGTGTACCCTGTTATCCATCCACTGTGAATTGAAAATATCAATGGTTGCTGCTTTTGTTTTAAGATAGAATTAGAAAATTGGAACATTAATTCATTTAATGAAGGTAATATAGTCAACTGGTGGTCCTATTTCTTCTTTAGAGTGTTTAAAATCAAACATTTGTTTTGACTGATTTTCAATTCATGATTTTACACCAATACAAATGTAATATTTTTCTAAAGTAATAAGTGTCTCTATAAGGCTGCCCTGAAATTCACATTTCATTGGACAAGAAAAATTCACTGCATTTCTTTCATAAAAGCACTTGTCTTCATTAAGGGATTTACCATTAATTACATTACTTAAGGCTAACAGTTACCTCAGCTTTTTTTTTTTCAATAAAAAAAAAACATGATGGAATATTTTGTCCTTGCTTGTGCTTTCAGAATGTGGAGTGCGCCCCCTGTTTGAAAAAGTCGGCAAAGCAGATGAAACAGAGGCTGAACTCATCAAATCATATGCTAAAAGAATTGTGGGAGGTGTATCTGCTGAAGTAGGAAGTGCTCCATGGTAATTAAAGTAGTTTACTGTTCTTTATAAGTCTTGCTCACAGTTATGTCATCACTGATTAGTCTTTGCTGTAAGGTTAATAGTTTGTTTGATTTGCAGACAGATATGATGTCTATTGTGTTTGTTCTTATTTACAGGCAAGTGATGTTGTTTAAGCGTAGTCCACAGGAACTGCTGTGTGGAGCCAGTTTGATCAGTGACCAGTGGATCCTCACTGCTGCGCACTGCATCCTCTATCCGCCATGGAGCAAGAACTTCACTATTGATGACATTCTTGTCCGCCTTGGAAAACACCATCGCGCTAAGTGAGCTTCTTCCTAGCCATTAAGTGCTGAAAGTACTTTGAAGTCTTATTTATTTGTACCACAAATCATACCACTGATTCATACCAAGGAACCAACATACATGCAAACACAGTCAGTGGCTGATTTGTATTTGTATTGTAAAACAAGTGCAGGTTTGTGCAGCGTAGTGGGTAATAGTGCTGCCTCCTATGCAGCAGACTGAGGTTTGATTCCCCACCTGGGCAAGCACGCTATAAAACATCCTTGAGCGAGATTCTTAATGCTACATTTTGGTTGTTTGTAGGTGGGAACAGACCTTCTTTTCTGTGTCTGTGATTTAGGTATGAGAGGGGCACTGAGAAGATTGTGGCAATTGATGAGATCATCGTTCATCCTAAATATAACTGGAAAGAGAATCTGAATAGAGACATCGCTCTGCTGCACATGAAGAAACCCGTCACCTTCACTAATGAGATCCACCCTGTCTGCCTGCCCACCAAAAGTGTTGCAAACTTGTAAGGCAGCCTATTAGAATTGTTTTACATTAAGTTATAGGTTATAGTCCAGTTACAGGTGTACTGTTATCTTGTCCTACAGGTCATTAAAGTTGTAGGTGGATTCTGGACTGAGAGAAGTCAGTGTTTTTCCCCATATTTATTTGTAGAAAACAACAGATTCCCTTTCTGTATGTAGATTGATGTCTGAAGGCTTCAAGGGCCGTGTGACAGGCTGGGGTAACCTGAAAGAGTCATGGACGTCAAACCCTCAGAACCTGCCTTCAACGCTACAGCAAATCCACCTGCCTATTGTCAACCAGGACGTCTGCCGCAAGTCCACCTCTATCCGTGTCACTGACAACATGTTCTGTGCAGGTAAGGAGACACCCTGTGTAGTAGTAAGTATTTAACAAAATATCACCCAACTTGGACTCTTCACTGCCTCTTTGGAAGATTTGCTTTATCGGTAGAACATATGCCTTTTCTCTTGCAGTTGCCAAGTTAGGAATTTAAAATCTATACTACTACATCTTGCAGAGGAGCCCTGAAGGAAATAAAATGCATTAAATCTCGCAGGTCAGGTTGTAATCATATACTTTATTTTTAGGTTACAGCCCAGATGACACACAGAGAGGTGATGCCTGTGAAGGAGACAGTGGAGGACCTTTTGTAATGAAGGTAGAATTAATTATTGTTTTTTGTTTTCTTTCTTCATCTTTAAAGATTATTTTATTCTGTATATACTAGTATATACACAGTATATTAGCTTTGATTGAATCCTCCCTCCTACCCCCTGTAGAATCCTGATGATATGCGCTGGTATCAGATTGGTATTGTCTCATGGGGTGAGGGCTGTGACCGGGATGGTAAATACGGATTCTACACTCACCTGTTCCGCATGCGCCGCTGGATGAGGAAGGTCATCGAAAAATCGGATTCTACAGATGATGACTGATGTCCTTGAGACCACACAAGAGTGAAACCAATCTCTCTAGAGTTTTATCCAACTGCAAATAAAATTTGATTCTTCACAATGTTTTATCATGTTTAATCTGGATATTTTTTCTTAATAATTATTTCATATATGTGGAAATCCCTTAATAAATGGCAAGAAGCTAAAGTATACTAAATAAAACCGATACTGCAACTGAGAGCAACAATAAAATATCCAGTGCAAGTTATCCAGTCATGGTGAATATCAAGCGTAATTCTTGATCTGGTAACTACAATTCCCGTAAAACGTGTGCACTGCAAATTAACTTGAAAAGGCTTTTGAGAAATGCTGCTCATTTACACATGTAATATTAAGGCATATGATAATAAATATGTATATCAAATGAATCGTCCTGAACGCGGGCTTTTATGGTGAAATAATGTTGAAAGGCTCCAGCCGGAAGCGCCGCATTGAATTAGCTTGATTGTCAGAGAGTGGAGAAATACTCAGTCAGGAGCTCCGAGCAGCAGGTAAAGCATTCAGTTTTCACTTTAGCATTACGTGTGAGTTTTAGATGCGCATGTTTACTATTTCAAGTCATAATGTTCTCTGTATTGTAAGGAGATAAAAGAAATACTCTCGAATGCATTCCTACTGAAATGAAAACAGGTTGCTGGCTAACCTTGTTAGCATAACAGCCCTCTCTGCTTAGAAAATGGTTTATGCTGTTTAGCTCGTTAGCTTTCTGCAGCGTAGAGATGTGGATACTGAGCAACGAGTCACCAGCTATTTAAGATGTTTTTCCTAACACAAACGTTAGAAACTCAGCCACAAACTGACTTCTGTAACCTAGTTAGGCTAGCTATTTAAACACGTCAGTTAATTAACCCTAATGTTTGGTTAGCTTACGGAGCTGGATAGCCGTTTAAAACCTGCGAGCGGGGCTCATACATCAAGATTCAAGGTAAACTAGACTCCTGTCTGTGTATTAACGTTATACAGTCACCTTCATCTAAAGACTGTCAGTAGTGTGTCTAGATGTCCGGTCGGAGAGATAAATATACAAAGGCTGAGGCGTAACTACATTGTTGATATGAAGACTGCTGGAAAGGTTGTAAAATTCACTCGTTAGTTGTGTTTACATAGCGCAGTTTAACTATGTTAGGTTACTTCACAAAACGGTTGAAATGGGCAGTGGAATAAAAAAAACGCTTACTGCAGGCTTTAATACCGTCACGGGTCCCGATCAACGTTGAATAAATGGTAACCTTGTTGCACCCTGGATGTACACGGACTGTAATGACGTGGAACCTATAGACGCCTTTTTTCATAGATTGTAGAAAGATACAGTAAGGTACCTATAGGTACTACTGCCAATACATAATAGCGTATCTAACGTGTTAAGTTTAATTTAACCTCCTGTGCCCCTGCTGCTGCTCGAGTTCCTGTTACTGGAAGACGCGGGCTTTGTTCTTGTGTTCCTGATAGAAAGAAAAAGAAGCATTGCCCACATTAGTTAGGTTAGCTTCTTGTATTATTGGCGATGCAGGATTTCACTCTAAATGTCGAATAATAATAAAAGAGCCGATGCTTATGTTGACTAATGAGAACAGTGAAAGTAACCTACACGAAGACCAGAACTTGAGGCGAATTTAAACCCGTTTTTCCTCAGCACTTTTTTACTCTCAAGTGTTCTCTAAAATACAGCTACATATCAGTATTTTATCACTACTGAAACATGAAAATATTCGCGGATAGAGTTTTACCACACCTCACTAACCGAAAATTGTGGTTAGTGAGCAACCTGTCAGAAAACGAAGGTGGAGCAGTTAGCAGCGTCGCTAACCTGTCAGTAATGCCGTTAAATGTCCGTTCAAATAAATTTAGATTTAATTTGCATGTGTGACCTGGAGTGCTATACTGTCATTAATAACCAGGCAGGGTGTGTCCATATCAGGCTTTAAAAGGAACCTCACAAATTTTCGCCATTCTGCTCGTTAAACTGCCCTGTGTTTTGCTGCCTCCTCTGACAGAAGAGACGACAGAAGGTGATTTTCTTCACAGCTCTCGGTTTCCTCTCATCGTGTTAGCGACCTGCGAAGACATTAGCGAAACCACATGATGTTGCCGAGAGCTTCAGAACAAGCACACCAATACATACATATTCACACCTGTTCACCTAAAACGTATCTTTTTCTCGTTTACATTCACTGGCAGATGGTTCATAGACGTGTCATTTTTGATAAGCCCTTAAGAGACGCGTGAAGAGGAAACTGAGGCGACAACGAACACAAGACAGCATTACTGCTATTAGTGTTACACCACATTTTGTGGTACCAAACAGAATAGCTTTCTTTCACGTGGTTTAGTAGTATCTGTTGAGCATGCCTTGGGCTGCAGAGCATCAGGGATTGAAGACCTGAAAGAGTAACATTGTTATGTGCTCCAAAACTAGGTGCCCTCGGGAGCTATTGAAGGCAGTGGAGAACAGGGCCTGAAATGTGCCAACCGGTGGATGATGGCCTAAAATATCACAGGAGAAAAGACTTTGAATTTTACATTGCTTTTACCTAATCAACAGTTTAAAATCTCAAGGCTTGGCTAATACAGTCATATAATTGAGATACATGCAGTGTCAAAAGAAACAAGTGGCAATGTTTAGTCCTTATATAATTTTAGGATGTTAAAAATATCTGGGCCTTATGTACTAGTTAACAATATACATTTAGACAGTGAACATCTTAGACTTTAAGATAAGAAACAACTTCAGTGTAGTTATCCGTTATATTGAATCGAAGTAAAGTGCTGATCTGATTAGCATTATTATATTTATTAATATTTTGATAAAGTATGTTATCTTGATTAAGTACATTTATATATTGTGAATATTAACAGTACTTAAAGAACTCTGATCTACTCCATGTTTCATTACAAAGAAAGCATAACTATGCCTTTTTAGTTGGATTTAGTGTAGTTCACTGTCTAAATGTATATTGTTAACTGGAATAAAATGAAATTTCATGCTGCTTATCGCGTATTGTGAAAATTTCTTTAAGTATCCTATATTTTTGACATTTCGCCCAGCCTCTTTCTGTGATCAGATTTTGCCTTACACCTCCTAATAGCTACAGTTATGTGGCCTGATGGGTGCTGATCGTGGATCAGCGCTGTCTTTTGAAGTTGCTGGAGTTGTGCTGGCCCAGTTCATGGTGCCAGTTGGCAATGCAGAGCATTAGGCAGTGGCTGGAGTGTGTTTAAGTGGCACTGATGTGTGTGGCTGCCGTTTCTGCACAGCTGGGCAGCCACAGAGCCACAATTCTTCCTCCCCCCTGCTCACCCGCGATATATAAAGAAGAGAAATGTCACGGCAGATCAGTATCTGAATCTAGCAAGCACTCGTGCTTTAAGCCTTACGGCCAGGCGCGGGCACGCACGCTCTACAAATTTAAAAGGGTCTCTACTCATTTTGATGTGACACGTTTACAATAGGTTGTTAGATCACGCTGTTTGAGGCATTTGTCTTTTTTGTTATAATTAATTTTATTATGTACTGAAAATGTAGAAGCAGGCCGTAAGTAGCATTATGTAGTACTTATTTCACACAGTAGACTGTATTTCTACTAAAATTACAAAAGCTCAGTGAAGCTGTTATCACTTTTCATCCCTTGTGGTGAGCAGCATGATTCAGGCTGTATGGATATATGAGTGTATGATAGTGAGCATGAGAAAGAGACAGCAGTTTGTGATGAATGATGGTGAGCACAGCAGTGGTACTGCACAGTGAGAGAGAGGGGGGGGCGGGTTGGGGTGACCTCTGGGCAGCAAAGACATTATTAGATGATGACTCCGAGGAAGCCAAGAATAAACCCAGTTCATGAATCTGTGTCTAAAATGTCACCCTATGCTTTTGCCGCTGATGAAGATATGTTTCCTCAGACTAGGGTGTGTATTTGGGTTTATTTGTGGATGATGGTTTGACAGTTTCCTGTTTGACTGATAGGGCTGGTCATCGTTCAAAAATATTTGATTTGCAATACCAGTACTTTCACTTCAATATCAGTTGTACTACTACTGGCCTGTCACGATCATATTTTTTTAAATTGTATATAACTGTTACAGTAAAAGCTTAAAGTGACCAAAGTAGCTGTTTAGTTATCTTGCTTCTTAGCGGTCAAAACATTGTAGCTCCCACCTGACGACGACACAGCTCGACGACTTAAACTTCACTGACCGCTGCCCTCTAAAGGTATTAACATCAAATAAACAAACATTTCTCACCACTGCTCTCTAAAGGTCTTATTAACTAATATCACATACACAAGCATTACTCACCGCTGCCCAATAAAGGTGTTATTAACAAACGTCAAATAAATAAACATTAGTCTCTACTGCCCTCCAAAGATGTTACTGCACCAAGTAGTAAGACCAATGTCAATAAATTATTTAAGTCAACTTAAATAATTATGATTAGTTCAAATAATTTTGATAAGGCAATTATGTAATAATTCTGATAGGCCTTAGTTTCTTTTACTTTCCAAACCAAAAGACAGCCAGTCACTCACATAGTGCCACTTATAGGACTGACTTTATAGGTATTGAAATTTGGTGTTAGAATACGTAAATGTTTTCTTTTTGAATACTCTGTAGTATTGAAGTCATTTCCTTCAGTACAACATAACTGTTGAATTTTCTATACAGCCTGTTGAGAGACAGGTGTATTTGTATGGCTGTATGTATTATTTTTAGTATTTGTAAGCATATGTCTTTGTGTTTAACAGGTCCTTGTTTGTAGTATTGTTGTAGAGGACCATCATGTCCTCGGATTTGCTGGTGGACCTGCATGATGACTTGGGTGGAGATGACTCTCCCAGCGCTGCTCTGGACCAGCTCAAACTGGTGCAGGACAAACAGTGGCCACCAGATGACCCTGTCAGCATCAGCAAATCTGGTGAGCGGCCCAAAGTTGGGAATCGTGTGTGTGTGTGTGTGTGTGTGTGTGTGTGTGTTGGGGCTGACTATCAATGACCGAAGTAAAGCTGCAACAAATATCTAAGTCCGAATAAATTTCTCTCTGTTTCAGATTGCAGTTAGCGTGCTCTCAGTTTCCTGTATTAAAATAAATGTTAGCTTGCAGACTAGCTGGCTGAAAATTGTTCTGCTTTCGCTGGGTAAACTCGATAACAAAGATCGCTCAATAAACTCAGTATAGCTGAGTGTAGCACATGCTCTGTTATTCATCTGCTTTAGTTGTGTGACTTAATACATGCAACATCCATATGTTTCAATGGAAGTGATGGTGGAGAATTGAAAGAAAAGTGAATACCAAGACTAAAAATATAGCAATAAAAAACAAAAACAAATGGTCTTGATTCATGTATAGTTCTCATTAGTTACTGATTTAAAGTCTTTAACATCGCAATAGACATGGCTACAAACACAGAGTTTTTACCCAATCAGATACAAATAGATTACTGTTATGCCAATAAAATACTTTTAAACCAGCTTTCAGCACTTATTAGAGAAAAAGTACTCACACATTACAGCAAATACTAGCACACACATACCCTCACACCAGCACTACATTAGTAATAAATCCAACTACATCCAATCTATTAACATGCCAATGTTCAAATTCGTAGCTTGGAACATCTGTGGTGTTGGCACATAGGCTAAACAAACTAAGATCTATCTCACTAAAATGAATGCTGATGTATGCTTATTGCAAGAAACCCATCTCTCCACATCTGTCTAATAAAAAGCAAAGTCACCACAATTTAGTCATATTTTCTCTGCACCCTGCATTTTCAAACAAAAAGAGGTATCTATTCTAATAACAAATAGATTTATTTTGCACACAATGCCACTGTATTACACCTCAACGGACTATTTATTGTAATAAAAATTATAGTAAATAATAACATTAGACTAAATCCTAATTTAACCAATACAGAACTATCCACAGAAACAATAAAACGGTTTAAATTTCCAATTTTGGCCTTGGCGATGGTTGGTGTCTTAAACACCTGTCTTCCAAAGGACTCAGAGTTTACTCACCAGTTCAGTGCTCATATTCCCACATAGATTTCTTCTCAGTAATTCACCCTGTCATGACCACACTCCTGTTTCATGGAATTTGACACTTGTATTAAAAGAGTGGTCATCTTTCCTGGAAATATACACTATATGGACAAAAGTATTGAGACACACCTCTTAATCATTGAATGTGTTTCCGTCAGTTCCAGTTCCATTCAGGTCCGTTGCCACAGGTGTGTAAAATCAAGCACCTAGCCATGCAGTCTGCCTTTTACAAACATTTGTAAAAGAATGGGTCATTCTAAAGAGCTCACTAAATTTGAGTGTAGTACAGTAATACGATGCAACTGTTGTAACAAGTCAGTTACAACTTCCCTCCTAGATATTCCACGATTAACTGTAAGTGGTATTATTGAAAAGTGGAAGTGTTTAGGAACCACAGCAACTCAGCCACAAAGTGACACACCGTGTAAAATTATAGAGCGGGGTCACCGAGTGCTGAGGCACATAGTGCATAAAAGTTGCTGACGCTCTGCTGATTCAATAACTGCAGAGTTCCAAACCTTCTCTGCCAATATGAGCACAAAAAGTCTGTGCTGGGAACTTCATGGTATGGGTTTCAATGGCTGAGCAGCTGCATACAAGCCTTACATCACCAAGCACAATGCCAAGTGTCGGATTGAGTAGTGTAAAGCATGCCGCCACTGGACTCTGGAACAGTGAAAACATATTCTGTGGACTGACAATTTACGCTTCTCTATCTAGCAGTCTGATGGGCGAGTCTGGGTTTGGTGAATGCCAGGAGAACGTTACCTGCCTGACTGCATTGTGCCAACTGTAAAGTTTGGTGGAGGAGGGAAAATGCAATGAGATTGTTTTCAGGAATTAGTCGAGGCAGTGAAGGGAGAACTTAATTCTTCAGCATACCACAACATTTTGGACAATTGTATGCTTCCAACTTTGTGGGAACAGTTTGGGGTAGGTCGTTTTCTGTTCCAGCATGACTGTGCACCAGTGCACAAAACGAGGTCCATAAAGGCATGGTTAGGTGAGTTTGGTGTGGAAGAACTTGACTTGCCTGCACAGAGCCCTGACCTCAACCCCATCGAACGCCTTTGGGATAAACCAGGACGGAGATTGCAAGCCAGGCCCTCTCGTCCAATATTAGTGTCTGACCTCACAAATGCTCTTCTGGATAAATGATCTGGAAAAATTCCCACAGACACACACAAGCTTCCCAAAAGAGTGGAAGCTGTCATAGCTGAAAAGCGGAGACCAACTCCATGTTAATGCCTAAGGATTTGGAATGGGATGTCATAAAAGCTCCTGTAGGTGTCCCAATGCTTTTGTCCATATAATGTATGATTCTCCTGAAACTCCACCAACATTACTATGGGGAAAAAGGACAAGCTGTACTAAGTGGCAAAGTATTCTGTTCTGCTTATACAAAAGAGAAACATACAGAAATTGAATCTAATTCAGAACATAAAATTCATTAGAAATTAATTGGAGTATAAGATGGTAGACAACTCCAATAAGGACACAAGAATAAATTAAATAAACACAAATTCATTTGCAACTGAGAATTATTCTCAAATAGAAAACCCAATTTTTACTACAAAAAGTGAGACATAAAACCATTGAATACAGTAATAAATCCGAACCTTATTAAAAGTAGCTAATGATGCTACTGCTTCAGTGTGTTGAATGTGCATGGATTTAAAGGGGACCTACAATGCTTTTCCGTGTTTTCTCTTTCCTTTAGTGTGTTGTATAACTTTTGTGCATGTAAACAGTCTACAAATTTACAAAGCTTACACGCCAGAGGGAGTAATTCTCTCCCACAGAAACCACTTTTCTCAGCTGCCTGAAATGCTTCATTGGAATTCCAGCCCTTTTCTCCTTTGTCACAAGATAATGCAATCTCGTAACACAATCCATATCGTCTGTAGGGACGTAACTTGTAGCAGGATGCTTTGCTTTCAATCGCTCTGTTGGTTGACCAGTCAGAACAGTGTGGGCCAGCTGACCAATTAGAGCACTCTGGGCTCATCAGGAGGTGGAGCGTAAAAGCACCGGAGCTCTAACTGAGCATTTTTGATAGAGGGTGAATAGAGATGTACAGTATGAGGAAAAATTATGTTTTGGAACATTGAAGCAGTCTATTCTAGTAGACCCCTAAAATAAAATTCTGAGCTTTGAAAATGAGCATAATTGGTCCTCTTTAAAAAAGAGAGTGTGAACAGGAGAGAGAATATGTGACATTATCTATGAATAAAATAAAAGCTGATCTGAGTATTTAACATTAGTTAGAACTAACTTATGTTAACTTGAGTTAACTATGGGCTAACTACAGGCTTCTGTATAGCAAAAATGTGTTATCAGTTTGATTAGTTCAGACAGCTTTTGCACTGTAAACATGAGCTTCAGTGATGTTACTGCTGAAATGTTAAAAAATAAACAGTGTTTCAGTTAGCTTACACAGAAAAACAGTAAAACATTTAATTAGTTTCTTGCTGTTCTTACAATCTGTAAAGCACACTGGTGTGTGCACTCGTGTGCTTTCCTGTAAGAGTCCAAGTGTATCCCCAAAAAAAAAAAAAAGTGTGGGAGACCACACTGAACTCACACTGAAGTTGTATTGCGCTTTCAGAAATATTGGGTAAGAACATTAAGAGCTTGAGAATGTCAGCAGCTGCATGTCCCACAAAGATACCATACATATCCACACGCGGTCTTAATGAGCACTTGCGCACTTTTGATAAATTCAGAATATGTCTTGTTAGTTTACATTTAAATGTTCTAAACGGTTTAGGATTTATGTTGTCATTGGAACTCAAGAACAGAAACTGAGCCCTAATCAATCACAATCACAGATGCTCCACATGAGTATCAATGGGAGTGTGGATAAATGATCAAACACATCAATAATTATGGTAAAAAAAAAAAATCATGTAGGTCAGTCTGTAACCACATGAAAGATTTACTAAAACGTATGTTGTAAAATACAATGTTAAATTTCTTCCACATTGTACAGCCCTATTGTGTAGGTTTGCTTTAAACACATTTTTGTTGTCTATCATTTTATTTGTTAATAGAGAATTTTATTTTACCAGAGCTTTTAAATCGAACAGTGCTACAATTTTATGTTCGTAGATCCTGCATCTAAGGTAAGGTAGCAACTGTGTTGCTCTTTCCATAAGGGATGCACAATGATATCAGAATAATATCGCCCATGGACAGATGGATCATTCTCATGAAACAGCCTCCATAAATATTTGAATGCCATAATCATAATGCAGATAAACAATATTCAGATGTCAAAATTTGTATATATTTAATTTAGTAAATCAACTGGAGCTCTGTATGGTACAGCAAAAATTAAGTAACTCATTTGTGTATTTTAAAGTTTCTTGGACATCGCTGTTGTCGGAAGAAAACCTTGTATCTCCATTTTTGACATTTTTCAGGTTTTGACATCATTTAAAAATAACTGTTACCGTTTACATTGTATGTAAATTTCATGGTGAATGGACTAAAAGAAGTGACCCAAAAAGACTTGGAAAGAATTCTGGTTCCATTGACTTACATTAAAAGTAAAGTGTGTTTTTTCCTTCTCCTGTAAAGTTACTATTTTGGAGATACAAGGTTTTCTTCCAACAACAGCAATATATAAAATGCAGTTTATGAAAAGAGAAGTCAATAACAAAAACGTTATTTACGCATTTATCCTTAAATCTTACTGCGTTGAGATAATGAAAATTTGGTCACATCAATTGAAATGTTACTAAAAATTCAGTGAAACTCATGTTTATTTTAATTGTTCAACCAGGCATCATTGTTTATTCAAAAAAAAGAGGAAACATTAAGTTTTAGTTGTTTTCATTTTTTCAAGTTTGTGAGAGTAACCCAGATGTTTAGATTTGATTAATTCTTGAAACACTTCAGAGCAGTAGGAAATTGCAGCGATGCTGGGCTACTGTGTTAAAACGTCTGCATTTGTAACCCTATAGGAGAAGTTGTTATGTTCTGTAATGCTAGTCCAGGTAGATGTAGTCCCAGTTTCTACATTTCACATATGTTTTTGTATCTGCATCAGCAGGTATGTACATGGAAATTATTGGGTATCAGCATCAGACCACAATTCCCATATCAGTATGTCCCCTTTTGCCATGACAAGTCTCACCAAGCTGATGGATCTAGATCACTTGATAATTCTTGCTGTCTATATTTAGGAGTAGGCCTAGGCACAATGAAGCTGTCACTTGAAGGTGGGTCTGAAGATGGGTCAGAGGTTAATACAGAAATAATACCCGTTTCTGTGTGTGTGTGTGTGTGTGTGTGTTTGTTAGAGCGAGGAGTTGATTAATGGTATGGGTAGTCAGTTAAGTGTGGCTCTCTGTCTGAGGGATTGTTGCAGCAATGCTATATGGAGGGAAAAGGACAAATACAGAGAATTGAAGTTGATTGAAGCTTGTGTGTTTGTGTATAAAATGGAACTGGATAAGAAGATTACACTAATGCGCACACACACCCTTCATCATTTCCTTGTTACTTTTACGTTGTCAGGTTTCTGTAACTTGTTATTGCTGACTTCTATCTGGGACGGAGTTCACTTCTTTCCAGGAGCTTCATGTCCTAATAAAGGCGTGTGAAAGATATAGTACTGTGCAGAAGTCTTGGGCATGTAAGAAAATGATATGCACAGCTATTTATCTGGACATTTAGCATGTGTTGTTTGAAACAACACTAACCTTATAATAGATATAAGTAAAAAATACATTGTAATTTTGTGTTTGTGTGTGTGTGAGATTACCTACTTCCAGTGCTGTTCTTGGGAAAGCCCAGTATTTACAGTTAGCATTCAATACCTGCTTCAGCTATTCAGTCCTTCAATAAATTAAAGTAGGTGCTACTGATGGCGGTTAACAAATCCATCTGATTTAGTGCAGTGAGAAGTCAGGAGCCAAGTCTGTGTTCTTCTAACTGTATTCGTCTAAAGTCAGAGACCACACTTTCTTCTATGACAGCCATTTTAAACAAGTTATTATTTTTTAGTGTCAGAACCAGCAGGAAACATTAAAATCATGAGAACCAGAAAAGGCAACCATCTTCGTTGAGCCTTTTGTGTAATTCCTTGTTACATGGATGTGTAATTAACTTGTACTTAATGGCCATTTTGGCTGAAAATTGAATGAAAGAGTGTTCTCTGATTTTCACATAGTACGGTATCTTTTTAAAAACACAAAAATCTTGTTACATTTTACTCTATTTACATTTATTTTTATTCATTTGTTATGTAGTATTATGTAGTATTTTACTGACAAAACCACTGCCAAGATTAATAGCTATAAGCAGTTTTCTTGACTGCTTGAGACTTTTGCATATTACTGTAAATTGGTGGCATATTCATTTACAGGAGTGAAAATTTGTAAGTGATCAAACTAAAGGAAGCTGCCTTAGGTCACCTGTTGAAATTTTGCCAGGATGACGATAAAACGTAGCCATTGCACTCTCTTTTTGTTTGGAGAGTCTGAGAGCACTTTCATTTGGTCTATAGCACAGGACAACTTAAATGTATTAATAACTCTTTCTTTTGTGTAGTTACAGACATTAAGAGCCTCAGTGAGGGCTCCCACCTGGAACGGGATGACCCGTTCTACGAGATCGCAAAGCATCAGATAGTGGAAGTAGCAGGTGAGCCATCAAGTGGTTACAAATTTCTTACCCTGTTAAACAAGAATATTGTAAGCGTTAACTTTAAACCCTCTTTCTCTCTCACTCTCTCTCTGTTATATGCATTCTCTGTGCAGGTGATGATAACTTTGGGCGGAAAGTGATTGTGTTCAGCGCATGTCGCATGCCACCCCACAGTCAACTAGACCACCATAAACTACTGATGTAGGCATCTCTGCTTCCTAAACTCTGTGGCCGGTCTTTATCTTGAATAACCGTTCTGAGCAAAGTCAGCGAATCTTGTTTTGATCTGAGTCACAAGTCTTGCGGAAATAGAACTTCCTCAAGATTGTTCTCTTGTTCTTTGCTTATATGGTAGAGTACTTACTCTCAAGGTAGAGCAAACTAGTACAAGCAGCTTGGATTTCACTGTTGTTTAGGGTTATCACTATCAATTCAGTTAGTGATTGAGTAATCTATTGATTATTTTGATGATTGAGTAATCTTTGTTTTTTTGTTTTTTTTCTTAAAGGCCAAAAATTACCAATGGACTTAAGTGAACTCCTTGCATTTGCGCATAGCCTTTTAAAATCCTAGAACACTTAACTGGTAAAAAGAAATTGGTAAAAACTACACAGCTTTTAAAAAAGACTGCAATAAATTAATTTTGCAGTGTCAGGAAAAAGCAGAAGACATATTTGACAGAAAACTGCACAAAATCCTCAACAAATCTATACAGTTTGTATTTAGTGTGTAGTTTTATTACAGCTTCCATTCTTTTTGAGGGACTTGCTTTCAGATTTTCAAAGAAATTTACAGGGTTGTCTTAGATGGTAGAAGTTGGTTGCATTTCTGCTTCTCTGCTCCCCCACAGCTCCCCCGCCTAAAGCATGAGTGGCACTTGATTTTCTCCTGTCTCCCAGCTTTAAATTTTTAAGCTCTTTTTATCTGATGATGGCAGTTTTGTTGCACAGTTGTTAGGAGTGCTGTAGTTTTGGAAACTCATATTGTCCTTTGACTTTCCCCTTCATTATGCAAGCGAATTATCTTATATCTCCTCTCCTAAGAAATTTCTCGTACCTTTTTGTAGATTTACATGAGAAAAAAAACTGCAAGACAGCTAAGGTGTGTTTGGGTAATTGTTTGTATGAATGGTAGTGTGTCTTTGATGGGGAAGAAAATGGTAGTAAAACCTTTGGAAACAGCTTTTGTTCAGAGGATTCAGCTGTAACTCGATGGTTTTTAGATGGGTGTCGGTAGGTTACACAGAAGTAAAGAGTGGACAAAGTAAATACTGATGTAGATTTGGTAGTATACTTAATGTCAGGATTCTGTGTAGTTCTTTGTTAAATATGTTCCCTGCATTTTTCCTGATGATGAAAAATGAGTGACTTGTACTTAATTGCCTTTTTGACTGGAAATTAAATAAATTAAAGTTAGGATTTTTATGTATGTAGGGTAGTCTGAAACATTCTAAAAGGTTTTTGATGTGAAAGTAGAAGATTGTCAGTTGCTGTCAGTGACTTGATATTGATTACTGTTGTATATGAGCAGAACTGTTGCACTGATCCTTCTGAAGTGTATGTTGGTAAGTGCAATGTGATGTGCTATGATAAATTACAGGTACCTGAAGCAGACATTAGACAAGTATGTGGAAAGCGATTATACACTCATCTACTTCCACCATGGTATGACCAGCGAGAACAAGCTATCCCTCAGCTGGTTGCGAGATGCGTACCGTGAATTTGAAAGAAAGTAAGTCCTGTGATCTTCCCCTTGGCTGGAAATCTCTATCTTGGCTTGTTTTCACATTTGGTTTGATTTGCAATTTTGACCCGGAGTATAGAACAAAAAAGCAGTACTCTAATGGACAACTTAAGTAATTATCGGCTTTACCTATGTTTATGTTTCCACATAATGTGTGGTAAAGCTAATTCTGTCTGTTTGCTCTTCTCAGGTATAAGAAGAATATTAAGGCATTTTATATTGTCCATCCCACCATGTTCATCAGAACCGTCCTCATTTTCTTCAAGCCACTCATCAGGTTAATACTAAATACCGTTTACATATTCTGTATGTTGTATGTTATATACAGTGCTATGTACTGTACCTGCTTTAAAGGATTACTGCTACATTGCTTTAAATAGCCAGTATACAATACATTAGGGGTGGCCAAAATAGCAATATCAAAGCATCACGATACTTCAAGACATTTTCTCAATACACATAATTTTTCTGAAGTTTGATAAGGTTTGAATAGACCAAAAATACTGGTAGTGTTACATTTTAAAAGATCAAAAACTATGAATTTAATGATTTCTGTTCAACCTTTAGTATACTGCCCTGCACAAAATCTAATTAAGCAGGGTTATTTATACTATCTTGGTAATGAACTATGCATTTGATCAGTATTCTTTAAGTACTGCCATTATCCGTATTATGCTGAGAAAAGCATATTATGACAGTATGACATAGTTTATCATGATAATGTTATTGTCATATTACCCACCTCTATAAAACAAATACTTTATATAGTCATGGAGGCTACTGTTTTGTGGTTTAACTGTGCTGTGCAGTGCACGCAGGCCTCCAGGACTGGAGTTTGGAAACCCTACAATAACTATACTGTATTCCCAGGGTACTTATTCTCTGTGCATGCATATAAGCTTCAAGTATACAACCAGGGAAGTATATTTGATTTAAAAAAAGATTTTTGTGATTCTGATGTGTGCCTCTGTTCACAGCTTTAAATTTGGCCGTAAGATACACTACGTAAATTACTTGAGCGAGCTGGAAGAGATAGTGAAGTGTGATCAACTGGTGATTCCCAGTCGAGTTAGAGCGTAAGAGTCTCGTGTACACTACACTACACCAACAAAGTCACAGCTTTATATGCTTCCACACATTCTTTATGGTATATCTAACTATAAAAATATATACATTTTATTCAATATAAACACAAAACACCATACTACATTGCACATTATGGTCAAAGCAAGTTTTCTGTGCACACTGTACACATTAGTTCACCTTGTCTCTAGGTATGATGATAAGATCCGTCTAAATCTGAAGCCATCCGTGGTCCCTGGCCCAATATCACCACCTCGTAGCCCACCTTTGCCCTTCCAGCAGTTCGGGGTGCCTCTCTCAGTGTGAGTGTCTCTGAACAGTTCCATTCTTCCATCAAAATGTAATGAATTGCCTGCTACATCTAAATTGTTTTGTTTACATCAGTGTGCGCCAGTATACAGGGAAAAATAATATTGACCAATAATATCATGTTTCCCCTCTCACATGTCAGATAATTATACACGCACCACAGCACAGTGCTGCGAACTGATCTGCAAAAAATGTAGATGTTACTGGTGTGGGTGGTGCAGCTGGGGTTAGCCAACGAACTAACATTGCAGTTAGCAAGCTGGCTAACTTGTCTACCACAAACAGTAAAACCACAGACGTTAAGATAATACTCTGACAGTTTCCTGACTGATTACATATCATGCAGTCTCCCTTTCGTGTGTTTATCTATAGCCAGTGGGGAAGAGATGTTTAAAGGTTTGTGTATAAACACTGGGTACATTAGCTTTTCTTCCATCTAACCACCAAAGGTTGAGAAGTATGAGATTTCACACCAGTAATTTATTCACTCTGGAAGTTTGGGATTTGAAATCGTTCATCACGACGAATAAAATTGAAATAAAAACGTTTTGTTGGCAAACACCAGTGTGACTGGGTCTTTGTGGGTTGAGGTTGGCTTTAGTGATGAGTGGACTGTGTTTGTGTTTAGGTTGAGAGATAGAGGTGCAGACTCTGAGGGCATTCCCCTGGTGATGCGAGATACCATCAGCTTCTTGCAGGAGCAGGGTGAGCTGCATTTTTATGCCATTTATCCTTTCAGAAGCTTTCTAGTTTACAGTTAGTTAATTTGTTATATGTGTTTCATTACAAAGAATTTATCTAAAAAAAGTCACCTGTGGGTTAATTTCCCACACCTAGGATAAAATGGATTTTCAGTGGTGAAACACCTTTGGCTTTGCATTTTAGTTTGCAAGACTAGGCTGGACTGATGCTTGGGAAACCAACCCTGTTATTTGTGGTTTAGTAATAGAGTACGGCCTTAGCCACAACCAGGTATAGGCATACATCGGAAATGAAATAGGAGATTATGATTTTTTTCTTTTTGCTTCCTTTTCTTTCCATCTTTCTTTCTTTCTTTCTTTCTTTCATCCTTTCGTCCTTCCTTTCTTTCTTTCTTTCGTTTCTTTCTCTTATCGCTGTGACTCAGGTTTGCAAACAGAGGGAATATTCCGGCGGTCAGCTAATGTTAACCTTGTGAAAAGCATCCAGCACAAATACAACTCAGGTACAAGCAGGATTCTACTGAAAGTCTGTTCTCATTGAATACAAGCATCTAACAAACATATATTTATGTATGTGTGTAGGGGAGGAAGTGAATTTCTTTCAGATTGAGGATGTGCATCTGGCTGCTGTAATCCTGAAGACGTTTCTCAGAGAGCTGCCAGAACCTCTGCTTACCTACAAGCTCTACAATGATGTTGTCAACTTTCAGCGTGAGCATACTCTTAATTTTACTTTCTCTAGCACAGCGCAGCACTAATAACTTCCAGACTCTTATCACAGCGTCAAGAACTTCTTGACTGAGTAAAACTATTGGCATGCTGGAACATGCAGTCTTTTGTGTGGTTATTCTGGATGCATGATCATTTATTTTGTCCTCTCTCTCTGTTTTTGTGTTCAGACGTGGACAGTGAGTCTCAAGTCATCACGATCCGAAATATGCTTATGTCACTTCCTGAGGAGAACTATGCTTCACTGCGCTTTCTCATCCAGTTTCTCGGTCAGGTAAGCAACTGTGTTGTGGTGACAAAACGTGCATATCTCGTCTAGCAGCAGATGTGTTGCTACTGTACATCAGCATAATTGTATTCCCTTATTGTTATTTGTAGCATTCTGCACATTGATCGTTACTAAAATAGACAATTAATTTTAGACAATTTTACTCAATTAATTAATCTTGGGTAATACTAGAGTAACTGTAATGTCATTACATATTCGGAATACAAAAAAGGTTACTGTGTTCCATGAGCAACTACAGAGACAAAGGTAGCAGTTTACACATTTTTAAAATAGTGTGATTGCTAGCAGGGTTACATTAAATCAGCTCTTGGACACGTAATGCAGTTTTTCGGACAGAAAGGTGACATTATTTTATTCGCCCCATTCGATTTTTGCATACATTTTTCAGGCAACGTGAACTCATTCCACCTCTTTTGTCTCCATGGTTGGCGTATAACTTATGTCCATGGCCCAGTTTGAGCTGCGTTTGGAAATGTGCACCATACATGACAGAGCAGAGGACAAACCTTTTTGACACTGGTTATAAGTTGCTGATACACAACCACCTGGTCAGCTTGGCTGTTGCTATGCTAACCACAGAGACAACAGAGATTCATGGAGTGAGTTTCTGTTGTAAGTTCCTGTTGTTTCAAAAATGGCTGATTGCCAGTTCACTCTCCTCTTCAACGCAAAGCGGTACAGAACAGACATAGTGGAGAATGAGAAAGTGTGATCGGGCAGGGCGTGTTGAGGGTGGTCTCGGCGTGTTTGAGGTTGTGGGGAGAGTTGCACCACCTCTCTGTGCACCCGCCCCACAAGGACATGGAAGCCAATCACGTAGCAGGAATTCTGGGGTGGCATGTGGGATCATCAAAGGCATCTTTTAGGTCCTTTGATGAAAATGATTAAGAATCCCCGGGTTATACATTTTGGCTTGATGGCAAAACTTTTCAAAGAGTCTTTGACCATTATTGTTTTTAAAACATTTACTGTTGTTTTCTTTTAGGTGTCTGCAGAGAGTGAGGTGAACAAGATGACAAACACAAACCTAGCTGTCGTGTTTGGCCCTAATCTGCTGTGGGGGCAGGACGCTGCCATGACGCTCAGCTCTATTGGACCGATCAACAACTTCACCCGTACCCTGCTGGACCTGCATGAGGAGGTCTTTGCCCAATAAGGAGCAGTGGAGCCCATTTAGAGTCCTTCCCACTCTGTAACTCAGCCCATTGTGCTGTGGCCCTTTCCCTCTCTCCTTAAGTGTTGCCAAATGCATGAGTGTTGTAAACGGGTGAGGCTTCGCAGGAGGGAATTTGGCAGGTACAGGATTTGTGCAGACTTCTGATATAAGAGACTGATTTTTTTTTGTTTTGTTTTTTGTTTTTTTTCAGGATGCCATTTTTCTTCATAAATGGTGTTTCCTTTTTGGAAATTCAGACAATCAGTAAAAAGTCATTTATGCTTGAGATCATATAGCTGTTGTTAATCATTATAAAGGTACCGGCCAAGCAGAGTTTTTCAGTCTCTGCTCACATACCAAAACATGTTCACTTAGCTCTGTTGTTAATATCTCTTTTTAAGGTTTAAAGGATTATTTGGCTGTGATTTTTGAACCCTTTTGAAAGGATTTGCTGTGAAAGCGAAACGCCCTATCCTGTATGAGACATAGTCATAGCTATGGACCAATATAAAGCACTAATACTCAAACTTGAAACACTTGTTTTAAACATATGATATTGCCTTTAAATGCTCTGTTAGTCTTTATTTTTACTACATATATATTATTTGTATGATCTTTTTTACTGTATTTCTGTCATTGTATGATCAAGAAATTGCTGTAGATAGTTGCAGTTCTAATGCTAGCCAACAAGGAGGAGGCTTAAGATTTTAAGTTAAATATAGTTATACCACATATTTGCATGCCATGTGCATACTATATAGTGCAAGTCAGAGACCACCCACTATTTATTTAATTTTCAGTCAAATCATTTATTAAGTACAAGTTATTCATTTTTCAGCATCAGCAAATTAGCAGAAACATATATGTAACAGTAAATTACACAGAAGCCCCAACAAGTGAATATATTTTTTCAGTATTTAATGTGTCCAATCTTTGCCTTTATTACAGCTTTCATTCTTTATGGGAGGCTTGCTTTCAGTTTTCCACAAAATGAAATCTGCAGGGACATTTTTCTGCAATCCAGTCTTAGAAGTTGGCTGCATTTTCAGCTTCTCATGTTCTGAGTCATCCCAAACACATTCAGTGATCTGGACTCTGGGGTGGTCAGTTCGTTGTTCCGAGAACACCAGCAGCTTTTCTTTGATTTGTGTTTTTTCCTGTTTTTTGTCTATTTCCTTTTGTCAGTAGTCTTGACAGCTACACATCCTTTCATACCCAAAGCACTCAGTTGTCTTTTTTCACAGTGGAGGGAGGGACAGAAACTGTGCATTTTTTTTCAGATCTGAAGCAAGAGTGGAGCTTGATCTTTGAAATGTAAAAGCTTTAGGTGCTTATTTGTCATGGTGACAGTTTTGGTTGCCTACACGGTTTTGCACTTGTTAGGAGTCACTAATCTCTTAAATTTTTTTTTTTTTTTTACTCCAGTTTTGGAAAAACACCTGTTTTTCCCATTTGACTTTCTCTTCTTTATGGGGAAAGTATCCATAAAGTTATTGTGTTAAATATAATTTCCCCAGAAATGTCTTCTGAAAAATGAATCACTTGGGCTATATTTTAATGCCCATTTTGGCTGGAAATTAAATAAATGAAGAATGGTCTCTGACTTTTGCACAGTACTGTTCTTTTGATGTAAATTTGTCACATTATTCTTATTATTGCTGTTCTTAGACATTAAAAGCAGATGGTGATCTCAGAGGCACTGAGATACTTGAAGTTGAGTCAGGGATTCCATGAGTGCTGATTTAAAATCTGCTTTTTATAGTAACCACAATCATAGCGACCATAAATCAGCACTCTGTCTGAGACATTTCTTAAGTCTTGACCCAGAGCACAAGGGTCAGTGTGTTGGTCCTGTAGTCACACGTACAGTTGCACAGTGACCCATATTATCGTTATGGCTGTACATGCTAATGCGCAGGGCTTAAATGAAAGTTTCACTCTCATTTTGTGGAAATCATTTAGACAAATGTAATACCCTTCCTCTTCTGTCTTTTCCCTGATGTGCACGTGAAAGGGCATATGTGTGTGGGTTTAATTGTATGTGCCGTTCAGCAGTTGTTCACCTGCAGGCCTGAGTTTTATTTTACCCAAAGACAAAATGCTTTGAATTGTGTTTTTTTTTTTTGTTTTGTTTTTTTGGGTCTTCATTTCTTTGTTTGGTTTCTGAATCACATATAAAATATATTCTGTTAGTTGTTCTTCCAGGCATATTCTTTCAGGGTTCTTTAGACAGCTAGTTGGTCAATTAGAACACAGCTGGAGTGCCTGGGACATACTACATAAGGACTGGAGTTTGGAGTAAGGGCCCCTTGATGTCCTGTATTATCTGTATGTTTTAATTCACACTATGAAGAAACATATCATAGCAGATCTAAAGCTGTTTAGCTGCAAAGCTGCATGTAGTTTCATAGGGCTCTGACAGAAACTTCCATTTTGCTGTATTCACAAGATAGGAGGGCAAAAAACAGCTGACTCTTTGCACAGTGGGAATGTTTCCCCACCATGAAGTTTAAAGTCCAGGACTCCAGCACTTGCAGCAGGGACAAGGAGATTTTAGCTCTACCCGAGTAAAGTATTGTAATGCCTCCATATTGAAATGTAATGTTTACTGTGTATGTATGTCAACCTCAAAATTCATGTCAATGCACTTATGTGTTGACATGTGGACCAGTGGCTTAAATTGTTTAGTGAACCTACCCCAAAACCCATGTGTTTGTGTGCCTTAATAAGGTTAACTGGCCATCAGATTAGATTAGGTTATAATGGATTATAGCTGTTTAAACCTCCCTCCTCTGCTCAAATGTGTGAACTTTGTGCCGTTCTGTTGTAAATCTTGTCCCAGTGCCAACCAGTTTAGCTGTGCTGTGGATATCTGTAGTTCCGTTTTCAGGTGGAACGACCTCTGCTTTCTTCTTTGTAAAGGTTCTTTGCTTTTATCTTAGTTGTTCAAATGGACTTTTTTCTTTCAAGGTCTGTACTTTTGTAAATGTGGTAAAAAATGATATATGAGTAATAAATGGTATATAATGGTATGCAGTGTTTGTGTGAACTGGATAGAAGAAAAGTAAACTGGGAGGAAACACTCATGATTTGAAGAGTTTATATGAAGATTAATCATATAGGTGCAGTACATAAACACAAGCTGTGTAGATAGCTAATGAAAAGTGATACAGTACATTTTATATTTGGTGTACTACAGTTAAATAGAAGGAGCACAAGATCATATTAAGACGGACAGGAGATAATCAGCTTTGTATTCCAGGTCCACTACTGCAGAGATGACTTTGTTTCTGATTTTTGAATTTATAGTAAACAAAGCATACCTTCAGATCAGAGTATATTGCTGTAGGCCCAGGGGGTTCTTGTTCAAGAGCTGTCTTGAAAATTCACAGTTTTACATTTGTACATAGTGACAGACAGCTCAGAAGATACTTCTTTTTCTGATGTCATGTGGCCAGCCATGTGAGCAAAAGGAAGCAGTGCTACTGATAAGCAAAAACTTATCATGCTGCTTCTTGCTCCACAAAACAGATCAGTCTGTTAAGTCACTATTTGTTTAGGGAACAGCTTGACCAAACATAACGAGTGGATGCTAGTAGTTAGCATGTTGTAATTTCCATAATACTTAGTGAAAGGTATCTGTTTGTCTTTGACTTCCATTCATTTTTGAATGAACTCAGTACTGTCCAACAAAGAAAATGAACACTCACTTTAATCAGTCTGAATGAGGGAGAGCATTCTGAGGTTCTTAGACTAACCCAATATACAGGAATGGGATGTAATGGAATACAAGTATTGAGAATATGTATTTAGAATACAGAAATTAAGTATCTGTATTCAGTCCAAGTTATGTTTTGTAAAGGCAGTATTCAGAATACAGTTACTTTTTACATTTTTATGACAATGCCTCTAGAATACTTACCCACTAAATAAATAATACAAAAATACAAATTTGAAAGTATATGTGTCTGTGTGTGTGTCTTTTAGGTTTAGCTGCGTATGCTATATGTGTGTATTTGGCAGCGTAATGCTCGAGGCAGAGGCAGCAAGTGTGTGTGTCCAAGGCGGCCAAGGCAGTGTGTGATGGTGTGTATGCAGTGTTCCTGCAGGGAGGAGAGACGAGATGTTCTCAGGCCCAGCTGCAGCTCGGTCTCAGGGGCTGTGGAGCTCACCATCGGGTACAGGGCACTGCCAACCTGCACACAGCAAACATAGCATTTCTAATACAGCACAAGGCTATATGGCCCCAGCCAAGGAACATCGGTTGGTTACAACTACACAGTCTGGTCAGTCTAAACATGTTACTATATCAATATAACATTGTTTGTTCACAATTCTAGTACAATTCTGCTGATCACCAGATGTTAGGTAACAATAGGTGCTAGGTGTTTATTTCAGAAATTCTGAAGTAGATTTCCAATTTAAAGTTATAAGAATCAATGGATTCAATTCCAAGTGTCCATTCCACTTTTCTTAATTGTCGATTCCGAAAATCATCTGGCAGCAAAGTGCATTATTAAGCAATTAATATATTATTATGTTTAAAGGCATGAATGACTTGGGATTTGATATACAGTACCATGAAAAAATATTTGTGATGCTCCTGATTTCTTCTATTTTTGCACACTTCATTATTGCAGATCATCAATTTAATACAAGACAAAGACAACTGGAAGAGGTGACGAAGAAAGTAATGCAAATATATCTGTCTGGAAAGGGTTACAAAGCTCCAGCGAAATTAATTTTGCTGACTGATACGGGCTAAAATGTAATTCATTCTCCTTTTCCAGTGGTTTCAGCACTGGAGAACGACATATTTTGTTAAAAAATTGTACATTGTCCTATCTAGACAGTGCCATCTGAATATCTTACATTCTAAGTGCCAGGGAACATGAACACAACAATGTGTAAGTCCAAATATTTGGAGTGGACTCTCAAGTCCCAAATGCCTGGAATCAGAGAATCAACTCTATCTGAACTTAACTCCAAGTTAATAAGTACTAAGTACTAACTCCAAGTTAATACATCCTAACCTGTTGGAAGTACTCTTTAGGGGAAGAAATTGGTAGTATTTAAAACATATATTTCAGGAATATCAATGTTCTCCTTCAAGCATGTTGAGCTGTTGCGTTAGCAGCGGTTTAATGTGGTGACTGGCTTCATGTGACTCCCTTCACCCTAGGAGATCACAGATGCTGTAGATCACAGCAGTGTTGATCTACAGCACTGACCAAACGCAGCTGTGATGTTATTCATGATAACATTCTTCCTCTCATGTTGTATTGCTTAATTATATTGTAAACAGCCAAAAGCTTTCAAGACTGCATTGTGATCTACAAGCGATCAAACAGCCCACATTTGACTTATATCACACACAATTAAGATGTGTGAAATAATCGTTAAATAATGTAAAGCTTTACACAGCAGTGGAATACTATTATAATCATATTCACTATAATAATATTTACCACATTTCCCTGAAGAATAGTCATCTTTAGCTAAATATTTCTTAGCAGGCATATAACAGCTGAGAAATATTAGTAAATGGTGTTAGCTGCTTATAGTCGTTTGCAAAGGTTTGTGTGTCCCTGGTCAAATTACACGTTTTGTTGATTTTCTAAGTGAAAATAAGTAAACAACTTCTACCGAGAACACAATTCTGCATGTTAATACACGGTTACTGTTTATTTCCTGACACATAAAATGCAAAAGCTAGGGAACGTTTCATATTTTGTTTTATTTTTTTCTAAGATGTTAAACTCAGCAACTAAATACAAATTTTGCACCAATATTTGCAGAAAAATACCATATTTAAGTTTGTCCCCTTAACAAGGAACAGGATGGCAGAGCATGTGTCAACTTAATTTCACTCAAAGTCAATAGGTGTTCAAACTTTTGCTTACAACAGTATTTAAAAGAAAATTCACACAAAAATGATCTCAGCGGTCTGTCTCGAGTGGTCATGATGAAAGAAAAACTGCTTACTTCATGTGTTTTAAGAGACGGAAAATGCTTATTGCGTGGTTTTGTTTTGACTTGTGGTCATCTTTGGTCATGGTCAAAGCTCATGTTTGCAGATGAAGTGCTGTTTTTTGTGGAAAAATCTCAAGTGTTAAAAATCATGTTGCTCCACTGATTTCTTTGATTAATATCAGACAAGGCAAAATTCCCATTATCATTTGTTATTACTTCTGACCCTATTGTGTATTTTCCTTTTAATATTTTCCATACGTGTTCAAATTGTGCATGGCTAAATTCTCTCCTGGTCCTATGGGTGCTTTTCCTCACCTGATCCAGGTCAGAGAAGGCCAGTCCGAGGTTTTCTCCATTACGATAGAATGTTAGTGTTCCCGTGGTTCGGTCCAGTAAAACCCCGATGACTGTGTTTCTATCATAGAATGGTTCTGTGTACTTGCGGCTCCTACCATTGTGCCAGAGAAAGCCTTTATATGACAGACCCCAACTTTCAGCATCCATACCTATGAACGAACACACACACGTTTGTCTTACATTAAAGGGTAACTTCTTGGTTTCTCTTGATTTCTGTATCGCTGTAGCTAAGCAATACTACACCTAAACCTAACCCTAACCTAAATCTCAGTATCCAAAAAGCAATCTTTTAATTTGTGGCTCAAATGAGGACCAGCAAAATGTCCTCACTTGTGCAAAACTGTCATGCTGTCATATCATTGTGATGACATATAGCTAGACAAGCACACACACATACATTTGGTGGAAAAAAATCCCCTTACCCCATATATAGTTGATCAAAATTATATAGAAAATTTAGGCTTCAAGATGCAGTGTAAGTTTGTCCATTTTTATAGATAACACTATGTCATGCAATGTTTAACTATTGTTCACAAGCACCCCTATCTGAGATTATTTAACAACTTGACATAGTTTGTCATATGTGGTGTTTCAGGGTTGCTACTTCAACCCTGTAAAATTACTGGATACTCGGATCAGTGGCTTAATTTTTTACAAAATTCAGTGGATGAGTAGTCATGCTCAAGATGCAGTCTATGCTATCTATGGTAGATAGATGTCTGTTCACTTACAGAACCAAGTCTTCTCAGTTATCATGTTGCAGTGCTGCCTACTGCTTAAACATGCCACCAGCAGTGCATTGTCCTTACACTGAAAATAATCTGAACCCATTCTCTGTACACAAATACTCAGACTGAATAAAAAAAGAAGCAGTTTACACTTGGATTTCAGGACATTTCTGTTAGGAAGGGAATACTTTTTTCCTGGAGAGAAAACCAAAATCAAGGAAGATCTAAGAAAAAATTCTGGATGGGTGGCAACCTGAGTTGATTTGGGCAGTTTGCATGATGCTAAATGGTGTACATTTGGAGTGGACAATATGATGATAAATTATGCTTTTCTGAGCATATTGTGGATACTGTCTGTACTTAACACAAAGCTGCATGTTTCGTTACAGAGAGAGCATAATTAGTCACGTTTAACTGGATTTAGTGCAGCCCAATATGTGACATTGATTAAAAACCACCCCACTTTTTTAATAGCAGTTTTAAAAAAGTCTCTTTCAACTTCTCAAATCTCAGAAAAACGAAATACCATGATGCATATTGTATATTGTGAAAACATCTTGAAGAATCGTGACATATTGTTGCCATATCACACACCCCAGTACATAAGCTTGTTAGCGACATATTTGTTAGCCACATCAGCCTTGTACCTTTAGTACAACTAAAGAAGCAAACATTGAATATGTCTTGGCTAATGAACTACACGTACATCACAAAACTTTTGCATTCCTTTGCAAAATCTATTGCATTTGCAGAGGAACTACATAGCAAAGGCCCTATATAGCACCAAAAAGGGTTCTTCTATTGTAACAAGTTTGACATCGTAACAATAGAAGAACCCTTTTTGGTGCTATATAACACCCTTTTAAAAAAAAGTTCTATACAGAACCATATACAACACATTCACCAATAATCTAAAGAACCCTACTGCAATGTAAAGAACACTTTAATCATGCAAAGGGTTCTTTGACTGTTCATTGTTCTATATAGATCCATTTTCTTTACTAACCCTTGAAGAACCATCTTTTTTAAGAATGTAGGCCAAAACAACAAGATATTTACAAGCTATTTGGAACTTTATGAGGGATATTTCTTATTAAGGTATGGACAATTAGGCAGAATGTTATGCATTTCTTTGTTTGGCGTGACTGATATTCTGTGCATATGACAATAAAGTCTGAAGTCACACACACACACACAACAGCTCTACAGCTCAGACCACAAACTCACAAAGGGCCACTGAGTGCTAAAGTGAGTAACACGTAAAAGTCACCTATTCTGTGTTGCATCACTCACTACAGGGTTCCAAACTGCCTCTGGAAGCAACATCGGTACACAGGAACTGTGTGTCGGGAGCTTCATGAAATAGGTTTCCCTAGCTGAGCATGATGGTCAGGTGGCCAAAAACATTTGGCTATACAGTGTATGTGGACTCTTTTTTCCTTCATGGACATCATGGCACATGGAGGCTGATTGTTCTTCTCTGATAGTTTAGTTATCTCTGATAACTAAATTTAACCACTGATATTGTGTTTAGTTATGCTTGTGAACCAGTGCAAGATTCCATTAAAATAGTTGGGCTACGTAACAGCAGATCAGCAACTGTATAAGTTGTTTGTCTGTTTTATGCATAATTTGCAGTAATAAATAACTACTTTGTTCAAGTCTGTATTAGGTGGGGGGGAACATCTGAAGGTGCTCTCACCCCCCACGTAACAGACTTCGACAATGCAGGGCTGGCTTCCAGGATCAGAGCTGAATACCCTAGCTTTAATGTAAAGACACTTCAATCCACAGACACAAACAGAGAGACAAAGCAGTCCTCACCTATTAGGTTGATAAACTGTTCCCCTGCATGCAGACGTGCATTCACTGTACCTATTCCCACCATCACAGAGCTGCCATACGGAGGCTCCAGAAACTCAATCTCCCAGTAGTGCTCACCGTAAGAGAAACCTGTAGCACACACATTACATACTATTGAAAGGATTTGTAACTAAAATGATACTAATGAATAAAAACAGTTCAATCTAGCTTCTAAATATAACAGACAGAACATGAATTCTATGAGATACGAGGTTTTGTTCTGAGAACAAGGATTTATTACTATATAATGAAATTGTGAGTGTTTTATTTTAATGTCTTGGTTCAACAGCAAGAGCTTGTGTCCGAATTCACAGTGGCACAATTGTGGCTCAAACTTCATTGATATTCTGTCAGAAAATTGTTTTGCTTTTTAAATTTGTGTCTGACAAAATAACAATTAAGCTTTCATAATGTGTCAGTATTATCCTAAAACTCTAACAATAAATATAGATCTGAAGCTCATTTACACTCATTTTGGCACCCCTAGGTTAAAGTGATGGAGCAGGACACATATTGTCCTTGCTATGTGAGCATATGTGTATTATCTCAGCTTTTATTTAACAATTGTGTTCTGTTGACATTGACTTTAACTATTTTGTTGTTTGGGGTCCCAGAGACCCCAGCATTGTGTGGGCAATATAAAATTACCATTAACCATTTTTCTTCCAAATACTGTCATATCATTGAAATAAGTATGTTTTTCTCCATATTTTAACAACAAACTGAGCTTTCAAATTTCAGGATTGTGAATAAATATGTAAATTACCATAACAATTTGTTATTAGGGCAAACAGGGGTATATCTAATGTTTTCTGCTACTTAAACACATATTTAGATTTCTTTTCATTAGAAAAACTCATTTACAGATTAGGAAACTTACATTATCCTGGAAAATACCACACAGCGCATCTGTCAAATCCAGGACAACCATCATGGCCTGTTTCCTCTCCAGAGCGCTACCTGGATTTTGCATCACGGGCATCCCATATTTGCTGATGTGTGTGTGTGTGTGTGTGTGTGTGTGTGTGGGTGTGTGTGTCTATAAGAAACAGAGAGAGAAAAAAAGGGAAAAGAGAGAGAGAGAGAGAGAGAGAGAGAGAGAGAGAGAGAGAGGTGGGGGAGGTTGTAAAGGTGTGTGTAAGAGAATCAGGTGTACCCTTAACACCAGACAAAAACTAAAAACACATGAACAACAATTGCCCTTAATCATGTATTCTAGCTGGGGTCTCTGAAGCCACAAACAAAGGTTGTGTATACATTTCTCTGGCTTGGGGGGGTTGTTAGGAACATAATATCAGTATTAAAAAGGGGGACACCAAACAGAACATACGAGTTAACACCTGTACAGGTGTAATGATAGAGCACGGGTTTCTGATCCAAGTCCTGGTGAACCCACATTATGAACCATTTTTGTGCTTTCCCTCATCTTGCACACAAGATTCAAATGATTAACAAGCTACTTGTGTGCTAGGTAGGTCAGGTGGGTGATAGTGGGAAAAAACACTAAATGTGCAGAGCATGTGGGACCCCAGGACAGGTTTCGGGAGTTACGGCGTTAAAGCATCTCACCTTTAGTTCCTCGGACGCCTGCAGTGCCCTGGCTCTCCAACAGGGGGCTGATGTGAAAGTAAACGGCCTGGCGGCATGGAGACAGATTGGCATCAGGCGACTTTCCCTCGGTGTCCCACTCCCAGCTCTCACAGGTGTGGTCTCTCAGTGCAGGCATCGTTTACTACACAAAATGAGCCACCGGTTTTCACTCACAATGTTGTGCACAGCGGTAAGAGTGCACAGTCGTATGCAAAAGTTTAAACAGCCGCGTTGATTTTATTTATTTATTTATTTATTTGAGCTAAACAGTACAGAACATCAGATTCATTTAAAAATATAAATATATAACAGTGATATATGAAGTATCCTTCACGTAACAGTAATATAACAAAAACACTGAAGACCATACATGCTTTACAGTTTTAAATGTTTGTTTTTAAGAAGGCTGCATTAATTTCATGTTTTTTATAATCTCCTTTTCAAAGGCATATACACACGCACACACAAATATATAGTGTCCAGGTGTGTTCTCCGTAGAGGATGTGTACTTATTGTCAGCTAGAAGTCAACAAAACATGTACTTTGACCAGGGGCGCCTGAACTTTGGCATACGCCTGTATGGAGAGGAGGACATTAAGACTTTTACAGCTTTTATATTAAACCGCACTGTTAGTGATGCGTGTCGTACACAAGAAACTGTCTACAACCTTCTTAGATTAGTCAGCCGTAATTCACCTCAATGGGCTGAGTATTTACTGATGTTTGCCATTGTATAAAATGATTATGAAAAAATATGCAACTTCTGTTCAAGACCGTAACTCAGCACCGCTCATATGTCCAAACGTACATAACGTAGGTTTCCCTGAATACAGAAGCGAAAGGCTCGTAAACTGTGTGTGGAAGTTAGTTTGTGGGCTACTTACAAAGCTTCGTCGTCCAGTTTGGAGTGCCTTAGTTTCAGATGAAGTCATTTTAATACACATATTCCAAACCGAGAAGGAGTAACCGAGTCTGAAACGTTGCGCCACAAAACGAAGTCGGTCAACTTCGTCCAAAACAAAAACACCCCTCACGTTTCTCTCCTAATATGGCAGCGAGGATGTGAGGAGTGGAACGTATGCATCGTTTAGACGACATACGAGCCAGAGGAACACTATGTGCTTAGAAAGATGCCCAGGAACGTTTGAAACGAACCAGTTTATTGCACAACATGTACATGCCATAAAGGTGAACAAGAAGGAAGGGCTGCAGTCTGAAGCGCTGGAAAATAAATCAGCTCCAGAAAGGCTAGCAAACATAGCACTTTACTGAGAGCAGCAAGTAACACTCCTCCACTAGACTAGTCTGATTTTGTAGTACTTTTCATATATTATGATTACACTGGGAATGGAAGCACATTCCCGCCAGGTAAAGGTGGAAAACAGTTTTTTTTCCTCCTCTGTTTCTGGCAAGAGTATATATACTTTTTGACATAGTATCTCGAAATGATTTATTTATGAACAATTTACTATGTCAAAATAATGACTTTAAATCAAGAACTAATTATTTTGACAGTATATTGAAATTTTCTCTATACAAGTCATTATTTTGACATACTCGGTCAGTATTTTGAAAAAAATACATCATTTCGAGATACTAAATCAAAATCCTGATAAAATAATGACATCTTGTATCTTGAAAAGATGAATTATTTTGACGTGCTGCCAGAAATAGAGAAGGAGAAAAAAATACCTGTCAGGAATGGGCTTCCGTAGGGTAGGCTATTACCTGTATTGAGTCAAAAAGTATCACTCTACTGCTTGCTTCCTGCTTCTAAAATACATTTTCTCAACATTAACAGCCAGCAGGATGTCACATGGTCAGTATATCATAAACATACAGTAGATACATGGATTTCTTTGGTGCAGTGAATACACCAAGTTCCTGTGTACATCTTTGAAAGCACAGACAGGTTAGTTTGCTACGTGAGTTCAGAATCATGTGTCCATGCAGTTCCCTTCGCTCCAAATCCAGGAGGGGCAATGGCACTTCTGCTTTTCCGGGCAGGGTTTTAAATGTTTGACAGAGGGATACTTTAAAACATGTAGTGTATGTAGGCCTACTTCCTTAAAGCATCTTGAATCTTCCACTGTAACCAAGGAATAACAAATTAAAATGGCATATTTTTTGCATTTACATAAGCAGATATAACAAGTGCTCGTAATTCACAGCATTGCAATTCATGGGTGGAGTCAACTACACAGTGTTTTCTTGTTTTGTTTCAGAAGTTCTTGGCCCTTATTTTTCATCTATAACAACGTGCAGTAGGTAATAAAGTGACTTCTACTTGCAGTTTTAGGTGAAGCTGTGTAAAATAAAATCAAAGGGTTCATTATATATACATTCATCACCAGGATTTGGGCTGGCAAAGCCACTCAGCTCCCAAACCTCATTTCAAACATACTGTGATCCCTTTCCCATACTGAAGTAATCCTTCACATATAGAGCTACCAAGTGTGCAAGTCTGATCTTCAAAGAGGTCTTGGCTGAAAAACTGAAATCCAAAGTACTGGGTATGGTTTAAGAAGAACAGTGCTAACCCAACAACCTGATTTATCATAAAGGGGTTAAACAAACATTCAGTGACAAAAGCCAATAGTCAGTACCCTGAAGAAATGTTCTGAAGCTCTACTGGCTTTTTTAAGAACAATATTACTGTTAACTATGGAATCTAATACTCTTCTTATATACTCCAAACATGGTGATGTCTTAGCTGAGCTGTGCAGCCTTTCATAATTAACTGTCCACACGAATAAATGGATATGAAATGGTTGCAAAGAAGCTACTACACCCTTATTCTCCATGTGGAGAGCAAGTCATTGAAAAGTGTCCAGAGAAAAGCTTCCAGCCAAGATGCAAAGCAACAGGATTTACAGTTTGTCTTCAGAGTAGGAGAAAGGAGGCAGAGGAGTAGAGAAGCCAGAGGAAACACCTACAGGATATTTTGGCAGGTCAGCTGAGGACAGTCAAGTGTTTCTGAAGAGCAGTCTGATTTCGGTCTACTGTAGCGTGTCCACAAATGCGTCAAACTCGTCAATGTTCTTCTCATAGATGGCCAGTTTCTCTGGCAGAGAGTCCTGCAAAACAAATATATCATTGTAATTCCATTTCGTTACAAAACAACACAGCAAGCACAGGAAATCATTCCAAGAGGCACAAATTGAGTTGCTGAGTATACACTATTCATCAAATGCTTCTTCCAAAATCAAAGATGAGTCTTTCTGGATTACAAACAGCCCTCATACTCAAACCAAAGGTTTTCGATCGTGCAGCATCACTCTGGAGAACACACTTCCACAGCCCAATGCTGTCTCTCTCTAACTGATGCTTGGCATTGATCATGATGACCTCATGGTGAAGCTCATGTGCATCTGCTCCACAGTGTCTTATTCTATTGGCAAAGCTTTTCTACAAGCTGATTGTACAAGCTGTCTTTGCTCCAATTATCAGCAATGGGTGCACCTTAATTTAGCTGAATTAGAGGTGGTGTCTGGGTAGTTTTGGATAAAAGTGAGTGAGCAAGTACAGGTGCATCTAAATAAATTAGAATATCATCGAAAAGTTAATTTATTTCAGTAATTCCATTCAAAAAGTGAGACTCGTATATACTCGATTCATTACTCACAGAGTGATCTATTTCAAGCGTTTATTTCTTTTAATGTTGATGATTATGGCCTACAGCCAATGAAAGCCCAAAAGTCAGCATCTCAGAAAATTACATTATATAAGACCAATTTAAAAAATGATTTTTAATATGTAAATGTTGGCCTACTGAAAAGTATGTACAGTATATGCACTCAATACTTGGTCAGGGCACCTTTTGCATGAATTACTGCATCAATGCGGTGTGGCATTGAGGCAATCAGCCTGTGACACTGTTGAGGTGTTATGGAAGCCCAGGTTGCTTTGATAGCGGCCTTCAGCTCGTCTGCATTGTTGTGTCTCTCATCTTCCTCTTGACAATACCCCAGAGATTCTCTATGGGGTTTAGGTCAGGTGAGTTTGCTGGCCAATCAAGCACAGTGATACTGTGGTTATTAAACCAGGTTTTGGTACTTTTGGGAGTGTGGGCAGGTGCCAAGTCCTGCTGGAAAATATAATCCGCATCTCCATAAAGCTTGTCAGCAGAGGGAAGCATCAAGTGCTCTAAAATGTCCTGGTAGATGGCTGCGCTGACTTTGGACTTGATATAACACAGTGGACCAACACCAGCAGATGACATGGCTCCCCAAACCATCACTGATTGTGGAAACTTCACACTAGACCTCAAGCAGCTTGGATTGTGTGCCTCTTCACTCTTCCTCCAGACTCTGGGACCTTGATTTCCAAATGAAATGCAAAATTTACTTTCATCTAAAAACAGGACTTTGGACCACTGAGCAGCAGTCCAGTCCTTTTTCTCCTTGACCCAGGTAAGACGCTTCTGACGTTGTCTCTGGGTCATGAGTGGCCTGACACAAGGAATGTGACAGTTGTAGCCCATGTCCTGGATACGTCTGTGTGTGGTGGCTCTTGAAGCACTGACTCCAGCAGCAGTCCACTCCTTGTGAATCTCCCCCAAATTCTTGAATCGCCTTTTCTTGACAATCCTTTCAAGGCTGCGGTTATCCCTGTTGCTTGTGCACTTTTTTCTACCACACTTTTTCCTTCCACTCAACTTTCCATTTATATGCTTGGATACAGCACTCTATGAACAGCCAGCTTCTTTAGCAATGACCTAATGTGGCTTACCGTCTTTGTGGAGGGTTACAATGATTACTTTCTGGACATCTGTCAAGTCAGCAGTCTTCCCCATGATTGTATAGCCTACTGAACCAGACTGAGGAACCATTTAAAGGCTTAGGAAATCTTTGCAGGTGTTTTGTGTTGATTAGCTGAATAAAGTGAGACACCATGAGTCTACAATATTGAACTTTTTCACAATATTCTAATTTTCTGAGATACTGACTTTTGGGTTTTCATTGGCTGTAGGCTATAATCATCAACATTAAAAGAAATAAACGCTTGAAATAGATCACTCTGTGAGTAATGAATCTATATATGAGTTTCACTTTTTGAATGGAACTACTGAAATAAATTAACTTTTCGACGATATTCTAATTTATTGAGATGCACCTGTGAGCGATGTGAGCGAAAGTGAGAAAGTGTGTGTGTGTATGCATGCGTGTTAGTCTACAGGTTTCTAACCCTAATCCTCCTGCACGTTTTATTGTTTTTCCCAGCTCCCCACACATTCACTTCAAACTTGTTAATCAGCTATTTGGTTGGATTGGGTGTGTTGAGAGCAGGGGAAACGCTAAAATGTAGAGCACAGGGGGTACTAAGGACCAGGGTTGGGAACCACTGCTGCAGTCTACATTGCTCTCACAATAAATGGTTCACTCTCTTAGTCAAAGGTAACATCACTGTCAGTGATGCAAAAAACAAGCAACATTGTTAAAAATTCTACAGAGAGAATATGATCAGCTTATGGGTAGTGCTACTGAATTCTCACCAGGTCTTCAGCCATAGACTGTGCGCTGACGTCGATGGACAGGCTGGCAAGCTGGGGAGGGTTCTGAAACTCTCTATAAAAAGTACCCAGGTCCATTGGCAACAGATCATCCTTGGAGAATGCTGGCTTCTGCAATATAAATGCAAATCTAGTCACAAAAAGAACTGTTTATTAAAATAAACAAATAAAATCACTCAGAACAAAACCATACACTTCTATAGTTTTAATTCTGAGTGCTTCTTGACCAATGGAACTTTAATCTATTGGCATGGTTTATTTTGATCATAGGGGCACGCAATATACATTTACAAAGCAGACACTATGACCAACTTTAATAATGTCTATGTGCCAAAATGGCTCTCCTTTCAAAGTAAATCATATGGTCCTAATCTTGGGTAAAGCTTGTGTATTCTTTACGCCCACCAATCACAAGGTTTGACCAAAAGCAAACTAGCAAGTGACAACTAAACTAGCAGACGTAGCCTATTCCGTATCGGACTGAACAAACCTGATTCTTTGTGCTTGCATTACTGTGTAACTTTAGCTCTGCTTGAGTTCTGTAGCACTCAAAGTCAAAGTCAGTCAAGTGTGCTCATTAGAATATTAAGTCACACCCAGACAGTTGCCAGACTGAAATTTATGATCATATTTCTATCTTGTTTATTTAAACTTTGCTGGATGTTTCATATAACACTCAAGCTTGGTATCTTACAAACATTTTTTTATATATTACACTACATTCCCTGAGAACATGGATGGATGGATGGATGGATATGCTGAGGTTTCCACTCCTTGATCACATTTTTCCACTCAAAATTGAAGAGACGTTTTCTTTTGAAGAATCATTAAAAATAATAATAATAATAATAACAACAATAACAATAATATCTCTCAAAGGGCCGCATTTCTCCGGTTAAGCTATGGTCAGTGGGTGTTCTCTCTGATTTCTGTTCTGGCTTCTTAGGACGTGCTGGGTTCTATGCTGCTGTGCTTTTAACTTGTCCATCATTAGCTGTATAGAGTTAAACTTTTAGACTTTTAAAGTTTGCTTTACATTGATACTGTATATATTGTACACCTCCACACATTGAATATTGTGCTTTAAAATATATTCAAAAATGTTACCAAGAGACTAAAGAACACAAGGAATAGTATTCACAAAATATTCAGTCCTCGGAGTATTCAGCATCCACCTCCTTCAGATCAATTTAATGCTTGGAATTTGAAAATTGTAAGAAAGTCATATTCTGTGTGCTGTTTATAAAGAAAACTAAACTTCATGAATGAGTGGGTTTTCTGTAGTGAATACATACAAAGTCGACCATGACAAAGTCGTCTTGTGCTTGGCCCCCGCTTTGGCTGGAGCTCTGAGAGTGAAGGCTGCCCTGCAGCGGGGATGAGGGAGTCGGTGATGCTGGTGGATGCACCTGGACGCAGATAACATAACACATGAAACACTTTCAAGATGATACTACAGCTGAAATTGCATATTCTGCTTGATTTTCTGCTGTTGTATATTGAGTAGCCTTGAGCTACAGGCTACTATGGCCCAATCCCATTTCACCCCTCGCCCCTACCACTTCGTCCTTAGCCTTCCGTTTTGCGTGTTCACACCTACGGGCAGGGTGTCCAGATTTTTGTTGAGATAGAGGGCTAGGGTGAAGTCTTAGGGCTACATGGCCCTCCAAACGGAGGTTTTTTAGAGGCAAACTCCAAACGGAGTGTTATGAGAAAAAAAGAAAACCGAGCAAGATGGTTGTGTAAGCGACCAAAGAAACCTAAAAATGTGAGTATTTTCTCTGTTAAAAAATATGATAATCATTGTATTATCTTAGTTTTATTTCATTTTAATTTAGTATAGTCCTTTTCTTCATAACAAGCATTAAAAATGATTAGTAGTATACTGATGTCTCATTAGCTAGCTAGCCAGCTTAATTTCCCGCCAGAATGTAACTGCTGCTCCATTTAAGATGGAACAGGAAAATTCAAACGAGTAGCTGACTTCAGCTTCGTAACACTGAAGGTTTAGGGGTGGGTGATAATAAAAAAAATGTCGAATCCCTCCTCGTTTAAGGAATATGATTCCCTAAATGTAACTAAAGCCCAGCAGCAAGGTTGCTGAACTTCACCCTCCTCTGCTATCAATGTAGACTAGCAGGGTCACCTACGGAGCAGCGCTAGTAGCCTGTTAATGTAGTCATGTTCTTTTTAATTTGAGGAGAAGAGTAAAACTACTACCCCTTGTATCTCAGGTTACATTCGAAAACAAGGAGTAGGGGTAAGAACAAGAAATGGGATTTGGCCCAAAATTTCAAATCTGAAAGTTAATTTTCAAGCATATTTTCAGTAACTATGTCTAACAAATTAAATGACTGCAAAGGCTATATTTACTGATCCCACTGAAAATAGTGGAATGTGTGAAGCTGGGGTCACTGAGATTATATACTGAACACTAAACTCACGTTTTGATTTTTTCAGTCTCAAAACACAGAAGAATAATGTCTCTTTGCTTATCACATGGGTATGTTTTTGTGTGTGTGTTTTGTCAGGTCAGTCTCCTACCATGGGGTCATTCTCCTCCAGGTCATATGCTTTGGGAGCAAATGCAGCAAATGGCAAATCCAGACTGGCTGTTGTCACCTGGACAAACAGAAATTGGAAAATCATTACACTGTCTTCCTCTTGACCCATTCTATGTGTTTATTTGTGTGTGGGTTTGTGTACTCACCTGTGTTGTGGGTTTGTTGACGAAGGCTCCTACTTTCCTGGTGAAGGTTGTCTCCAGTGCATCTGAAGGGGATGCACTCTTCACCTCACTGCTCCTTGACAACACATCTGCATCACCACTACTCACACACCCACAACACCCACGCAAACAGTGAAAACATTCATTGCAGCAGTCAGCATAAGGCAGCATGATAGAATAGACTCCAAACTGTCCTCACCTGCTGCAGCTGGAGGGTGGAGGCTGGTGGTGCATGTCTGCAGTAGGGCAAGAAGGGGCACGCCCATGGTCAGCCTGAGTGCCATGACTGGGCTGAAGCAGCACCTGCGGGACTCCACCCTCTTTCCCTGGCACAGCCATCTATTGAGAGTAGGGATGTTAATAGTTAAGCGATTAACCGTTAACCGGAAAATACATAAATGTTCGACCCATGCTTTCAATTAAAAAGTTAACTTAATCTCTGATAAACAATTGACATTTGAACACTGTTTTTCATTCAACTTGAGGACCATTTTTTAAAATTGTATGCATGATGATGCAAGAACACAACTTCCACCAACTAAGAAGCAGTGGGCAAAAGTGGAACAATGTCAAATAACACAAGAGAGGTGTCTGCTGCTACAGATAGCAGAGGTAAGGTGGCTAGTGCAGAAATCACCCACCAGCAACAGGGAGACAAAGCCGACAAGAAAAATGCCATGATGTTTCTTCGGGAGGAACACTACTCATCCCAAGTTGGTAACTCTGAAACAAAGCTAGACAGCTATTTCAACGCTATCCCACAAAACTGGACATAAATCCTTCAATGGTGGAATGTCTACAGAGCACAATTACCAAGCCTAGTAACGTCAGTCAGATGTTACTTATGCAAGAGGAGGTATTCTCTGACGCTGGTCTGATTGTGAACAGACTGCGTATTAGACTGACCCCTCCACCTGTGGATATGTTGATATTTCTCAAAAAAATAAAATGACTAGGATATTTAGCCACATGACACAGTTCTAAGGTAGGCTACAGTGTTATGTTTGATGTTTTCATGGGTCATGTCTGTGTTTTTATGTTTGACGGTTAATTATTAATCACCTTCTAATAACGGTCAGTTATCGGTCAAAATCTGCCAAAATTTGCATCCCAGCAATAAAAAACTACCTACACCAGTTAGTGTCTTGCTCTTTTAGAAAGTGATCCTGTAATCAGTTAAACAAAGAAAAGCACTAAGTGAAATGATACAATGTAAATGTAAATGAATACAATGTAAATGATTTTAGTAATTACATTGTAGGCAATCTTTTTATGTGACAATTTTTTACCGCTGTGTTTTTAATACATTTGCACAGCATATAACATTTGCTATACGTAGCAAATGTCACAGCAGTATGACATTCTGGGGCAGATTTACATAAAGAGGTTCTAATTACAGACATCTTATAGGACTTTGCACCAGAGGTGGGGGCCAATTTAGCATATGACCTTTGCAATTGACATATGACCAGTGCAATATAATGAGGCTCAGTGGCAAGTGCATTTGGAAACTGTTTAATATTGTAAAATTTTGGTGCAAATTTAGAAAATTTTCAAGTGCATCCTGGTTGTTTGGTGAATGTCTCCTCTTTGCTACTTGCAACGTATCAAAGATTTTGACATTTCCGTCCAAGCGCGCACAAATGAATGAGTAGCGTTAGTAAAGCAGGGGTTGCACTACTAAAGAGATTTTCAATATGTGATTTCTACAGTCTTTTGAAAAAAAAAAAAAGGTTACATCTTAACACATTTGTAAAATACAACATTTCTCACTAAAATCGGGCTTGTGACGGCACAATACATTATGAATATTATATTTTGAACCTTTTACGTGCTGCTTTTAAAAGCTTTTCAAAAAAGTAACAATAGCGTGTCCCTCATTTATTTTAAGAGGCAAAACGAGGTGTGCGGAGTTGTATACAGTGCAACAAGTGAGATGAGAAGAGTACCAGTTTTGCGGTCATGATGCGAGGATCGTGCTGGCATCAGCTAATGAAATATCAGTTTTTGCTAAGTGAAAAATGGAGGAGCACATCCTGGTAATTTCCTGAGCTGTTTAACATTTTCATCGAAATATAGACACAGTTATTTTTATTCTGCTTTCAATGTTTTCACAATTCTTATTTTCATGTTTAAAAAAAGTGGCACAATTTATGCAGGAAGAAGCTACTATGAGCTGATACTGGCACTGGTGATCAAAATATTTAGCTCTTTAAAATTGGTATTAGTGCCAAAGCTTTCATGCTGGCTGGTCTTAGAGTTTATCCATATAACCAAACAAATTCTAGAATGTAAGAGTGCTTCTGAATATGTAAACAGAGCATTTGAAGCATCTGAATGTCTGGGGAAAAAAGTCCTTCTGCAAGAGCCCATATGGGCATGTGCTTAATCTTACTATAGTGCCAGAGTTGGTGATTTCCCCTGTATTTCTAAGAGTCCATGTGGATATGAATAGCCATTTTTACACTAATGTATGTGACCCGTGTAAGTGCTTGTGTATGTGTGTGTGTCAGCCTTGGTGTGGTACCTGGTGGGGGTGAGCAATGGCAGTGCAAGCTGCGGGATGACACACATCTACTGCACCCAGCGGGGGCGTCTGATATGACAGACGAGAAGTACATAGCTGAGAGAGAGAGACAAAGATATTCAGTCTAAATTATTATTGCCTACAATTGTACATATTCTTTATTTAATTATTATGACTTCTTTATACACCAGGTGATGTCATATTTAATGTGATTTGTTTGTTTACATCACAAAATAAAAGTTCAGACAACTCAATTCAGTATAATAAATAAATAGTTTAAAAAATTAGAATTGTGTCCAACTTACAAAATACGACAAACTTTGCTGCAAGTATAGCAAAAACCCTTAATATTTAATGATCTCTTTCATACAGAACATAATAGCAGAGGGGAGTGGAAAAATGAGGAACACACTAACAGAGTGAGGAGCAGACAAGAAGAATGCAGAAGCAGCGGAGGATGGACAAACCTTATTGTTTAATGGAAAGAACAAGCAGGAGATCAGAAGGAAATGCAGTTTCTATTACAGGCCCACATACCAGAGGTGGGTAACAACTAATTGCATTTACTCAGTTAAATATCCTTTCATTAAGTCTGGTTTTATGAGCGTTTTCAATTACTAAAATACTGTTTACTTATGCTCAAATACATTTATGATGAAGGAAATATACTTTATACTTGTTTACACCTCTGCAAGCTAAAAAGCTTAAGGCAAAGTAACATCATCTGTAAGAGATTTCTGGATATGATCATTTTAAATTGTTTCTTGGATCGCTACTATTAGGTTTTTAAGTTTTATTGTTTATTTTAAGTTTTAATGTCTTTATTGCTTCTTTTATTAAATTAACTGTTTTATTTGGGTGGGGTTTACACAGTTCTACCCACATCTGCTATGCAAACAACATATTCTCCCTGTTGGAACCCAACCTTGTGTCTCTAAAAAAGCAACTTTACAGAAAAAAAACATGCAAGTTAATGTAACAAAAGTCATTTGACCCAAAGTAAATGGCAGCTGGCGTTTTTAAATTGCATAAACAAATGAAAAATGAGGTGGTAAAGAAATATTTAGGTGTTTTTCAACCTAATCCCATGACTGCCTGTGGTAAATGGCCAAGTGACTGCAAAAGGCAGATAGGGATTAGGTTACAAAATATGGTAGCAATACCTTTAAACTTGCAATCAAGAACTGTGCTATGGCCTATTCAAAACTGCAAACAGAACTGCACAGAACATGGAAGTTGTAGGATACCACATCACAGCATAGGTATTTAGTACCTCAGCTGTACTTAGAAATTAGCTGACTGACGGTACAGCCTGTTCTACAGTCTTAAGTCATGCCAGTCTCCTGTGGCTTTGTTTATGAACTAAACCACTGGACCACTATTTTTAAGCATTCGTATGTCCTTCATGTTTTGTATCCTTAGTGTACATTTTGCCAAGCAAGTTACATATTTTATAGTGCCTCTCACATTTAGAATCACTTATTATAAGAGTTTTGTTAATTTTGTCAATTCTAATGTATACAATAGATTCAAGTAGAACAAACCAGGTGTCCCAAGGTTTTTAAGATGTTTTATTCAATATTTCAAGTGTTTTGAAAACAACACACACTTATCAAATCATAAATACTACACATTCATTATGCATTAATTATAATGTCTCAACAAAAAGTCTTCCCCGAGACTTGACTGCAACTTTGCAAATATGAGGCATTCTGAACATTAATTTTATTATACATTTATTGTTCTCTTAATCATTTTAGAATCATCATTCCAGACATGTCTAAAAATTTTCTTTTTAACTATTCTTTACCGTTTCCCACAAATAATTTGAAACATATAATGTTTAGCATAGAATATTTTGATATATTTATCTACAACAGAACTATTTTGTATTGCTTTATTTTAATTAAAAAAAGTCTTGTACTGACGGCCTTCTTAAGTGAAGAGGTTAAAAAAGGGACACTGAGCAGGAAAGAGCTGTCAGGCTACACACATACACACAACTGGTTGCAAACATACACATCTGAGGATTCTTCCCTGTTCACAACTGAGCTCTCCGTGCACAACCCACAACTGTGTTCTTTCTTAGCTACTGCTGCGAGGTTGGACAAGCTTCACAGAATGTTCGCAAGATCCCATTCAATCTAATGAGATCCAATCTAACGTTTCAAGTTGAAAATACTACAGTAACAAGCTAGACTCTGCTACTGTGGCTAATTACAACCAGGTCTGGGGTCTCTCTCTCTCTCTCTCTCTCTCTCTCTCTCTCTCTCTCTCTCACTCTCTCTCTCTCACACACACACACACACACACACACACACACACACACACACACACACACACACACACACACACACACTGCTGAAGACCTGTTAAGCTTGTCCAAATTTTCAACAGTTGTTAGTTGCCACGAAAAAAAACATGTTTGTGGGCTAAGCATAGATACTAGGGCCCAACTGATATAAACATTTTGGGACAGATACCAATAATAATTTTAAAAAAATTCCGATAACTGATGGCTGAAATCAACGTATGGCCAAAGGCTTACTCTTTTAGGTCTGGTGTTAAAAGGCTAAAAAATCCATTAAACTTTATTAAAATGTATAAAAATTAGCAGCACAAAAACCAGCAACAAGCAGAGGACTTTTTTTGAAAATGTGTTTTATTATTCAAAAAATGGCAGAGGAAAATGATTTTCATGTTGGATGAGTAACGGAGGCTGCTTCCTTAAATGTGAACTAAAACTACAGCTAACTGGCACAACACTGGAGGTTGATGAGGACTTCAGAAGGTGTTTTCTCCCCAGTGGATGAGGTTAGTTTGTCAGAGAAATATATTTCTACTGTTTCTGGACCTTGCTAACATAAGCTAAAGTAAATAGCCCAATTAGCAATAAAGCCGTCCGACATCTGCCTTCTCAGCCAAGTCCTTAACAACGTGCTTATGGCACTCATGTTTTGTATGAAGTGTAATATACATACTTATTATACATACTTACTTACTTACAAGTATGAGCAAAACTATAACATCTTACAGTCCTGTTAAAACATAAAAGCATTGTTTCATTGAATTGATAGTCTCTATATATTTTTTCTTCTTCCTGTGAGGAAATGGAAGTACCCAGCAAGTACCCAGTATTTAAACGTTGGCATAAATAGTTAAGAGTATCCGAACACATCCCTAACTCATTTCAGATAGATTTTAGTTTTATACTACGACAAATCTACTTACATTTAACGGATATGATTTTCAGTCATCAACTGTGAATTATGAAATCTGAGTATCTGTTCTTTGTGGTCACATTTCTTAAATAAACAGCAGAAACTCACATAAATATTGTAGCACTGATAACGAGGCAACCCAGAAGTCTTTGCAGTTTTAGCTTTAGTTGATGGTGTTTTTTTTTTTTTTAATCAGCTGTCGTCCCTGAAAAAGTTTTTTAGTACTATGTTGTTCTCATGCCAAACATTGGTTGGGTGGATTTTGTGTTTGATTGTATTGTCTGTGCAAATTTCTGTGCAAAATCATGGGTTTAAATACTGAAGCCATAAAGATGCTTTTATTGGTGGTATTTTCATTAATAATGATAAATCCGTGAGTCATCGATATCAAACAACCAATATATCAGTCGGGCTCTGACAGGTAAGTCAACTTGCCTGCATACTTTTGGGATTCTACCAACAGACTCACACAAACACATTTGCACGCACACACTCTTAGGACTCACTTGCTGTGAGAAGCCCAGCCCCATCATGGGGACCTTCAGAGTGGCCATCAGAGCAGGCTTAGGAGTCTTACTATGTGCTTGACTTACAGTGCACACACACTACTCGCACAAACAAACACACAGAGAAAGAGAAAAAGAAAAAGGAGACAGAGAACAGGAAGCAACAAGAGAAATGAAAACACTACCACAGGAACATGATGAGGAGAAAGTCAATCTGGTAGCTTGATAACAGAGAAGCTTATGAATCACTCTTGATTCAGGCTTTACTTAGTACTTCAGACATACATTTTTCTTTACGAATCGTACAGAGCTTTTATCTGCATGATATATGCATGATTGTTTATGAAGAAATTACATTAATGGAGGCAATTAAAGACCGAAACACACTAGATTTTTTCCAAACTGACATATATCGCCCTCTTTAGGACATTAGCTATGCAAACTGATCATAGCCCGCAGAAAAAGAAACATGTTTAGCTATCAAGATATCAGATTGCTTAGTGCAACATAAGAAAGAAAATATACTTAAGCAAATGCTGAAAAGTCAAAAAATACAGAGTGGAGTGTGGAGCTGATATGCACAGTGTATGGACTCAGGCTAAAGGTGAATTAACAGTGAAGGCAAAACAACAACTAAAGCATGGGATGCACTGAGAAACAGGGGTTGATAGATATTCAGGATGGCACAGAGTGGAATTTCAATAGTGAATCAGCTCTAAGATAACGCAGCATTACTCCTGCCTGTCTCAGGCTCTACCTGAGCAGGTAAGTGGCTGTGGTCTGCCTGTGAGGGAGGATGTCAGATGGGGGTTGGCTAGTGAAGAGGTGTATGATGTGTATGATACAATATTATAAATGATACCTGCACCACAATATAAGTCTGCTGTCATATGATGTACTGAGATCAAAAACTGTTCTATTGTATCTAATAAGATTTCCATTTTGTTTATCTCACTTCGGTTTTCTTACTGAAGAAAACAGAACTGTTAAGTAGACAAAGCCACATAAAAACTCTTAACATTTATATGTATAGTGTGCTGTAAAAATTAAAGTATCATGATATGTTTTCGCACTCTACACTCTCATGCAGAGCAATTCCAATTCCATTACTATCTCTCTTTTCTCCCACCCCTATGCGTGAGTATGTAGGGTGGTCTGAAAGCAAAACATGTTTATCTATGAAAGTTCATATGAGTGAGGAGTTTGTTTGGGTGCAAAGACAACAAGAGTGAAAGTGACTGTGCGAAAGTAGCAGGGTTAGGGCAGGCTTCTACCTGAGAAGGTGGAGAAGTGGAAAACGAGGTGGTGCAGACTTCCTGGGAGTCCTCCACACCGGCATAAGCTCCTCCCTCTTCCTCACCTGGAGCCCTGTGAGAGAGAAAGAAAGAGGGGAGAGAGAGAGAGAGAGAGAGAGAGAGAGAGAGAGAGATTTGCTTTACACCAAACTGTAGGACATAACCAATTCTGCTATAGCACCGTAATGTAATCCACCTGTAGTTGCAGGGGTGCATGATGGCTGTGTTGCTGAGGGGGCGCTCCACAAAGTGGTCAATGATAATGCCCATGATGGGGCCCGTCCTTTCAAACCGCCTGGGAAACAAAAATCCAACAACATATTTAGATTAAGAACTGAAACTCAAATTAGGTTTTTAATTGCATTTAACAGAAGTATTAATCCATAGCTGTCTCTAGGTATATCTATTAGGGGTGGGCTATACAATGATATGACACTGTTATTAGCATAATTTGTCACAATACACATTACAATAACCCAACAGAATGTCACAATAAATTAATTAAAAAAAGGTCAGAAGAGGCTCCCAAAGAAGTTTAGTAGAGGTGTAGATGTGCAAGATTTCTCTCTACTGGTGAGAAATCATGTGTTTAAATCCTGACAATGCCAGCAGTCCATGAGAGCATAATCGGCCCTTTGTTGTAGTGATGCACAGGATGTGAAATGCTAAATAAAGTGTATGGCATTTATTAAAAACGTGGCACTACTGTCTCTCTGGTGTTATGTGTCTGTTCCAACTTAGTAAACTTCAAAAAATATTATGATATATACTGGGTATTTTATTGCCCATCCTTAATATCTATGTATAGTATGGCAGGGAAAGTTTATACCTGGAAGACATCAAGGCAAGATTGGTGCGATATGCACAGGACAGGGTGAGGGTCCCTATGGGAGTCCCCACAATGCCTACACGTACTGTCTGGAAGCCTGAAGAGAGGTGTAGGAAGAGAGGAGAGGCAGAGAGAAAAAGAAAATTAAAATATGTTTTGCTGCGCTACATATCCTAGTTATAATCAAAGCCAAGGCAAATGCTGTGCACGGTCCTTAAAGTCTTACCTTCCCCAAGTCCTGATAGCTGCACATCTCCAAAATATATCCTGCCAAGAGAATGCCCAAATTAATGACCAGATCAGACTATGCTAATTAAAGACTTATATGACATAACACCACATTGTGAGTATACTGTTACATATTGCAATTTACTTTAATATATAATCACATTACTGAACCTTTGATGTGATCAGTTGCCTCAATTATTTTTGAACAAAACACTTTACATTTGTTGAATCAAGTGAATGCTATGATTAATCTAAACATACAAAGTTCGTGATTGGTCAGAATGCTCATAGGACATGACAAAACATTCTATGCTTGGTGAGAGGCTCATACGTCATATCAGACATTTAGCACAATCAGTATTGCGAAAGCTCATCTTACAATAATGATTAACAAAAAGATACACTGTGCAATCCAAATATCTGAACTGGGCTGCACCAATTTTGCTGAATGGGTACAAATTCCCACAAACACACTCAAATAGTGTGAAAAGCATTCCCAGAAGAATGGAGGCTGTTACAGCCGCAAAGAGGGGGCTCAAATCCAGTGGTCACGTGTCCACATACTTTTGGTGTTTCTAGCTTAGTTATCAATCTTTTTTTTCTTCTATGTGTTTTGGTGTGGTTTCCATTGGGTTCCCAAACATACCTGCTTAGGGGGAGGTATAAATGTTCATTTAAAACTAGTCCTGTGGTGCAACCTGTTTTGATTTGTACTTTACTCCTACTGCACTTTACCTTTAATTAGGTAATTTTCATTATACTTAAGCCATCTATTTTTAATTTCCTTTTTAAGTATTTCTATTTTGCTTCTATATATTTCGTACCTAACTATTGCATTTCTTAGCACTTTATTTTGTATGTTTTTTCATTAATTTAAGCACTTCTGCTTTTATTTATGTAAAGCACAATGAATTGTCTTTGTACTTTGCTATATACAATCCCATTTCGAAAAAAGTTGGGACGCTGTGCAGAATGTAAATAAAAACAGAATGCAATGATATGCAAATCATGTAAACTGTGTTTTTAAAGGAAAATATGCCCATATACATTTAAGCCCATGTTGACTTTGATGCCAAAAACACATTCCAAAAAAGTTGGGACAGGGGCATGTTTACCCCTGTGTTTCATCTTCTCTTCTTTTAACAACACTCTGTAAGCGTTTGTGAACTGAGGATGCTGACTGCTGTAGTTTTGAAAGTGAAATGTTTTTCCATTCTCGTTTAATATACGATTTCAGCTGCTCAACAGTTCGGGGTCTCTTTTGTTGTATTTTTCATTCCATAACGCGCCAAAGGTTTTCAGTGGTGACAGGTCTGGACTGCAGGCAGACCAGTTTAGTGCCCAGACTCTTTTACTATAGAGCCATGCTGCTGTAATACATGCAGAATGTGGTTTGGCATTGTCATGCTGAAATAAGCAATCCTTCCTTGAAAAAGATGTCATCTGGATGGCAGCATATGTTGCCAAAACATGTATATATCATTCAGCATTAATGGTGCCTTCATAGATGTGCACGTCACCTATGCCATGTGCACTAATGTACCCCTATACCATCATGAATACTGGCTTTACAACTGTGCACTGATAACAAGCTGAGTGGTCTTTAGCCCGGAGGACACAGCGTCCATGATTTCCAAAAAGAATTTCAAATGTTGATTTGTCAGACCACAGGACACTTTTCCGCACACCCTCAGTCAATTTTAAATGAGCTCGGGCCCAGAGAAGGTGGCAGCATTTGTGGATCCTGTTTATATTTGTTTTTTTTTGCATTTTAGAGTTTTAACTTGCATTTGTGGATGCAGCGACAAACTGTTTTTACAGACAGTGGTTTTCAGAAGTGTTTGTGAGCCCATGCAGTGATTTCCACTACAGAATCATGTCTGTTTTTAATGCAGTGCCACCTGAGGGCCCAAAGATCATGGCCAGCAAATACTGGTTTTTGGCCTTGTCCCTTGCATACAGCGATTTCTCTGGATTCTCTGAATCTTTTCATGTTATTATGTACCGTAGATAATGAAAAGCAAAAGTTCTTTGCTTTTATATGCTGAGAAACCTTATTCTTGAATTGTTGCACTATTTACTTGCACAGTCTTTCACAGAGAGGTGAACCCCTCTACATCTTTACTTCTGAAAGACTCAGCCTCTCTTGGATGCTCTTTTTATACCCAGTAAGTTACTGACCTGTTGGCAATTAACCACCAGGTGTGCATTACACAACTTTATCAGCCTTTTGTTACCCCCGTCACAACTTTTTTGAGACATGTTGTTGGCATCAAATTCAAAATGGGCATATATTTTTCAAATTCAATAAAATTTCTCAGTTTCAACATTTGATATGTTGTATCTGTACTATTTTCAATGAAAATTAGGGTTTAAATGATTTGCACATAATTGCATTTTGTTTTTGTTTACATTTTGCACAATGTCCCATCTTTTTGGGAAATGGGGTTGTAAATAAACTTGTCTTACCCTGATTTAGTAATGTGTAAAACTGAACTTGGTGTAAGAACGTATGTGGTAGCTTTAGTACCTGTACAGAATGACGTAATCATGGCCTTGCTTGCGTGAGAGTTTGTAAGCAGGAGTAACTCTTGTGATAGCCAGGAGAGATTTGAGCAACAGAGACAGGCGGGTATAAACCGTGTAGGACACTTTAATGTCTTTTTCACACCTGAAACAAAGCCATTTATTTCACAGTTAGTGTTCACTGTAACCAATGCTGCTAAGAGCCATATTAAAGTAAAATGACTTACTTTTCATTCATTTCCAGGCACCATGTTTCTAGCTCCATCGAATCACCCTGCATAAAGCAAAATTCTGTTAGATGCTGGGACATTACCATGTTTCAAACAAAATTTGTTTACTACTCCACCATGAAACGTATCAGTACGGTCCATGTCTTGCCTTTTTGTGTTCATATTAAATGAGGTCACTGTATACTGTCTACATGTCACTGATAAAACCAAGCATCTAACTGAAGTGGAACATGGAATTCATAAGGTGAAGGCCAGGTCAGCAAGGGAAAATGAGCATAGCTGAGGATAAAATATTACTTGCATTTTTAAATATTGCCAGTGCTACCAATTAAGTCATAAACCAGTTCCACAATATAAATATAAACTGTACCGTAAGTCCTTCTCAGCGTCTGTCAAAAACGAAAACTTCAGCTCTGAGATGAGCTTACCAACTTCAACATCTGAAGGTACTTGTCAAGGCATCACTTTATTATTAACCCAATCACTTTATTTGCCTGATATTAACTAGACATTCATTTTTATTGTTTGTTTGGATGTACTGAATTCTAATCTTAATGCTGAAGTGATCATCTGCGCTATGACACTTCATCCTGTATGAATCCGCAAATGGAAACCATTACATTACTAGATCCCTCTGGTAAATCTAATCCAGCTCGAACAGGGCTATATACTCTTAAAAATGCTAAAAAGGGCCATCAAATGCAGCAGAAGAGTTTGTCTGTTGTACAATGTTGGGGGTAGGCTTTACATGCAAAAATATCAACACTATATTATAATTAAAACCACCTTTATTAGAGAAATAAAAATGCCTTTTCCATTATAAGTCAGCTATTACTCTTTTCAAAACCTGTTATATTAATACAAACTGTTACAAATTAACTTCAGCATAAGTACCACTTTTGGTTTGTTAAGTAGCATTTCAATGGATGGCTCTTTAAATAATTAATTATTTTTGTAAATGAGAATCTTCCTAGAACCACCTGTAGAGGCCGAAAACAGTTCACAGAACTGGCTCACTTGTTTCTATAGTCAAAATTCTGGACCAGAGACTTCATCAAAGGCAAAAGTAGAAATTTCGGGACTGACCAAAACAATCTCACAATTTCTCACATAAAAAAAGATGTCTAAGTCACTATAACACCTGGACAGAAAACAACCTGGCTTGGAGACTGAAATGCACAACTGAATCTGAAGAAAGAAGTGCCTTTAAATACAACAGAAATAGGAGTTTTAAATACACTTTAACAGGGTGGTGTTTATATTCCACAATCATGTTTTACCACATCCAGAACACGAAAACTGATATTTAAGCAATAGAACAGGAGAGGGAGTGTGTTATCGCGAAACACAGAACCTCAAGTGTTCTATTGCTTTTATACAACAGTTAAATAAATAAAGGAGGAAATAAATACACTGGGCCATGAATGTGGCATTTAATATGTTTTAATGTTTGCAATTCCTTCCGCCAAATTATAGTTCCTTAACAAGCAGTTTGTTGCTACATCAGAGTAACTGATCACCTTATTAGGGAGTAGGCAATAACATTAAGCTGAGTCTGTACTTAACATTTAAAACACAATAAAACGTTTGAAACTTGAAGTTACTACGCTATAGTAATGACATGTGCATGCTCAGTAGGATCACTGGATGGGTAGGACAAAATGTTAGAACACCGGCAGTTCGTTCTCCAGCTCCTTACACAGACCAACTAATAGTTTCGGAATTTAGTGTAGTCTCATCTTCAGAGTCTGACTAAATCGGCTGTAGGTCAAATGTAATGTTAAAAGTATCCATTTTCTGTTTGTGCGCAAAGTAAGAAGTAAAAACGTTTAAATGGCTTGAGCGTCTCCTACAACTGTCAAAGTCGTTGCTTAGCAACAGCGTCTCAGTGAAGTGATACAGTGTTTGTAAAAAAACGTGATGTTATGGTGAAATAACAGCACAGTTAGAATGCTTCTCAACCAATCAGCTTGCGTGGCTGGAACTAACTGTTGTATAATATTGAATAACAGCCAGAAATAAAATTATCCCTAATATGGCCAACACTAAAGCCATATTTCCAAATGTTGAAAGGCAGCCAAAGGGAGCACAATTCAGCACTAGAGACAGCAGCCATCTGCCCTCCATTAGCACATGTACTTGAAACACTGAAACGTGCAGTGAGGAATGAGAGGCCTAATCACTTAGTGTGCTGGTCTATAATCACCACCACCTAGAAGCCCTGAGAAGTCATCTCCCAGCCATAGCATATTGTACAAGACCAAAGGACTGCCCAACGCAATGCATAATCATAACCATCTTTTCACGGTTGGTTTCTTAGCACTCAAGCGCTCCTACACTCCTCTATTTGATTGACGTTACTTCCCCATAAGCTCCTCTGGAGCTCAGGTGCTGGGGGATCTTTTGTTTTTACCTCAAGTACTTCTTGTACGTAGAAGCAGACTTTAGACCTAAAGAACTGAAGGGTTTCGTTCCAAAACACGAAACGCAAAATGCATTATAGACCACTTTCAAAAAATTTTTCATGATGTACAATCTTGGGGGTAGGCTTTACATGCAAAAATATCAATGCTATATTATAATTAAAACCATCTTTATTAGAGAAATAAAAATGCCTTTTCCATTATAAGTCAGCTGTTACTCTTTTCAAAACCTGTTATATCCCAAATTGTTACAAATTAATATATGGCATTTTGGAATGAAACTCTTCAATTAAAGCAGAAAAATGCCCAGGAAAACCCTTTTCACACCTGACATCAGTCTTGACAATGAGATGTCTAGCATTTTCATGCATCTCCAGTGACTACTGGTGATTTTGTGACTAGAGTAAAGGTACCAGGCTCATTTCCTATGCCAGTCTTTTGCTGCATTTGGTGTCAGACAAATATGATCCATGGGCCCTTTTTCATGTCTATAAGGCTTGTTACAAAATTTTAGACTGCAGGGACTGCTAATGCAACTTACAAACAAACAGGAGAGGAAACAGCCAATCTATGCAGCAGCTTTCTTCTCTGGTATGATGACACAGTTGATTATAGCAGTCTTTCACTGATGTCGTGTATGTACTGAGGTGTTTTAGAAATCACACTACAGATGTTATGTGGTCATAAGTGTCTCTGACCACCTCCAAAGGTAGCTTGGCTAAGTGGATCAGAGTGTGTCTCTGAGACGCACTAGACTCCCATTTAAACCCGTATTTAGTGCTGTCCACTTTTGATCGGCTCACTCAGGATGTATAAAATGCCAGGTGTGAATGAGGTGTTTATGTTTCAAGACTGAAGCAAACAGTTGTTCCTCAAGATTATAATGACCACTAAGCGATACTACAGATTCTTACTTGATTATCAGTAGTTTTAAGAAAAACAACTCTCTTGACTGCAGATAGGACCGATTAAAACTGCAGCTTTTAGGTAACAACTTGGCATGCTTTAGGCTGATATAAAAATTTGATAATTACCTTTTACAATATTCCAGTATTGTACTAAGAAAAATAGCACATGTACATGCATGTGGTGTTCTGAATGTCACTTTTTAATAGCAATAATGTGTTTTGCAAACGTATGTCTTCAAAAAGATGGCACAGTGGTCTTAATGGGTGTCATGTAATTGATTTCCCCTAGGGTTTTATTTTTTCATAGCTAGACAGCAATCGCATATTAAATGTGAAAGAACAGCACGGCAACATGTGAAGCTGCAAAGGTACGTTGTGAAAGCAGAGAGTTTGAAAAAAATCTCTGCTGAAACTGTAACTTTGTGTCTGTTGAATATTGGAATATACCTTATTACTGAACAGCAAACTACAAATGAGTATGTATTTTCCTTGCTCACAGCAATCAAATTTTGTTAAGACTAAACATCTTTACCACTTTCCTTTTGTTTCGCTGAGGCTGTCAAAATTACATGAAAAATATTAATTTAGTTAAACATGGGCTATTTTTCTTTCAAATAACAATGGGGGTCTAGGTGCTCCACTTGCTCAATTGCCAGGCACCTATGGGCTGAAAAATCCTATTCTGCTGCTGAATAAAGACTTACATATTACCTCTGAGGTTTTCAGGGAGATCTCTACACACATAGAACGCCCAATGCTGGGTAGCTGCCCAGCCAGAGCTTTCTTGGCTTCATGAGTCACCTCTGGGATGTCTTTAATTGCAAGAGTAAACTGAAAGAATAATGAAAATACACAGCCAATAACCAAATCAGAGATTTATATCCATAAAAACATCAGCAACGGTCACTCCTTAAGAAGATGAAACTTGTCTTACCCAGTCTGAGCCAGTGGGGGACGAAGATGAGCGAGTGCAGATCTTCTCACCCAGTCGAGCCTGAACAATCACCTGCACAGTCTATGGACAAACACGCAGAAATGAATAAGCTAAATTATCATCATATATTCTAATGACAGTAATGTTCTTTGTGACAATACAGCAATAACATATTTAAAATGTGGTCCATTGGTGAAAACTGTAAAATGATACCTTTAAGGCAAAAAATTTAATGAATTTGTCCAAGTCTTTTCTGTCCTGTGGGCTCAAATCGCTGTCCATTGTGACACAAGTCTGTGAGACACATGAACAGACACAAACATTGTCAGGAGAGCTACCATGGCAGGATTATTGCCATTTCCTCATTAGAAAGTACATTTTCAAGACTTTTCCAGATTGTTTAACTGTAACTTTTAATTTACGACTGTACCCCAGAACGAGGGTGTATAAAAGATATCCATTTGGAATATTCCATCAGCAGCATACTGGATTTATTTTAACAAAGGACTGACAAGCTGAAGTTGGTAACATTAAAAACTGAACTTCCTCAAGGAGAAATTTAGAGATGGTTGAGCTACCACACTGGCACACAAGTCATGATGTACTGTTGACTTATTTACTTACAATTATTGTAACAGGAGTGTTACTGCACAGATGAAAATTCAATTTTCTCAGACTTACTACTGCATATAACATTTAAAGCGTAATATCTACATTTTTTTCAAAACATTTTCTAGGTTCCATATTTTTTTCTAAGTCGTGGAATGGGTTATTTTAAATTCCATTACATCAACTTACTTTCCTGAATTTTCAGACCAAAGCCAAAGTCCTTCAATGGTTAATGGCAATAATATGCATATGAAAAAAATAGACTTGATCTAATTTAAATAACGGCATATATTTGCCTCTGGCCGTTATTTTTTTAACAGAGAAATGATTACAGAAACAGCCAACTGTTGACACGTCCTCCAGACCAAGCAATGATAAACGCATCCGCCACACAGCTACCCAACTAGCTAGCTAGCTACTTACAAATGATGGGCTTGAAGCAGCACCGTCACATTCACACGCTGGACTTACATTTGCGATCAACGCACGACAGCTTTTCTGACTAAAGAACAACACCAACAGAACTAACAGAACTGCACATGTTCGGTGTCTTTTTGATTTGCTGAGCCAAAACTTGAGTGAACAAAAGGCATTTATCTACGCAGCAGCTACGGCTAACGGCGACACGCATTTAACTGTTACTCACAGTTCATCCCACACGCCACACTCAGGGTTTACACTTTAGATGCGGTTAAAATGCCAAGGAAGAGAGCTTTAAAGCCAGCCAAAATGTTAAAATGCAGTCTTATGGACCACAAATATAATGGAACGAGTCAAGTCATCACAACGCCAAGCGTCTGTAGGTGCCCCATTTTTGTTTATTTTCTTCGGCAAGCTAGGTCAGTTCATGACGTGTTACAATAGGAAGACATGAATAGCAGCACATTCGTCATATTAAATGGCGAATGAGATGTTATGTAAAAAAATAAAACAGGGGATATATATACAAAGCATAAAATGTAACATACGATATCTGTACATTGTTATTTTATTTGTGTATAATTTCATACAAACACCGTTTGTTATCTGTGTATGCGTAATTTTAGTATTATGACGAAAGTGTCACAGAAGATGTACAAGGGTGGGTTTGTGAAACGCAGTCTTTGTGCAGATATACATATTACGTGCAAGACGATTTTTTGGATAAATATACATTGTAGATCACGCAGTCCACGCAGCTCAGCATACTCGGTGGCAGCGGCTAGAGTCACATTTCCGTGGCGGTGTAAACAAACGCAGCTCCGAGTCTGGTAATGTATGAAGGGCATGAAATCAAAGTGTTTTTTTCATGCGTTACAGTATTATGTGGTTTAATCTTAGGCCCATGTGCTTATTTTATGCGTACATGGACGTGATCGTGTAGTTTCTGCAAATGTGCAACACTGAAACGTTTCACAGCACACAGTAAAATCAATGGCTATGCCCCTGGCTTCTTAGCCGTGTGTCTGAAGAAAGCACTTCATTGTACTGAAGTGTGCTGAAAATAGTGCTCGCACAAAAATTTGTTTAAATTCATTTACAGCACACAGCTGTACGTAATATATTGGATATTGAACGACCGAGCAGTTTAGGTGACGAGAGACATGTTATAGTAAAAAAATGTTTTTATTAGCTAAGGAAAGCCCAGTTGTGTAATTCTGGGCTTGTTAAAATCATTCCCCTAGAAGGAACGTGATCTACAAACCGATGAGGCTGAGGGATGCGGCGCTACAAAATATTACATAACATGACAAATAGCATTTTTAAATGCTAGTTTTAGGCTGCAGTGCCCCTTTAACACACCTGTATACTTAACACGTTACTGACCAGGAGTGTTATACTGCATTTGGAAGAAACTTTTAGTGGTGAGTAGATCTCCAAGAACAGCACTGGGAACCCCCTGATCTAAAGACTGCACTGATAACAGTATAATATAACAAATACATTGCCTGGAAGCTGCAGGACATGTCTGGAATCAGTTTGATGGAGTCTGAGTAAAGCAGGAGTCTCTGCTCCAGGGCTGTTTGTCGTGAAATTCAGTACTAATCCTGCAGGCCCAGACATCACACTTTACACCTGACTCCCTAGACCTCTTACTGAACTCTGCTTGCTCTTAGTGAAAGAAGACATTGTGGACATTGTTTTAGTGCACATAGTAACTAACTTGAACACATTTTTTTCTCACAGGTTCAGTCCACTACCTGGGTGCCTTTGATTACATTTAAAATGGCAATCCCCATTGCAGTCCTGGACTGTGACCTGCTACTCCATGGCCGTGGGCACAAAACTCTGGATCGATTTGACATTGAAACAGTGTCAGATGAGTTTCTGTTGACCACATTCGGTTTTCCACGTGAGTTTATTTATTACTTGGTGGACTTACTGAAAGAGAGCTTGTTAAGACGCACTCAGAGGTCGCGAGCAATCAGCCCGGATGTTCAGATCCTTGCAGCTCTGGGATTTTACACCTCAGGCTCCTTCCAGAGCAAGATGGGCGATGCCATTGGAATCAGCCAGGCCTCCATGAGCCGCTGTGTTTCGAACGTCACTAAAGCTCTAATTGAGAAGGCACCAGAGTTCATCGGCTTCAACCGCGATGAGGCCGCCAAGCAGCAGTCTAAGGAAGAGTTCTACAGAGTGGCGGGTATTCCAAACGTCATAGGGGTCGCGGACTGTGCTCACATAGCCATTAAGGCACCTAATGCTGAGGATTCATCTTATGTCAATAAGAAAGGCTTCCACTCCATTAACTGCCAGCTGGTATGTGATGCCCGAGGGCTCCTGTTGAGCGCTGAGACACACTGGCCTGGCAGTTTAACGGACCGAGCTGTATTTAACCAGTCCAGTGTGTGCAAGCTATTTGAGGAACAGGTGAACCATGAGGGCTGGCTGTTAGGTGAGATGATATGTTACTTCTGGCTGCTATCTGTTGTTGTCATGGCTTTGCTTGTGCATTCCAAAAGAATGTGGTATTTCCCCCTATTTGCCTCATTAATCTGTCACAGTTTGGTGACCCCTGATGTTTTATTGATTTAATGTTTGCTTGTGAAATGGTTTTTGCTACTCTGTTGTCTGAGTGTGACTGTTTTGACCAGACTCTGTCTCACAGGAGATAACCGCTACCCTCTGAGAAAGTGGCTGATGACTCCGGTTCAAAATCCTGAGACTCCAGCAGACTATCGCTACAACGTGGCCCACACGGCCACGCACGAAATTGTGGACCGTACATTCCGGGCTATCCAGACACGCTTCCGATGCCTGGATGGAGCCAAAGGTTATCTGCAGTATGCGCCTGAGAAATGTTCTTGCATAATCCAGGCCTGCTGCGTGCTCCATAACGTCTCACTGCAGACAGGACTGGATGCCTGGACTTTCGAGAGGACTGAAGCCACAGACCAGTCTGAGGAAGACAGCGATCTGCCAGGAAAAGTGGACTTGGAGGCGCTAAGAGTCCGAAAGGAACTGATCCAGAATCACTTTAGCTAGAATGGAGCTGGAAAGACATTTCTATGGATTAGATTTGGCTTCTTAAGATAGACAGATAATTTTTCTTTGTTAGTACTTCTCAGTGAAAGTGCATGGATTCAGACTAACCATGAGTCTGCACTATAATTGTTTGACATTACGTGGAGCATATTAATTATCTAAATATGATATATCCCCTCTGGACACACATACACAAATATGATTAAAAAGACAAGATAAGATTGTCACATTCTTGTCAGGATTTGACTTTAACTTAAATTTAAAATAACTTTAATTTTATAATGAGATTCTTGTCCACTCTATTTTTGGAAAATCAGTGCATTTTAATTGCCCAGACTTTTAAAATGTGTTCTGGATCTGGTTATAAACACAGTCTCAGGTCAAAGCCTTTTAATAGTACTGTCTTAAAAGCTATTCAAGTAATCTTGCTGTGAACAATACCATATATTGGCACTAGCTGAGAGAAAACAAAAAAAAATGGTGTCAGATGGCTTTCTGTTGATCACATTAAGTTTTCCATGTGAGTTCATCCATAACTTGGGGGATCTGCATAAAAGAAAGCTTGTTAAGATGCACTCAGAAGTCGTGAGCAATGTAGGTTTAAAAAATAGCAAAAAATCCAATTAAAATGAATTTCTCTTTCATCCCAAATTAGCCAATGCAGAATGCTAATGTAGTTTACAAGTAATGGTAAAGCTTATACCCCACTAATTTGCATCATACAAACTGCATGCCTAAATTATCACACACTTGCCTCAAACTGCATTAGGTTGTTAAATAATCTCAAATAGACTTGCTTATTTGGTTTCTGAAACTGACTCATGTACAAAAATTGACAAAAGTACATTGCACAGCTACAATAGTACTAGCAACCCTGAATTTTGTCCATTTGTCTACCCAAACTAAGTAAGCAAAACATATCTTGGTTGATCAACTACATTTGGGCAAAGGGGTAAATTGTGTAGTTTTTATGCCCAACTATTCATTTAAAGTGAGTACTGTAATAACTAATGTATCATTGAACGAAATGCCAGGTTGCTCCTGGGTAATATTTCTATTCCCTATCCTTGCACCAAAGCCTGTAGAAAGAGCAAAGGCAGAGAGTAGAGGCAGCTCAGTGGCTCCAACCATTCATAAAGGTTTAAAAAATTTACGAGACTGAGGGCCTCGTTCTCGGCTATCGATCGCCTAAATGTGTCACACTGGAGAATGAACTGGATATATATGTATGATGAATGGGACTTTGTTAATTTCAGCTGTAGTTAATGAATGGTTGTGGGGCTGTAAGAGCAGGCGGAATGTTTCTGCTCAGCGCTCTCGGCTGTCAAAGGCAATAAATCAGATGGGGTCTTTAATGAGACCGGCAGTGAGACTCCTACAAAAGGCAGAAATTACTCCTTTTTCTCGGACGGGGTGATAAACGATGAGGAGAAGGGAGGGAGAGAGAGCAGTCTGCCCGGCTGCATTGAACAAGACGTCCCGTCTCTCAGCTGCTGAGGCACTTTTCCGCGCTTTCACTTCATTTACCACCCGTGTTCCGTCATGTCCCGCCTTCATGCGCTAGGATTGGCTGGAAGTTCGTATTCGCAAGCGGCGGACAGAGAAGAGCTACACAGTCAAAACGTTTGAGAGTTTATCCGAATATAGATGGGAAAAGGAGTCGTGGTACAAGAAGTGTTTATCTCCTCCTGTTTTCCGCCTCCTTGTGCTCAATACGGTCGACTACTTGTGAGCATAAATTGGCTGGCCAATCCTAGTGCAGGTGTCTGGACACTATTATTCAATCCCAGCGCAGGGAGGTGGGGTTTGTCAGAATACGGGTTGTAAAAAAGTTGGGTGTTTTCCCCACCCGTATTCCGACAAATCTTCCCTGTTGGGATTGGCTAGTATTTCATACTCCACCGCTTATGAGTGCGAACTGCTAGCCAATCCTAGCGCTGGTGGCAAACAGCATCAGATCGTACAGGGTGGCGAAAGCGTCACACGGCTTGTAGAAGTGTCCCTGAGAGGAGCAACGCTATGTGGAGTGAAGTACGGCGTCTGCATCATCACTCAGGGTTAAGGCGGCTCGTCGGCGTTTAGCTACGGAGAGAGGTAAGTACACAAAATCTTTGTCAAACATGTTCTCCAGTGAATTAGTTTCGGGACTTAAAGGTTAACCGCAAATTTACATCTAAATGAGTTGTAGTACTTTTTAAATTGTGATTTCAGCTGCCATTTGAGCGGGACTTGTGGAGAATATTAATATGTGCGATAAATTCGGTTTGCGCCCAGAGTGAACATGACAGACTGTGGAGCTTCACGGAGAATGGCGAGGGCAAAGCTGGTAGTGCTTGGACGGGATAACTGTGGGAAAACTGGTAAAACAGACTGAAGCAAAGCTTAATACAGGCTCTAACCTATGTACGATTAATTACATACACTGATATAACATATACTTACCCCTTTCTCTCCCCCCGCCCCTCTCACTTCATCTATCTATCTATCTATCTATCTATCTATCTATCTATCTGTCTCCCTCTTCTACCAACATCTCTCCACCTTCTCTTCCTCTCTTCTTTTCTCACTTTCTCTCTTCCTCTTTCCCTCCATTTGCTTTCTGCCTCTCTCTTTTCTCTCTGTTGTGCTCTATCTCTTTCTCTCCCTCCCCCTTGTATCTGTCTCCCTCCTGCGTTTCTCTTTTTCTCTCTCTTTGTTGTATCTCTTCTCTGTCCCTCCTTTTCTCCACTTTCTACATCTCTCTCCCTCTCTTTCTTTTTCTCTCTCTTCTCTTGTATCTCTCTCCCTAATCCTTTTCTCCCTTTCTCTCCTCTCTCACACTCTTCTCTTCTCTTGTATCTCCTCTTTCTTTTTCTGTCTATTTCTCCTTTCTTCATCTCTCTCTGCTTTCTCCCTTTTTCTGTTTCTTTGTGTCCTCTCGTTTTTTTCTCTATCTTCTCCTTCTGTCTCACTCTCTCTCTCCTTTCTTTCTTTCCTTTTCTCTCTGTCTCTCTCCCTCTTCTGCACCCTCTCTCCTTTTATCTTCTTCTCCCCTCCCTCTCCCTCTCCCTCTCTCCTCTTGTATCTCCTTCTCTTCTCTCCTTCCCCTCTTCATTTTTTCTCTCTCTCTCTCTCTCTCTCTCTCTCACTCCCCCCACTCTCTCTCTCACTCACTTCCCCCCACTCTCTCCTCTCCCTTGTGTTTAAATCCAGCTCTGTGTGTTCGATTCATCACTAAGCGTTTCATTGGAGAGTACGACCATAAAAAGGGTAACAGACACACACATATACACATTCATATACAGCCACCTTTCAGACCCACCTGCCCCTATAAGGCTGACAATCTGCTTTTGTTTCCTCTCTCAGAGGTTACCTACAGGTGCCGTAAAACAGTGGACAAAGAAGCGATTGACCTGGAGATTTTAGACACAGTTAATAAGGTATGGCATGTTTAAAGTCTGAGTCAGTCCCAGTTCTCAAAGAACACAGGCTTTCGAATAACATTATTACACTACACTATAGTTACAGTTATGGTTACGCTAAATAGGGAACAAAAGGAGACAAACACACAGAGGTAAAACAGAGGAAAATACACACATTAGACACTTATGTATTACACTGTGTAGATCTTATTACCACTTATAAAATGTAATGCAATACACAACAATATAATGTAATGGTGCAGTAGTCATAGTCTAATAAAAAATGATGTTATGCATGATTCTATTAATAAAGTGGTTTAGCTGTAGTAAAACATGATTATGTAAAGGATGTTTGAAAGGTTACAGTGTACTGTTTCAGGATTAGTGCTCAAGTCGTTAAGATAGAAGTCTGTAATAGTCTGTAACCATACTTTCCACTAATAAACTCCTAGCTTGTTATTTCCTGATAAGGGTTTTGTCCTCTATACTCTGTCACTGTGTTGACTGTGGGGCTCCCTATTAATCCAAAACCGTATCCTGTTGAAGAGTTTATCTTTTTTTGGTCTGTTTCTCCTCTACCTTGATGCTCTTTCTCTGTTACCTACATGCTGTATTGTTTTGAGCTGTCACACGGTGGACAGTAAGCAGAGCTGTCGTAACCATTCCATTCCTTTCAAGTCTATTTCTCCTGTATCGCAGGCTGCTCAAGTAGTTTTAATGCAATCCTGGTGTACCTGTTGTTGATCTGGACTCCATGTGTTGCAGCATCAGTGAAAGAGTTAATTAAGAAGGGATTATATTTAAAGTGATCATTTGCCCAAAAGAGAAATGTACAATTTTAGTCAGTTGTCAATCAGCCAAAACATGTTTTGTATCCATAGTTAACTTAATTAGTTTTGTACTAATGATTGACGTAGCTTAGTGGACAGCACCACACATCAGACTGTGGTTTGATTCCCCATCTGCCATCAAGTGTCAAGCATGCCATGCTACACCAATGGATGTTCCTGGCCAAGACTTATTGTCTGTTCTTCCATCTGGGAGGTTACATTAGTACAAAGGAGTGATAACAGTGTGTGGGTGTTGTGTAAGGCTGGCTTGGATCAGCTTCAGCTGCAATTATCGAATATGAAAATGTCCAGCAACCCCTGGTCTGCACCTCATCTCACTCACTCCTTCAAAGCAACCCTCTCATAAATGAAAGTCAAATAAGTCATGAGGTGCTGAACTTTACAGTGATTATACCATGTTGAATAGATTGTGAGAGTGATACCCAGCGGATGAAAACCGTGATACTGTGGTAAAATCACACTGAGCATGCAACAACCATCATCACTGCTGTTGGAACAAAACCTTCTATCTCTACAAACAAGGTGAAAAATACAGGGGGTACTGGGGGGTCCAGGACTCTCTAATTAACTTCTTGGAACCCCTATATGTCTCAAAATGTAGATTCTGGGGGTCCCTGAAAATACTTTGTGTGTGTGTGTGTGTGTGTGTGTATGTATATATATATATATATAACTTATTAGGATAATATGTTGTTCCATAGTCCATAGACACTCAAATACAAATTCAGGGAAAGCTGCTTCAACCATGAAACAACAAACATCTGTCTTTGGTATTCTTAACTAACTAGAGATGCGGCCAGTCTGCCTCAGGGTGGTCCTGTAGCAAATTGGTTCACCCACTTGGTCCTTAATAGCCTAGAAACTGTAACTATGCCCTAGATACCTCTGATTTGTAAATCTGAACACTCACCCAAGAGTTTGGTGGAAAGAGTGAATTGTTACTTATTTCTCAAAGACACAAGAGGAGATGTGTAAGAGCTCAGCTGATATGTGAAAGGCTGCAATACCAAACTAGAAAGGTGCTTTTCCACTTAAAAAGGTTAAACCAAACATCTTGCTGATTGAAGCTAGCATCAGCATCACTAGCATTGAAGCTAACGTCTGTGTCACTATGGTGTGTAAGTTAGCAGCCAGCCAACATGGGACCCCCGAATACCAGGGGGTATTTCACGCACTGTCTACAGTGTAACTGTACAGGAAAAAGGAAAAAAAAAATGAAGATGAAAATATATATGAAGTAAACACATCAGAATGGTGTTCTCTGTAGAGGATGTGTACTTACTTTCACTAAAAAATATGAATTTGACCAGGTGCACCTTTGCAACTTTTGCATACAGCTGTAACTGTATGTTTTTTTGTTTGTTTCTTTGTTTTTTTTTTTTTGTTTTTTTTTTTGTATGTTTTGCATTTATGCAGGAGTGCATGGGACCTGCTGCCACCTCTCTAGAGAGTTCAATCAAGTGGGGTGATGGTTTTCTAATCATGTACTCGGTGACAGACCGCAGCAGTTTTGAGGCGGTTTCACGTCTGAAGAGGCTCATTGACCATGTCAAGCAGACACTTGGTGAGATCAACTGTGGAATTAATAAGATCATTGATAACACCAACCTCAGATCAGATTTGGTTTGTGAATGGTGGGGGAGGGAGTACAGGATGTTTATGGGTACAGCTGATGTCTGATCAGATTTCATTTGAACTTGTGGCATTAAATGAATTTATTAAATGAATGTAATATTTTTTATTTATTTATTTATTTTTTTAAACCTATTCTCTATCTACCACATCTGTAGCTATGGTTGATTACCACAGACAGTCATTATGATGCACTTCTCTATAGTGATAAAGTACAGAAAATCATTTTACTCATAACACACTAATAAGTCTGTGGGGATGTGTTGAAATCGGTGGTAATCGACTGTACAGTACAAATACAGATGTCGATGAGGTTTCTTTATAAATGCATCACCTTGGTATTTCCAAAAGTAAATAATTCTAAACTTGGACGGACTTGAGAACACCAGTAAAGATATAGTTAAATATCTATGTAACCCATCATGCCTTACATGGGATGCCATAATGGTGTGGTGTAATCCTTCAAACCTTGTGGCTATACTGTAAGTGTATGTGTGTTTATGTGTTGTCCATCTCTGAGGCCTTTTATGATACTATAAATATACTTGCTGTCACTTTTTATGATGGTCTGTTCTGCTTTAGGAATACAAGAAGCACTAAACAGCTGTGTGTGTGTGTGTGTGTGTGTGTGTGTGTGTGTGTGTGTGTGTGTGTGTGTGTGTGTGTGTGTGTGTGCATTTCCATTACCCAGGAATCCCCACAGTGATTGTAGCAAATAAGAGTGACATGGAGAATGGGCGTGCTGTTAGGACAGAAGAGGGACAAGCATTGGCCAGGGACCTGAGGTCAGCAAACCCTTTTGTCTCTGAATTGAACTAAGAGAGAGGGAGAGAGATGAGCAGAGAGAGACAGAGAAATGTAAGAAGAGTGTAGTGAGAGCATTTACTCCTGTCGCTTTATTTCTTGTGTTTTTATAAACATGTTTTGATGCCACAGGTGGATTTATTAAGGACTTGAGCCTTTTCTCCTATTTCGGCATGTTTGTCACACCTGAGTTAATACAAAATACAGTTGATTAATGATTCATTTATTAAAGAATAAAACTTACCCAACACCAACTGGCCCTTTGTGAAAAAATACCCCTACCAATTAACTACTCAACCAATTAACCACATTTAGTTGATAATCAGTATCAATTGAACTAGACACACCCAGGCTTGATTACTGCCAGTCCTGTTGAAACTGAAGACACTTAAAAAAAAATCTTTCCAGCAGTGTGTTCCTCCAAGAGCACAGCAGCGACTCTTCCAGGAAGTCACAAAAAAACCCAAAGCAACATCTAAGGAAATACAGGCCTCGCTCGCCTCAGATAGTCAGCGTTCATGATTCCACCACTAGGAAGAGACTGGGCAAAAGTGGTACCCATAGGGGAGTTGCAAGGTGAAAACCATTGCTAACCAAGAGGAACATAAACATTTAGCCAAAGAAAAATTGTTGAAGCTAAAGGTGACATGACCAGTTAAGTTTAGAGTAACAATTAATTTTTCATTGATATAGTGATATAGGTGTTGCAAAACTTTTTTTTTCTTCAATAAGTGTCTTAGGTTACATTTCTTATGAGAATATGAAACCATTTAGCGTGGCAAATACTTGGTCACAACACTGTATACTGTTTTGCCAGGTTATTATGTAAACCTACCATGTATCTAAGATCATTTTATCAGGTACATCCACCATATAGGTGGCCGGAATAGGTTTTCAGTTAGTGAGTGTAGTACATCTGTTGCTGCACAATTTGTCAGCTGCCCTCTATCCTGTCCATCAAGACCACCGCTGAGATATTATTTGAGAGATGGACCATTTTCAGCACTGCAGTGACAGACGTGGTAGTGACATGTTAGTGTGTGTTGTGCTGCTGATACGAATTTACCAGCCACAGCAGTATTGCTAGGGTTTCACTGCTGTCAGAACAAAACCTTGTATCTCCAAAATGATAACTTTGCAGTAGAAGCAAAAAACATACTTTATTTTTAATGTATGTCAATGGAACCAGAATTTCTTTTGGTCCATTCATTGTGAAATTTACACAGAGTGTAAATGGCAACAGGTATTTTCAAACTATGTCAAAAAATGAAAAATGACAAAAATGGAGATACGAGGTTTTGTTCAGAGAGCAGCAATATATCTGAAAGGACTGTTGTTTTGTTTAGTCAGTTTGTTTAGTTATAGTCAGTAATTACAAATCGTTGCATGATTGTTGACATATGCCTTAACAGTTATTAATAGTCCTTCCTTTGCCTTCTTATCATCATATTTATCATTATTGTGTTTTGCTAAAATATTTATAACATACAGACTAAGAATTTTAATGACACAATGAAAAGGAAAATAAATGCCATTGTAATAGACAACAAAACTGAATTTCTATTCTGAATATGTATGATATTTCTACTATTTGTTTTAAATATTAACATATATTGCTTGAGATTACAATAGACCTACTCTAGGCTTTGCCCAGTTTCATGTTTGAATTGCTGTAGGATGTTGGTCTCCCCAGCTTCGCATACCTGACGGATAGCCCAACTTTTTTCATGAAAAACCTGTCAGTGATCCTTAACCCTACACAAGTAGTCCGTTCCAGTGACCACTGTTGGATGTTTTTGGTGACATTAAGGTGTATAACAATCCTAGCAACACCACTGTGCCTTGTTATCATGCTGCTACCATGTCAGTGTTGCTGCAGCAATAGCCCACCACTCAAAAAATATATCTGGTCCTATGGTGGCCCTTTCCACTCATTGATGGGTTAGATGATGGCTGACAAAATGTGCAGCTACAGATGGGATACAGTCAGTAACTGTAAACCCACAAAGTGCACCTATATAGTAGATGTACATGATAAAATGGCCAGTGAGTATAGATACAAGTAATAACTAGCAACTCAGTGTACTTACTTAACAGCCTTTTAATTAATGTTTGATGGCAGAGAATGTAGTTGATTAACTTATCAGTTAAATATTTTTTTCAGTTTAAATGTAACAGCTACAGTTTCTGTACATGTTTATGTGGATGCCACAGGTTTTGTTTATAAATGTGTTTGTGTGGATGCTACAGGTGTAGTTTTTTCGAGCTCTCTGTGGCAGAAAGTGCCTCAGCGGTGGAGGCAGCATTCGGACAGCTGATCCGAGAGGTACGACTGGAGTTCCAACGCCATCTGCTGGCCATGGACAAGCGCTCACGCATGCTGCAGATGCGTCACGTGCTGAAGAACAAACTTACACGGAGTAAAACCATGCAGTGGTGACCACAGGCACGGAGCACAGTTCTTAGCTGCCCCTCTCTCTGTGGATCAGCAGGTTTTTTGCTCACCCTTGGAGGATGGAGGACAAATTTACACTAATGCCAAGGAAATCCAGGCACTAGCAACTAGGAATTTGAATTCTAGTGAAATGCTACAGTTTTACGTCTTCTAACTATTTATGGATGCAAAAGTTGAATTCTCTTGTCCTTGTCCAGTAGAGGCAAGCTACGTTATATGATTATGCTGGCAAAGTGGTACTATTCCCACTAGATTTGCTGTTATACTAAAGGAAGGATTTAAATTCACAGAATCCCTGACGCATCATGATTGGGAAGGAAGGTTGGTCTTGAAGCATTTTAAGGGTATTGTCATCAAGAACATCACGTGTGTATAATAAAGTTAAAGTAAAGAAAAATCTTGTAAAAACCTTTAAAAATCTTGTAATAAATCTATTTTATGTTCTTTAATATGATCCAGTCAGCCTATGAGTCATGTGCCTCAGTATGACATTTAAATGTCAGGGATAATAAGCAAAACAAATAGAATTAATGCTGGTTTTTAGGAATTTAGATCTGAAAAAGAACATTCCTACAATGATTTTCTGAGGATAAAAGTTCCAAGCACCCAGTTATATCACAATCAAAATCTAATCAAAAGGCAGGCATATTGTAGGCTTGTTGATTGCAGGTACAGTTGGCATGGAAAGACCGCAACCACTAAAGCAAAATGAGATTGAGGCAAAAAAATAAAAATAAAATAAAACAATACAGCAGTGGTTGACTTTACAGTTTTAATTAGCAAAATGGTAAAAATTAATAAATACAAATTGATCAAATGCTCCTTAAACATCCACCCCCTTCAACATGAAGTAAGACATGTAGCTGTGCATTTAAATAACTTAGGAGAAATGTGAAGTCTATGAGGGAAGCAATCAAACCAACATCAGGCAGCACCAAACAACAGACCAACAAAGAACAAATAACATACAAAGTGTATTTAAAAAAAAATCAAATAAAAAGAAGGAAGAAAATAAACCAATCACATCAATTTTAAAACCATTCTGAAAAAATACTTGACACTTTTTTTTTTAACAAGAGAACTATGTAAATCGCATATTAAACACTTCATAAATAGTTTGGCACATCAGGTGTACCACTGCTAATGTGTGTTGTGTGCAATACTCCATATCTGATTGACTTCCAGTGTCCATACGGATGAAAGGCCTTTGATTGGGTCGTGTGTGAACGAGGTAATGCTAAAAGAGAGGAGGACAGTTGAGTGCCGGAGTGTTATGCTGAATGGAAAAAACGGAGGACCTGATGCTCGGGATCATCTGGGTTGTGTGTCGAGGGCTAAGCTGATCATTATGCGTTTTTGAACAAATTTGAAGGTTTCAAATGTTTAACACTTGAGGGACTGTTGAAAAAGGACACAAACACTTATCCTCTAGTGTAAATAATGCAGATGCAGAGACTTTCCACACTTTTGCACACTACAGATTTAAAACATCCAGACACAAATGTTCAGACCCATCAGCAGAACCTGGAATTTGGCCCAAACAAAGAGCTGAACATGACATTTGCAAATATCAGATTTAATGGGCAAACCCTCACCCCCCTCCCCCAACCACCACCCTTGCCCCCCACCCCAAACACACTTCTATTATATCAGATATTTTAACATCAACATAGCAAAGAGACATTAAGAACCATTCGTCTGTAGATTTTTAAAAATGCACATGAACACACAACTGAGACAGGCAATCTGTCTTGGCTGAGTGAGAGTTTAGAATGAATTTTGCACATTTGTATGTATTATTTTCTTTTTTTCCCCCTACTATCTTTAGCTTTATAGGGCTTAAAGCTGCCCACCAGCTTTTGTCTTATTAGTTGCTACTCAGCAAAAAAGTTCCCCAAAATTGTGTACTTGCATTTTAAAACATCATTACAAGAAAATGCTAGTATATTCAGCTAGAAAAAGGATGCTTGTTCCATCTCCAGCAAAAAGAATTGGCTCAGGGCTCCACTATACTATTGTGTAGCTGGACAAAAACTTAGCTGGGCTGCTTTAAAAGGGATTGATTTTAAATCAATGCACATGAGCCATGAGATGAAGACTAATGCACCACAACATAAAAAGGAACTGAGAAATTGTCTGAACCCAAAGTGCAACAACATATTAGCAATTTAAATTACAGATCTTGTAAACAAAACTTAAATACCCTAGATGAATGAGGCACTGTCCACTAAACCACAAGTGTAACATACATAAATGACACATCTGATGATTGTGCAACAGAAAAAGAGGTCATGTTTCCTGCAGAGAAACACTTGTGTGCACATGTTATGTTGCCAGATTACACAGATGCCGCTCAGTGCAGGGAGATAACACACAATATCTTAAGGCAACTGCTTCAGAAAGACTACTGCAGGACAGGGCAGTGTCTGCCTGAGAAGTGCTACACACACAGACACACACACAAAGCTGACACTTCAACAGAATCAGTACTATCTCTATCTACAGACCTGCATCACAATTGTATTTGACATTTGCATCGCCGCATGATCTGTTGTGCTTCTTTTATTAACATAATGATTTATATTTGAACACGAACCCATACGCGTCTTTCACTGTATTAATTATGCTTCGATATGGAATTTCTGGGCCTATAATGACAACCGACATTAACACCTTGCTGTGGCCTATACATAAACCAGTAACTGATCCTATTACTTTTTTGCATTTTAAAACAAGTTCCCACTATAATCCACATATATGAAGTAGTGAGTGTCAGGTTGAAACTCTAATGCTGCGTTACTTATACATCATATGTGACCAAACATTGGCATGGTGATAGCGTTACTGGTGAAAACGGATCATTATTAGAGGAGAGTTTTAGCAGTGTAGATTGTTTATTTAAGCAGGAAAATGTGAAAGATGCTCTGTACTTTATCTTTTGTTGTATAATACTGGCTTTGTCTGCACTGCAACAACTGGCATCTAAACAATGAACATCCAGTTCACCCCCGCAATCGATGGCAAAATTTTGGAAAACTGAACTCTTGGTAGAACATTCCACAGCTGGGGGACTAAACCTTCAGTCTTCCATGTGCGGAGCTGTGCTATTATCCACTATGCAACCTGTGTGAGTCTCAGGACAGTGGAAATGTCCACAACTAGTAACTATATGTTCGACAATGTGTGTGTGTGTGTGTGTGTTATCGGTTGTAATTATTGACTGAAATTCCATTATCAGATCACTAATTATAGTTATATCTTCCTGTTTATTGGTCAATAATATATCAGCCTTTGATATATTGTACACACCTATTTTATTATTATTTATAACAACGCCCCTTGTCTGTAGTCATATATGACCAAATATACACTCTGAGATATGGTACAAATGCAGCACGGCTTTGATCGTTCATCTTCAACATGATATGATAACAGAAAAATGCAGGGGTTTCGGGTTAGAGTCTGTCCCTCTATTTCTTACACCAGTGCTGTTGGGTTCGTGACTAAAGCTTACAGTCCTGTGCTTTTGCTCCAAGTGGTCTTAACAGTGCTGCCAACTGGAAGGCTAACACTTCAGCTAATAAAACAATACAAAAGACAAAGCCCTTTAAAATGCTACGTAAGCATCACTTAACAAATGGAATATTTCTAATCAAATGTGCATAAATCAATAGTACAGAGGGCAGATTACCATGTTGTTTTGTCTTTTGGTTCGGTTTTCTTGGAGTCACTTGTTGAGGATCATAAAAACTATTGATTGACAGACTGACTATAGCCTAATTAAAATAAGTTTCAAGTGAGTGATATGGGCACAATACACAATACATAGACTGTGTTTGAGATCCAACACCACACTCGGTAACTTTGTCTAAACACTCAAACACATCTCAATTTGATCACGAGTTAAGGCTGTGTCAGATTTTACATTAAGGGTTCTCAATACTGATGCTACACAAATACAACTCTACTATTCATATAGCTATTTAAAACCACCATAAAGTAAAAATACATGTCCCTGTGGCAAACATTTGGCAAAACAGAACTGAGTATTTGCTCAAAAAGACAGCAATAAAAAAAAATATTTACAGAATCGTTGCACAATCTATAAGACCATAAATAGGACAAATACATCTAATAGGTGTGTAATTTTTTTAAACACCTGGAAGACCTGCTTATAAATTATGCTTCACCTTTCCCTCTCAGCTGTTCTTATCTGCTTTGGAGCTCAGAAAAAAACAAAAGCCCTATGCCTCTATTGGAGAGATTCTGTCATTTAGACAGTGTTAATACTCCTTTTTATACAGCAACAGGACCTGACAGAGACCACAAGCAATACTCACGTCCTAAGAGCCGGCAAAGGCCTTGCCTCGGTCGTTCCCTAAGCTTTCCGACCAAGAGGCGCAATGGCAACGACAGCAGGCACGCGTTGGTGTGATATCTTAAACTCTTATAACTCTTAATTTATTCATTTTCTATATGATTAATCTTTGTGTTAAACTTTTTTTTAGGTGCTGGTACTTCAGAACTTTTAATCCTGCTCATCTGAAATGGCACTGCGGAACAGAATGACATGACGACACAAGAAAGGAAACGCTGAATGGCAACTTTGGACACCCAGGTGCGGGTGCTGGGTGATTTGGGGTCTGTGGCGCATACAGGGTGGAAAAGGGTCAAAGGTAGCATGATGGTACTATTCTACACCCTGTATTACCTCTGCCATGGGCATTACTGCAGGCAGCGGGGGCTCTGCAGTTCCTCTGAGATCCCTGATGCTGTTTTTGTTTATGTCTCCAATGCTGTTTTTATTTATATCGTTGTCTGTATTTTTGTCTATGCTTTCCTCATGTCTGTCTTCTGGCTCCAGAGGCCCATTTGACCTGCCAATCATGGGATTCTGGCTTTGGGTATTGCTGAGAACAGGAGAGATGTTTGTGCTGGGAGCACACCGGAGGAGATCGGTATTTCCAGGGCTTGAAACACTGCTGTTGGTGTTTGCAGCATTGCTGTTGTTTAGGCTGCTTTTTAGATTTGAGGTATCACTGAGGTCTGTTGAGGCGCTGATGATGATAGCCGGAATACTGTCCTTTATGTTGTTCTTTTTATCTGCATGTTGATCTTCCTCAGACGTTTGGGTGGTCTCATGCTGTTGGGTTGAAGCAGGGCCTGCGTCTCCGTTGGCCATGCCAGTGGGAGGGAATTTTGGCTGTGTTAGACAGGGCAACTGGATGCCCCTGATCAGACGCACTAGACCCTTCACTTTCTCTATTGATGCCTCCATTTCTCTCTGTCGGGCCAGAACACCATTTCTGCTCTCCATGCATATCTGTAGAGACAAGGAAACCAAGAACTTTAGACCTAAGTAATACATAGATAGATGGATAGCCAGATAGATTTACAGATGTCGGTTTGTCAGATTTCTGCCCTGGTAGAGCTGCCTAAGACAACTGCAAGTGCTGTTATTGTAAAGTGAAAGCATCTTGGAACAACAGCAGCTTAACTGTGAAGTAGTAGGCTACATAAGCTTACAGAACAGGACTGCAGAGCACTGAAAAAATTATTCTTGTTTGGAACACTCACTACTGAGTAACAACTTACCTCTCAAAGCAAGGTCAACAGAAGAAGTCTCTGGTCAGGCGCAGGACAAGGAAATGAGTGCAAGAAAAACTCTTTACAAAACTCCTCAAAATAAACCTTGAGTCAGAATGATGGCAGCAGTAAATTAATCAGAATTATTAGGCTAAAAGATGGTGAAAAGGTGTTGCTGAGGAAAGTGTAATCCAGATCATCTGGAGCAATTACAGCTCAGTGTCAAAACTGTTAACAGCCATACCGTATGTTTGCCCTGAGGTAGGCTGAACTTTATCTGGGTTACTGTATTTGCTAACACTTATTTTAATACGATATCTAACAAAAAATAACATTACAGGACAATGTTAAGATCAGTGAGCTAGCAAATTAAGTTTTTCTTAACTTATCTGCTAACGGTTAGCTTGATGAATTAGTTAAATTAAACAGGTTTACATTTGTGATAAAATATAACCTGTGCAAAGACAAATTAATATTATTATTAATTTATAATTGTATTTATAATTATAACTGAATTATAATTAGCATGGTTTCCAAAATCCTTTTGCTTTAAACTGGCCTGCATTCTAATTTTGTCAATTAACAAATTCATGTCTGCAATGAACATCTTGAAGATTGTTTTTGAATAATACAATGTACACTTCTATGTTCTTCTAAATTATCCTTTGCGCTACTAAACATTTTAGGTTGTAAGCACAAGTACTACAAGGTGGGGTCTGATGTGAACCTATAATGAGAATACACGTCTGAGGACAACCTGTTAAACTTTTGGTGGTGAACTGCAGTGAAATCCGATGCTAACCGATGCCCCCTCTAAAACCCAGCCCCAAATTCCTCTAGTCTGTGCTCTCTTAATGTCCGGAATACAATAAAAGCAAATCACTATCCTTAGTTAAGGAAATTGTTTTCTCTTGCAAGAAGTAACGGAGGCGAACACATTATACGCATTTTAACTGCGTATAATGTGTTCGCCTCCGTACACGCAACACATATCTACATGCTTAATTTAGGTTTTTGTGGGTTAGCGATGCTAAGTTACCCTACATCCACAGGTTTACCACAGATTTGATGTTCAACGGATAATGTTGGCAAGCACACATTTACCCCCTACTTTGACCTCCGCCTTCATAAGGCATTATATTGGTTTAAAAACACTCAGTTTGTCCCACCTTAATAAGTCTATGTTCTTACCCAGACTTAGCACAAAATTTCTCATTGTTGTTCCCAGATGTTCTCATTACGAGATGTCATCTGGCCCCTCTAAACTACCTGAATGGAAAGGAATCCCAGCAGCCATGTTCTAAAATGTATTAAAAAGCCTTTCCGGAGGAGTGAAGAGTAAACAGTAGCAGCAAATGAGGCAACTCTCTATTCATACCCACAGTTTTGGAAGGATATGTTCAACACGCATGTATGGATGTGGTGTTTAGTCGTCCACATTATTCTGGCCATGTAGTGTACTTACATACACTACTCACATTTACACATATCAGTGAAAAGACACCAGTGCACAAACAAGTGCAGAAGACAGCATCAAATGAAATATTCACATTAATTGGCAATGACCAGTGACCCTCCTTGTCTGAAGATGTAAAATTTCAAACAGACTCGTGACAGTTTTATGGGTCATTGTAGCTAGATGCTTCAGAGAAATAAATGGAACATTATCTCACCGTTATGGAGTCGCTGAGCTGTTTGACTCGGAGCTGTAGCTCCTCTCTCTCCTGCTGGAGCTCAGAGCTCCATTTTTCAAGCCTCTGCTTCTCCTGCTCTCTCTCTGCAGTAATAGAGAGGAAGCTAGATGAGAATGTTTGAAGGACTAGACACCTAAAAAAGATGGTTCTTCAAGAGTTATTTAGTAAAGGCAATGGTTCTATTTAGAACCATGAGTTCCATATAGAACCCTTTTATGCTTAAAAGTTTCTTTGCATGGTGATAAGGTTCTTTAGATTGACTGAAAATGTGTTGTATATGGTTTTATACAGAACCTTTTTGAAAATGGTTCTATATAGCACCAAAAAGAGTTCTTCTATTGTTACAAGCTTGACATCGCAACAATAGAAGAGCCCTCTTTGGTGCTACATAGAAGCATTTTCAAAAAGGTTCTTTATAAAACCATATACAACACATTCTCTTTTCACCATACAAAGAAACTTTTAAGCATGAAATGGTTCTATATGGACTTTTAAACAGAACCACTGCCTTTACTAAAGAACCATCTTTTTTAAGTGTGCAGAGCAGGGGCATCAAGTCTGGCTCCGGATGACTGGAGTGCAGCATAGTTTGGTGAGCTCCCTGCTCAAAATCTCTGTGATTCAACTCCGGTTTACTTGGTGCTTTGGAACAGGCCAATCACCAAACTGTGCTCAGCACTGAAGACTTCTGGACTAGAGAATCATTGTGAGATAAAAAAGCAATTATGAAAACTGCTATCATGATCCAAAACCCCTTACCTGCTTTGTAGGAAATATAGGAATGGACTATAGCAAGTGTTCCAGGCCACTCTATTGCCTCATCTTTCTTCAAAATCTGGAAATGAAACAGTACTATTGACATTTCAGGCACATAACACCATAGCCTTGGTGCATAATGACATTTTAAATAAACCTGAATGCAAAAAAACAGAATGAGTGAAATGAAACACTGAAAACTGAAATGTAAGCAAACAGATGGCATTAAATGAAGCATGTTAAACTTCGAAAGCACAGAAACAGCCTTTCTGATGGAGTGCTGTATTCAGATGAAGTTTAGCATGGCCTGAAATGCTGCAGTGTCACTGGGTCTTTGCAAGCTCAGATCATCAGGGGCAATGGTGCTTGGGGCAGTAACCCAAAGTTTTAAAGAGAAGCACAGGGCTGAAGCTGTTAGCTCAAAGGGATAAGCTGTAGGCTCGGGGGCAGAAGCTGGAGACTCTGGGAATTTACCTGACTTTGGCACGAGGGGCAGATCCACATGCCCCTGGGGACAGTGCGGAGGGGCGGCTCCAAGCAGTCCAGGTGATAGACGCGTGAGCAGGTGTCACACATGAGTAACTGCCCACTGCGCCTACACACCACACAGAAATCATCATGGATGTCTCCCTGCCACACAGAATCCACCAATCACAACAATGGCTACTATATGCAGGCCCAATCACACAAGGGCAGGTGGGACTTATTTAATCAAAAATTTAAATAAAGTGGTGGTTTCATTCAGATAATTCTTTTAGCAATACTGAGCAAAATTTATAAAGGCCCCCATGTGTATTTAAAGGACTCCGGCATACAACGGATTGACATTATCAATAAGTTACCTGTACTTATGAAAAAAACTTAAAATGGAAGGCACTAGACAAGTGTTGAAGCAACAGTTCAGTCAATGTTTTTTTCTGTTTTATGTAAATATTTGTTTGTGGCAATCAATCTTATGCTACAAATTTGGCAAACAGATATTAGGCAAATGCTTTTAAATGTAATTAATAAATCCCTGCATTCTGCAAGCCTAATTAAAAATCTCTGGTTGGGAAGGCAGAGACTATATAAAGGATTTAAATGTTGTAAAATGATGTGTTTGTGTTGCAGGATGAATTTTGGCTTGTCTAGCCTGATTTACCATTGACCCTACTGTATCACCTCCAATCAACTAGGGGACACAAATCCTGAAGGGAACAAGGTTTTGGCAGTGTATGTTGGATCTGTGGACAGGGATACGGGAGTAATAAGTTGGAGCAGCAATCTCCCATGGCTACTTACATCCCTCTCTGAGCTTGGACTGACACGGGGGCTGGATGGGAGTGGATATGATGAGAGGGTTTGTGGGAGGGCAGGGGAGTGAGGGCCACCCATGCTGGGCTGCTGTGGGCCCAGAGACGCTGGGTGGCGGCTGGTGGGCGTCAAGGGGCTGTTGCCCCGCTCCACCGTGATGCTGTATTTGGGTGGGCGACCTGGGTGAGATGAGACAGACGAAAAAAGGAAAAAAAAAGTAAAAAGAAAAGACAAAAGAAGACAAAACATTGGTAGGACATACCTCTGATAAGCTGTCCTCATTGGCTAGCGTAGCAAGAGGAGTGGGAAAGAGCAGTGTTAGACAACAGACATTACAAAGCATGCAGGGATACAATCAGAGAATTAATCAGTCACATAGACTTGGTCAGTTCTCAGTCATATCTTGTGTGCCATTTTGAGTGTTAGTGTTACCAACTCAGTTTAACTAGGTGATAGCAGTAGAATTTAGGGGAAGGTCAATGTGTTTCAAATAGAGGTCATGTTTTGCCAAATAATTAAGTAATCCCAGAGATGTGACAAGGCAGGATTAATTGTACTGAACTGAAATTAGCCGTCTTATAATTTACCTCATTACTCATAATGAGTAACTCAAACATTAACTCATGATAGCTTCTTTTATCAAGACTATGTATTAATTTTAATCCTATAGTTTGCGCAAATAACATCTGGGGTAACATGCTTCTTGGCATGTCTCTGCTGATAAGAGCACAGACTGTCTAATCCAAAGTGGAAGGTTAGGTATGGTAAGAGCAGCAAGCACAGCAAGGTCACAAGGCAAAACTGTAAGCAATGCAAAGATAGAAGTGTAGTCCAAATTTAATGCAAAGGTTTAAAAATGCATTTACACTTAATTTTGTACTGATAAGACATAATGTTAACAAATACTTAAACATCAAATGTAACAGCATCTTCTCCAGGCCTTTACTGTTATTGCTCAATATATGACGCAGGTCATCAAAGGAAACCTGTTAAGATCCCCTAAAAATGTAGTTCTAAACCAGAATGGTTAAAATATATATGCTACTGAGCACTTTATTAGGTAAAGTATTAGGTATTAGGCTGGTCGGTACCTACCTTGTACCGACCAGCTCATCTTACCATTTAAGTGCACTCTGTAGTTCTACAATTAAAGACTGTACAGACTGTAGGCAATTTGTTATCCCATCTTTACCCAGTTCATCAATGGTCAGGACCACCACAGAGCAGGTATTATTTGGGTGGTGGATTATTCTCAGCACTGCAGTGTCACTGACATGGTGGTGGCGTGTTAGTGTGTGTTGCGCTAGTATGAATGGATAAGACACAGCAGTGCTGCTGGAGTTTTTCAACACTGTGTCCACTTACTGTCCACTCTATTAACCCCAACCTTGTTGGTCCACCTTGTAGAAGTCAGAGACAATAGCTTATCTGTTGCTGCACAGTTTGTGTTGGTCATCCTCTAAAACTTTATCAGTGGGCACAGGACGCCGACCACAAGACGCTGTTGGTTGGATATTTTTTGGTTGGTGGACTATTCTCAGTCCAGTAGTGACATTGAAGTGTTTAAAAACTCCAGCAACGCTACTGTGTCTGATCCACTTTTACCAGCACAACACACACTAACACACCACCACCACCCTGTGAGTGTCATTGCATTGCTGAAATTGATCTGCCATCCAAATGCTCTGTGGTGGTCCAGTGGAGGTCCTGACCACTGATTAACAGGTTAAGGTGGGATAACAAATTATGCAAAGAGACAGATGGACTACAGTCTGTAATTGTAGAACTATAAAGTGCACCAATATGCTAAGTGGGCAATTATTGTAGATACAAGGTAGGTGCACCTAATAAAGTAATAATAAAACAAATGTTTTCAGTGTTTTGAATTAATAACCCTGGCTTGAGATGCCAACCTATTCATAATGCAAACAAATGCAGTTGGGTGCACAATAAATATTCATGGACTGTATGAAAGTGTACAATAGGTAACACTTTTGATTTCATATTGACAATTGTTTTGTTCAGAAAAATTGTTAATACTAAAAGGAAAAAAAAAATAATTCTAAGGTGCATATTGCCATACCAGTGGGGAATACTCAAGGCCTTCTAGGCCTTCATAGAATGGCTAATCATTTCTGGGAATGAAAAAAATGTATCTTTGTATTTTTTTTTTGTAATTTTTTATTCAATAAAATCATCTTCTTGTCCTATTAACCTTGCAAGTACTGCAGTAATACTCTAATTTTCAGTTTTAGTTGACAAAATGAATAAAGTCTTGAAATGAAAAATTGTCCGATCAAGATTTTTTTCCTTGTGTTATCTAGCTAGCTCTTCCATTGGTTAGGCCTTCAGGAGCTGGATGGGAAGTCTTACATGTTAGATAAACTACCTGCATAATTAGAAAGTGACATAATTATGAATCAGCTCATCACATTTTTATATACAATGAGTGGGACCAATTTTGTAAGATAAGGCCTTCTAGAAATCCTAGATGTGTCACTGACTGCAAATATGGGCGGTAGTCTAAGCAGGTTTCATTTAGTCATAAGTAGGGCTGCAACTAATGATTATTTTGGTAGTCGACTAATCTGTCAATTATTTTTTCAATTAGTCAACGATTATTTCTGTCATGCCCTCCATCTCTGCTTCCTGTGGGTGTGGCTCCTGTTCCTCTTTTACTTCACCTGCTTGATAGCTTAATTAAATGTATTTGTAACATTTATACATGTAATCATAATAAAAGTGAAATAAACAAATTGAATAATACAAATTAAAGTGCAAGAAGGCTTTCAAATGAAGATAATGTGCAAAGTGTAACTCAAAATAGCAGCCTCTGCCCCAGCATGGGGGGCTGTTAAGTAGCAGAAGCTGTAACTCTGCAAGTTAAAAACAAACTACATTATAAGTTTGCTTAAAGTGACATTCAAGTACTAAAAGTATCCATCCTATATAAAATCTTTCTGGGTCTGGAAGTCCAAAATGTTAAAATAAGGCTTCAAATGAAAAAAACAAGAACTTTAGCTACTACTAGCAATACTAACTACTAGCAATTGTTTACAAAACCTTTAAATTGCATGGCAGGAACGTGAGCATACTGACATGCTCTGGCGCGAGGCTGGCTCTCTTCTTTGAGGTGATGCTCCCACGCGTCAGCTAACATAACTGAAATAGCATTCTCTTAGCAAGCACAATCCATGAGATGCAGTCGTGCCAATGGAAGCGATACCGCCCCCAGTGCTTCCTGTAGTGCACTGCAGTTACAAATTAATGACCGTCAACACTGAAATTCTTTGTTCAATTTGAAATTCTTTGACAAATTTTTATAATCGATGTTGACTATTATGTCAACTAATCGTTGCAGCCCTAGTCATACAAAATGTAAAACAGCAGAGGCAGCACTATGCCAGGGCGCTTTACAGAAAAGAGTCACTGTAAAACAGCAACATACAAGGTAATATATATTATGTCTTTCACAAGCCTCCAATTTCTGTATAAATTCAGAAGGGCCAAAAAAATTTTCATGTGCACCAGCGTTAGCTTAGCGCTTAAATACTTTTGGAAATCTCATCGGAGTGCTATAAGAAATTAACATTATGGGAGATGGATTTTTTTCCTTGTTTTTTTGACATTTATTGCCTGAACTAAAAGCTTAGCTCTAACAGTCATGGTTTATCACTGATCTGCACAAACTACAAGCATCAGAGGATGGAGACCATTGGAAATTTGATGTAATGGAAAGCTTATATCATAAACCATTTCCATACATTTCTGACTAAAAGCAGGGGTTTACAAAGATATCGACTACTGACTACAGCTAAAGTACTTGGTGAGCTTTAAGGCCTGTTTAACTCAAAGAGGTATGTTTTACCACATATGCACATCTGGACAGCTGAGCATAAAAGAGCCAGTAGGGGCAAGCTTAAAGCAGATAATATTCAAATGCTAATTTTAGGCTATCAGCTACATCCTATGGGTTGCAGGCTGGAAATTTGAGTTTTTAAGAAGCACCCAAACCCAGTAGACTGCACTTGTCTGAGTGAGAGACATGCCATTTCTGCACTAATGTACCCTCAGTCAGATTCCAGCACTCAAGAGAGTCATTACCTCTCTGACTCCCCTTTAACACACTGTAGTCATTCTGCTCAGTATCTCCGGCAGTACAGAGGCATTAAACAGCAACGCGCCTGTAAGCCTGTTACATAACGCAATTACACAGATTGTATGTTGGTGTGTGTGCGTTCATGAGCACAGAGAACGACAGATTAACAGAACGCAGTCAATGCAGCAAGGCAGAGGCATCAGCAATCATATAGTCAGAGTAAAGCAGCAAACAAAAGCTTATCGTAGTGGCAAATCAGTGGTAGTGTTTTGCTGGTAGTATTTTGCCAGACTGGTTATTAATCACTGTTTATACAACAACAAGCAAAGCTCATTTACCAGTATCAACACTGTGATGTAAACTAAGTGCTATACATCTATATTAGGGCTGCAAAAACAATATATTTGATTTAGAATTAGATAATCAAAATATGTGAAAATGGTAAATCCATAAATAACACTTTTACTGCCTTTATGAACCCCCACAAACGTAAACAAAGGTTTGTTTACCAAGCCAAATATTAACTTGTCACCAGTAGCATGCAACTGCTTTTTCTAGACACCAGACTCTTTGAAGATTCCTGACTATTTGATTTGAGCTAACAATATCGATGTCCCTGTTAACACACCTCCAACCTGATCAGTGCTGCCAGATTGGGCAGGCTCCAGCAGATTAGAATTTTTATGAAATGATTTTATGAAAATAATAATTTACTAGTTTTTCATCACCTTGTAGTATTTCAATTAAGTTTCATTAAAAAGCATAAAAAAGCAAAAATAAATTAAAACAATAGTACAAGAGCAAATAATCCCTAACAATTACTAACAACAGTAATTATTAATAAAATGTAATTACAATAATACTTGTAACATCAAAAACACTACTACTACTACTAATAATAATAATTTTATTTCATTCAATATACTTCTTTCTCATTCTGTCAAAGTGAAACATTGTCTTTTTCTTTTAGAACATTCGAATACTACAAATATTTTCCGATAGAATGTTCAAGAATATTTGATAGTTACAGCCCTAATCTATATATAATTATATTATTTATCTGTGCGCACACACACACACACTTTGAGATGTGTAAACACAGAATTGCAGAAATATTTATACTCACCTCTCTTCCTGCAGCCCTGGTTTGCAGAATTTAGATATGACAGTGTACTTTTCTTACGCTGAAATACACATTGAAACAATTATAGTGATTAATTTCCCACACAGTATATAATAGCACAATGCATGCAGTAGCTGTATCCGTGTTTGTGTTTGTGTGTGCGTGCACACATTACCTCTGGCTCAAAAACCGCTCCACTGTACACTGGGTTTGCTGTTGTTCGTCTCTTCCTCTCTTGACGTTTGCTCTGAATCTCTGCATACACACAACAAACCAAAATCCCTTAGAAGGAGAGACTTAACACACTTGTTTTTCTATACTAGTATAACAACTGCATGACTAATTAGATATTTGGTTACATAAGAAATTACATTTTTATTTTGTATCAACAGGTTTGAGTCTGTCAATATATAAGAAACAAGACAAAGAAAAAAATATGTAATGAAAGTTTTTTTCTTTACACTTTATGCACAACAACTTTTTAAATTTAAATCTCCTCTTCTACTTACAAACATAAAGTGAATGTTTAGAATCTGCAGAGGTTCTTCACTTTCTCCACAATGCTTTTATCATTGAAAAGAACTATACAGTAGTATGATATTGCCAAATCAAATAATGTACCATCTCAAGAAACATGCTAGTGTAACACAACAAAAAGCAGATATATGACTCACCCTCCAGATAGTCATGTGTTACGAGGCCCAGAGAAACCATGAAGGCCAGTTTCTGTAGAGAACATAGCATAATACATCAACTACTGACATCTAAAATGCAGACATAAGTGATTGACAGGCTAAACTGGAGTATATGGATCAGTGATATGAAAAGTTTAGAAAAGAGAAAAAGATACATCTGTGATTTTTTTTTGTATTATCAAGGCATATTAATACTAGTAATGCAGTTCAAATACAATTAAAAAAATGTCCACAAAAATTCAAATTTTCTATAAACTGACATATTTCAAGACATTAGTCAAGTGAAAAAAGAGACTGTGAAAATAAACCCCTTCTATTTGTCAGGCTGAAACAGTTTACAATAATGTGAAAAAAAATGTGTTGCACCAAATGCCACTATTCTGTTCCACTGAAAGACAGACTGAAACATTTACCACTGAATGCCTTTCTCAATTCATTGCTGCAGCAAGCTAGCCCCCCCCCAAAAAAAGACACACTTCTATAGAAAACAATTATTACTGTGGAGAATATAAAATTCCAAGAATAAAAAGCTATTACAATACGTAAATTCTTAGTCAGTGCAAGCAGAAGCTATTTTATATGATTACCAGCATGTAATAATGATGCGTGCAGAGTATGACCAATGAGAAAAAACATTAATGGTACATTAGGCTGTTGATGTATAATGTACTTGCATAATTTACAAAGGACTGTTATTAGTAATTCTAACATTGGACTAAATAAAGATGTTGGTGCACACATCTGATTTACATCGATCAGTCTGCAGCTACACCAAAATTTTGAGTGCATAAACCATAAACTAGACAAATACCTTGAGATGCATGAGAACAGAAAAACAATATTCTAGACTCCTGTCATCATTATCTTTTTCATCTATAGACCCAATCATGAGAACCTCTATTCACTGAGTAACTGTCAAAAAAAACTATACATCCAAAAAAACATATATAGTGGAATAAACAGAAAAGTGACTCACCAGTGGGTTTTCTTGGCGTTTGGATGTATGGGTATGTGAAGCTGCAGGGGTGTTTGTCTGGGTGAGTGGGGATGATGTTGTGGAAGCAGGAGCAGGTGACTGCAGTGTAGCTGGGAGAGGTGTTGGACTGTTAGATGATGTCTTTGGCTCTGTCCCATCGACTGCTACAGGTGTCTGAAACAGCAAGACACACAAGTCAGCAAATTTAATTACAAAATCCTGTTAGGCCCATTGTGAGTTTTTTTGTCCCCCACTTACACAGATAGTCTCTCCTGGTGTGTCAGATTACATATATAAAAGACTGTGCCTGCAACTTTAAGTTCCATTGCTAAATATATTGTCACTTATATATCACTTCTTATGTGTTAATACTAGTCACTTTTTTTGTCTCTCAATTGAATGCCACAATTGCTGTGCTGTTGTGATTGGATACTGGGAAAAATTTGAAGACTAACATAAATAAAATCTCACTTTGTGCTGTGAGCATCCTGATCACAATTCCAGATGAGTGTTTCTGTAAGTGTTTTGTTGAATTAAAGTATTCACAGAATCCAAAAAAGTAAATTATTTGGTCAAAATACCGATTTTTAACTATGATATGTCAAAGGTTCACCAGTGCAGTTTTAATATACTATAAGCCATACTGCAATATGTAGCAAAATGAAGTGGTCCCAAAAAGTATCTGGACACAAAATAAGCATTGATAAACTTCAGTGAAGTTCTTCAAGTTACTTTATAAAAGGTTCAATAAAATGATGCTTGTTTCAGAGATAGACACTTTTAGCACAACTGATGGTAGATTCTTTGTGTTGAGAAAGCCTGGAGAAGAATTCTAACCAGACTGCACTAAAGGTACTGTGAAAGAATACAGGTGTGGATGATAAAAGTCTGTTTTTCTTATATTGATGAGCTTGTGTTCACTGATGAGATCATGCACTTAGAAATGTACAAAGGCATGCTGAATGCAAATGTTGATAAACACCAGCCACCTTCTGAAAGAACACTTTGACAATAAGAAAATTATTCAGAATGCTCTCTTTAAAATAAAAGCGACACTGACACTTTGTTTACTAGCACAGTAAATTTAAAATGTTTTTAAGTATGGCACAAAGTAGAGGAAATAGTATAGTTCTTCTCTCAGATTCACTCACCGGTGCATCAGGGCATAGGTTGCTGCTCCGAGCTGCATGATGTATATCTGTGCTGGTAGAGTTAGAGCTGGGTTGGATGGAAGAGGCAGCATGGACCTGGGTGGGTTTTGGGGAGATGATGATGCTAGGCAGATGTGTGCTATTGTGCAGTGTGCCGCTAGTGTTGAGCTGGCTTATGTTGGTGTTGAGTGTCATGGTGATGCTGGGACAGGGCTGGATGGTGTTAGGGCTAGGCTGTGCATTGCTAGGGCAGGGTTGGGTGATCGCAGGAGTGATGGTAGGGCCAGGTTGTGCATTGATGGGGCAGGGCTGGGTTACAGCAGCGCTAGGCTGAGGGCTGAAGATGTGCAGCTGGTGGACTGGTCCGGACGAGGGCAGCAGAGCAGAACTCAGTTTGGCAGCCAGGAGCACAGGCTGCTGTAAAGACTGAGGGGAAGCCAGAATTGGCTGCAAGGCTGCTGGAGTTACAGAGGCAGGAGGCTTGGGCATTACCTGCTCAAATCATGAAATAAAGTGACGGACAGACAGAGAGAGAAAAAGATAAAGAGCAAGAGATGGTCACAGACAGGCATATATGCTATTAGTCAAAACATAAGATTTCTGGGAGTTAAATCACACTTAGGTCTTGAGTTACAAAAACATTTAGCACATAGAAAACAGTTTCATCCATGCAAAATCAATATGAGAACTATCAATGTAAACAAAGCTAAAAATGAAAAAAAGCAACACTATACAACACTGACTTGTTGTTGTGGAAAGAAGAATATCTGAGTGCAAGAGCAGCTCAATGTTGCATAATACAAATCTTTATAGTGACAGTCAATGTTTTTCCACATCACATCAAAATGGTTTTAAGAGCTTTTTATACACACACCAACCAAGCGCCAGCTTAAGCTTGGCTACACGATTTTTCGTCCGATTTTAACCTGATTTGCCCCTTCAGACAAATTTTCACAAAGTGATTTTCCAGGCTGGAGGCTCGATCGCAAGCGACTGACGATGTGGACCATCTTGCAGCGTGAGAGGAGTAACAAGTCAATCTTTAGGCCTCCAATTGAGCTCTAAAGTGACAGGAGGCCCTCCAACATTTTTAAACATTTTTACTACTCAACATTCACGAGTCCTGTAGTGTGAGATGGTCAATGACAAAACTGAATGAGTGATTCAGGCAACATCCAATCAGAGAGCTAGAAGACAGAAAAAGGTGAGGAGACGTGTGTGCACTCTGCCGTGTGGGCAGTGAATTGCGGAAACAGAGGAGCTGCTTGATGGGTTTACGAAAATAATCACTCTCTATACAATTTCAAGTCAGCACCCAGATCACAGTAAAATATTTCTCTAGGTCTGAGTGTGATATCTGCATTTCAACCACAGACTCATTCCCAGTTTGTGTTTTCACTATGATTCTTGTGCGTGCATAAGAGCACAAACAATTCAGTTTAGCTTTATTTGTATCACATGATAATAAGGGCGATCTGGGAGTCTGAGGGCTTTTTGTAGCCGAAAATCATTATGTGGGTTGTACCCTCTCTTTGACTTATTTAGTGTGCGGGTCCTCATGACAAAATAACAGGAAATGCTGTTAAAGATGGACGTCTTTAACAGCATTTCCCGGAGTTAAGAAGTCTGTATGATGCTCTCCTTTTATTTCAAATAAAATAATAAAATCAACATGAAAAAATGTTAAGTATGAAAATAAATCCAAAATATGTTGCAAAAAAATTGAGAGTTAAAATTAACTTTTTTTTCAAGAAGATGTGTCATAGCCCTGCTTCTGGAGACCAACAGCTCTGTAAGGTTTTAACATTTCCACAAAATCAGTGCCTGATCAGCTCAACAACCCTTCATGAGCTGATAAGGTGTGTTGGATCAGGCGATCATTGAATCTGCAGTGTTGTTAATCAAGGGAAATAACTTACCACTGGCAAAAACACAGTAAAGAGTGGAAAATACCACTTAATAATATATAATAATATATAATAATACCACTTAATAATATATATAGAAAATACCATTACTGCATCAGAGTTCAGAAGCAAAAAAGCAATTCCAGAAGCAAAAAATGTATCAACAAGCAGAAAAAAATAAAAGCAACATATTTTAGACAATTTGATTCTTAATATTTTGTTGGTAGATTTTAGTATTTTATTTGAAACCTTTGGCAAAAAAAATTAACTCCATACTCTCCATTTTCGAAAACTGTTAGAATTTTAAAGAATTTTAGACATTTTAAAAGTCGTTTCGTGTATGCCCAGCTTTACTGTGAGTGTCCATTCTTTTCTGACCTGAAACAGCTGAAGCGAGGGTAATTGTAAATCAATGGTTTCATGCACCTGCAAGCACTTTTGACTGTAAGCTTAGTCTGGCTTTGCCCTGTCCTGAAACTCTCTCTGATCCAGGTAAACTGGCACAACAAAGAAAAGTGCTGACCAATGACATCAACTGAGACTGCTCTGTGTGAGCAGTTCCGTCAGGGAGCCTGCATCTGATACAAAAAGTGTCACAGGGTTAGGATATCTGATGGCCAGTAGACAAAGCTTTCCCACAAGACTCTGTGGGTAAGCAGCCAAACGGTGTGATTAGACTGTATAACAGTTTCCTAATGAGACCTACCTCAACTGAATTGAACACACCATCTTTGTCTACTTATTACTAACATTATTATTGCACTGTATTCATATGCCCATCAATTCATAAGAAATTGTGTTTAAGAAATTTAGCTTTGTTTCTTAGACAAAGATTAAAATATGAATGCTTGAGATGGGCTGCCACTTTTTATTCTTAACTATAGCTCTCAACCATAGAACAATACTTCTATGTAGTAAATCACAGTTGATGAGCAAATGGTCCAACTCCAGCACTGTTTAGAGAAAGCCTGAGGAAGCATGCTAGTTATTGCAAGGACTTTGGAAGACACAGGTCCCATACTTTAGTTCCTGTCAACTGCTGAGAAATAAAACGGACAAAATTCATATATGCTGTTTACTTCAGCATGACTCATCAGCTTAGTTCCTGACTCTTCAGTAAAAGTCCCCAGACTCTTCAGACAAAAGTGTTGGTCACTATGTAAAAAACATCGGATCACTGGTATAAAATGAAAAAAAAAAAAATGTCTATCAATTGCTATCATGATATTGTGACAGTTGTCCAGGGCAACTAACACTGGATTCCTTATAACCAGTATATATCCTTATAACCAAGAGTTAATCTGGGCCTGAGCACACTAGAGCAGAGCCCCAGGACCTTTGGTTTATGTGAACGGCAAGTTGAGCTGAGCTCTGCTATAATAGGCATTGATTTTGTCCTGTTGTAATATTACATTTGAAGTCATTTCAAAACACACCTATCACACCAGCAACTAGCCTAGTTTCACAGCCACATAAAACTGAGGTAGTTATTTCAAACATGTATGGCCACTCAATTGTAGTTCAATTAAGCCATTAACATAGACACAGTTGCACTGAAACTAGTGTATCTGTTTTCAGCAATGATATCAAAGCTGAAAACTACTCATAATACAATTTGAACAATGTTGTTTCTACATTGTTGGCACCCAAGAAAGAAGTAGGGTTCCCTCAAATCATAATGCAAGCCCTGTTTACATTTAACATTCAACAGCATAAATATTGTGATAAAGTCAAAGACCACCCTTCAGAATGGCAATTAAATATAAGTTATTCAGGACAATTTGATTGATTTTGAATGCAATTATTGCCAACTACAGATACTGTAACTTAAACTGAGCAGCTACTAAAACTAGACTCATTTAGCTAGCTAGCATTTCACTAGCATACTCTGTTAATAGCTTAGCTATGTTTTATGTGAGCATGTAGTATTTGTGTTGCATACCTGAACATCTCAAGAAGTGAAATTTGCTCTAGGTACACTAGAATCCCACACAAATATACATAAAACACACAATGATACGTAAACATAGCGGGAAGTTAAGTCAGCTGAGAACCACTTACTGCACCCTGTGTAGTCTTGTTGCTTTTTCCCCCCACAGTGTTTCTCATAAAACCCTTCTAAGACTACCAAGGACCTCCTCTCATGCTAGTTATGAACATTACAGGAGCTCATGATGAAACTAAGGCTTGAGGTGATGCCGTATAGCAGCAGTTGTGAAGCAGTGACTTGAGGGCTGAGAAACTAGGGTGGAGCTTGGCAGATTTAGATTGGCCAAAATCCAGTGACTGTGCTTACAGAAAACAATCAAATGTCATTATATTGTATAATATTCAATATAATTGAAATTAAATGGCATAATATTCTATCCCTATTTGTTCAGGTAAGTCTGTAACTGTGGCTACATCCCAGAGTAGGCTACGGCAAATACCACAGGCATTCAGTCGACGTTTTCGGCCTTGCCCTTTATGTGCAGAGATTCCTCTGGATTCCCTGAATGTTTAGATGATATTATGCTCTGTAAAGCATGATGTACATAAAATCCTTGCAAAATCCTCTCTGGCTGAGGAACACTAATTTTAAACTGTTGGATTTTTTGCTGATGCATTTTTGGAGAAATGGTGAGCCTCAACGCTTTCTTACTCATAAAAGATTAGGACTTTCCAAGATGTTTCTTTTATACCCCAGCATAATTGTGTCACCTGTTTTAGATAGTTTTTGAACATTTCAAAAAGTTTCTAGTCTTAAATTGCCCCGTCCCAGCTTTTTTGGAATGTGTTGCAGGCATCAGTAACAGAATGAACGTATAATTACAAAATATAATGGTGATATGATAAGTAGATTTATAAAATCATTGCTTTCTTAGTGATTACCAACATTTTTAGAATTGAATTTTTGTGTGTGTTTATACATATTATAAGTAGACTTTGTAGGTCTCTGACTTTGCACAGTACCATAAGAATTGCAGTCGCCTCTTTTCCACTGCAGGGCCAAATGGCGCTGAGCACAGATGGTAATCATTCCACAGACACAGAATGCTTAAAAATCGGGCTCCACTTGAGGCCACAGAACCGTTCTATGGGATGACGTAACGGCAAAGCTATTTGCTGATTGGTTCTACATTTATGTTGGTATTGTGCCACCACATCCTGCTGTGTGATTTCAAACCTAAAAACAAATTTAAGTTCATAAGTTCAGTTCTCTCACACGGATGCCAAATAAATGAAAGCAGTGCAAGATTTCAAATCCAATTCAATAAACATCAAAGCTTCAATCTAACACCAATTTCTAAATGTAAACCAGTGCTGCTAACAAGCTTACATTAGCTTACTTAGCATTCTGCGAGCTCAGGTCACCACAGAACAGGTTTGATTCTGACTAACAAAAGACTCAACTTTAACACCCCAGTACAGGTACAATTCGTCTAACTGTTGCTCGGCTATCACAAGTATAGACAAGTAAAAACCATATAACAGCGAAAGCAACAGAAGCCATAATCGAACCTGTTCTATAGTCTGCTAAGCTATGCTAACGCGATCATACAGTGCCTCCCACTGCAGTACAGGCTTGATTCCAGCCAACATATGCTTATAAACACCCGTTTAGGGTGCAGGTGCAATCCACTGCAAAACAGGCTCATTTTAAGTAACTGATGCTCAAATAACACCTGTTTAGAGGATAAAGATTCTGAGATCCCGCAGAGAGACTGGTTTTGGAGTCACAGACTGCAACTGGTCTCACGAGTCCCCACCAGCATGGAACAGCACTATATAGCCCTGAGAACCATTCGGCTCGACAGTGGAAAAGAAGGCAATGAAATGACTCCTGGAGGCTTAATCAGCTTTAAAGGCCAATCACTTAACAAAGCAGAGAAAATAAGTAGAAAAGGAATTGCCTCGCAACTTCACAAAAAACAAAAAAAAGCATTTTAGGCTCAACTTTGTTGTATTAAAACCGCACTCCACACCAAATTCAAAAACATGATCTGGTCAATACTTAGACTATTATAAAGCCATCACTGAATCTTTCATGCGATTCAAGCTAGTCTGCTTCACTAACACACTGGTATCATCCCACTCTTAGACCTGTAGTAGAAAGGTCTAGGCTGGGTGAGGGTGGTATTTTGTGTTTGGGTTAAGGTCAAGTGGAACAGGCAAAGCAAGGAGTTGTGAGGTTGAAAGTTATGTTTGAAGGTCTGTACTGAAGAATGAAACAGGGGCAGCCAAGAATATAGACAGTCAGGGTAGGTACAGTCAATGGCCCACAGCGAAGCCACTGCACTATGGACCTTTTTCACATGCACAGCATTATGGGCAATTAATAAGGCCCATTGGCTTTAGGTCCAATTCAAATGGCTTTAAATGCACTAATGCACTTTGCCACTATTTCTGTCTAAAACTGAATCGTCAACATTGAGTACTTTGTGTGATGCTTTAACATCAACTATTTGGACTCTGCAGCAGTAGAACAGTCATAATATAACAATATTCCCAGAAAGCCTTTTCTTAACTATTGTACTGTAGGACTGAATAGAGGTTGACAGCTGCTGCATCTGGTGGAGAGCTTTCTTTACAAACATGAAAAGGGTCCATGCAGAAACAGCAAAGCTTTGGTCCAGCAGTTCTGAGCAAGAAAGCCACACACATACACAGTCACAGCAGCGACAGACTCTCTACACAGCAGTTAGGGAGGGCAAGGGCTGAGAGGTTTCCATGGGAACAAACCTGCGGTAGAGAGGCTGGTCGAGCTGTCTGTCTGGTGGGCGGGACAAACTGAGGAACTTTGATTGGCTGAGTGGCGGCCTGAACCTGTGACAAGACTGCCCATTTACTCAGTGATAAAGAGAGACATACTGAGATAACAATAAACATCTCTACTCATCTCTCTGTTTAAATATGTGCCATGGGACGGGAGCTGGTAAACAAACTCACATGAGAGGACTGGACTGTCTGTGAATTTCTAAAATTCTAAAGAGGTCAACAGAATTTTGAAGTGCTATTCCCCTGAGGTCTAAATGTGATTTAAATGTCTTAACTCCTTGTTTACAAAATACACTTCAGATAGATGAACAGTAGAGAAGAAGAAATATTTGCAGATTAATTTTGCAGTCACATTTTCCAATGTCGAAAGACTCAGATTTTTGTACTCTGAATCCATTGCTATGTAATATGACACATAATGAATTTTCACTTACAACAATAGTGTTTTTGGGAACTATCCGAACAGGTTCTGTTCCCAGATTCACTGGCTTGCTGCACGATTGGAGGCTGATTGGTGAACTCTGAGGGTCTGAGTTTGGAAGGCTGGCGAGGGGCGTGTTGGTGAGAGTGGTAACCATGGCAATTGTGGGTGTTGGCATCATGGCAATGGGTGTGGTGGGCGTGGCAGCTCTCAGCACCAGAGGTAGTGTCTTAGTGGTAATGACTGGGGTCACACTGACTGAATTCTAGAGAGACAGAGAAACAAAGACAGAGAGAAAAAGAGAGAGAAAGAGAGAACAGATTTAAACACATGAAATATACTCTGCTGTAATGCACTTAATGTCTTAATGTATCCTCATATAATTTACATTAAACACACCATATGTCCTGCAGATATTATAACAGTGAGCCAATAAAAAGAAAGCTTTTAGCAGGCTCATGAGCCAATGGTTTTCCTCCATGAAAAGAATGCCTGGGCATAGCATAGGATTTTACGTCCAAACACAGCACTGAGGTCTTCTGCAACTGCTAAATCTGGCATGACTGTCTGATTCTCAAGCATTTATCTATTTTTAATTACTATTCAATTGAAGTAATTAGTTTTTAAAGACTGAAGTCTAAAATTCCTGCAGGATTCACATTTTCAACTTGCATGCTGAATATTCAATGTGAATTTTAGTATTTAGAAAACAAGACTTTTACTTCATGTAGAATTTTAAGACATTATTGTATGCGCCATTATTATGTAACACACTGGTATCATCCCACTCTTAGACCTGTAGTAGAAAGGTCTAGGCTGGGTGAGGGTGGTACTTTGTGTTTGGGTTAAGGTCAAGTGGAACAGGCAAAGCAAGGAGTTGTGAGTAATTCGTTTTTTTGAAGTAATTAGTTTTTAAAGACTGAAGTCTAAAATTCCTGCAGGATTCACATTTTCAACTTGCATGCTGAATATTCAATGTGAATTTTAGTATTTAGAAAACAAGACTTTTACTTCATGTAGAATTTTAAGACATGTAGAATTTTAAGACATTATTGTATGCGCCATTATTATTACCACTGTTATTCTCTATTTTTATAGTTATTGTTGCTATTATTTAATCAGACATTTTTCAGATATTACAAAATGGCAGCATTTTTCCTCAAACTACACACACTTGACTAGACATGAAGTTCATCTTACAGATACTGTCCCTGAAGCTTGTGTACACTTGTTTCACAATTAGCTGGGGCCATATCCAACTAAAAGAGCCGATATGTATACCTCGGATTGCTTGCTCAAGTTTAAGTGAGCAACATAAGAACTGTCCGGAGTGAAAGTATATAGGAAACTAGGCATGGAGTGGCAATAACATACATGATCAGTAGTATAACAACACCTACATTGAAGAAATAGATCTAAAGGACGGCACTTTTTAGAAGGGAGTGGGGGAATGACTACCTGTGGAGCACTGAGGTGAGGTGGAGGAAGACTCTGGCTCTGACTGGAGACCAGGGTGGTAGTCTTCCCTTCAGTCTGCAGGGGGAGCTGCGTCTGCGTCTGGAGCCTGATCTCCGCTGACTCCTGCTTCACCAGCAAATCTCTCCTCAACTGCTCCACCACCTTTTTCTGAGAGGAGAATGCAGTCTCAGCAAACCCATGAATGCACAATGAGCACAGTTCTAAAGAGGTTACAGAGTAGTACTGCCCCCACAGGACTGGAGAAGCTCTACACTAGCAAGGCAGCAGAGCTCTACAGCACAACACTTCAAGTTTCTAATGACACAAACCTAAAAACCTCTAAAACAGACAAGACCAAAGGCCTAACGTGTACGATAAGTAAAGGTCATATTACTGCAGTGTGAACGGCACTTGGACTACACACATCACAACCTTGACACACACTGCAGAACGTCCACCACAACAAGTAACACCAGTTGTAAGCAGGCCCAATGTGGAGCCCTAAAGGGGCCAGTTTCATTCCAGAAATACATCCTTTGTTCTGTCACAAAGATGAACAATGAACTGTATGGAAGCTTCTTAAGCTGTACAATCTACAGCGCTAGCTCCCTGTCAATCATGGCAGAAATTACTGCCCTTTCTCTGGTCAGCCAATAGTAGGGAGTCTGGTAGAGGGTGAAGAACTCCGAGGGGGATATGAAGGAGCAATTAATCTTCTTGTGTGTGTGTCTTGGGGGGGCAATAATCCTCCGCAAGAGACATAAAGTAGTATGAAATATCAAAACAACACTACATTATCAAAGCTTTGAGACATCAATGTCAGCATAGACTCTGATCATGAGACATAAGCACTTCTTATGGGACATGAGACAGCTGAAAGCTCTTTCTGTCTCCCCCTACCCACACAGCAATGGCCTTTGTTTCTACTGCTAGAAATAATAGGGAATCAAGAAGGCACTGATGATGTATTATTACATTATGGTGATTGAAAGTTACAAGAGAACTTACATAACAAAAGAAGCAAGTGCTTATTTTCGACATTTACAGGATGTTTTTTCAAAATGAATTTGCTTAAAATGTGTACACGAATATCATAAATTTGTAGTTCAGTTGACTTTTGGCACTAATTGTGTTTATGTTTTTTAACTATGTGGAAATGATAGTTCAATGCCTATTACTTTTTTCTGTGTGCATTTGCTTGTTTTCTGGTGAACTCTGGTGTAAAAAAGTCTAGTACATAAGATGGCAGATGTACAGACCAGCTGAATTAGACAGCCAGAGAAAAATGTCAGCCAGCATCCTTCTTCCTCTTCAGTTCTCATTACTCTGTATGCTTTAGATAAGAGAGCAATGCAGTGGCACTAAGAGCATCTGAGAGCATTGAGCCAGAGGCAGATGAACAATGCCCTCTCTCAGAAGTGGGCCAGGGATACTCAGTCATCTACACACCTGTAGAATATTTTATAAAGGCAATGACAAGTCACCAAATACCATCTTACTGCAAGCTGAACATTGGATAGACCTTAGATAACCCAGGCACATCTACCTCAAGTATAAATAAGAACAGATAAGTAAGAGATAAGATATGTACAAATAAGTAAAGATGAGTTGGTTACATAGTATATCACCTGTCTAACAAAAAGTCTTGTGCAAAACTTATGCTAAAGAGACAAACATGCAAAAAAGTAGTTCTAGGGGCATTACTAAAATATGATTTAAAGATTAAAGTTAAATGTACTACCTAGCTTCTTTACTCAAAGCCGCATCTGTACAGCTTGGATCCCTAAAATGATAGTACACATTTCTTCTTGCATGTCCACTCAGTAAAAAGAACTGCTCTTTTGTAAAATTAACCCTGAAGTTACACAAGCCTGGATTGTGTTTCCAGAACAAAGACAATTTTCTTATATAACACAAAACACTCTCTGTTCCAAGGGACAGCAAATTTGTTACTGGTGAGGTTTCAGAGTAATACTGTTATTCATGATGCAAGAAAAATGAACTCACATAATGCAAATAGTAATACAGGTTTTTATACAAGTAATACAAGTATTTACAATACCTGAACATTTCAATGCAACAATTTCTTACACTTATACTAAAATATTATCAATCTTACATAGCTTATTGGTTATTTGACATGCTAAACTCAGAAAGCTGTAAGAATTCAAGTGTTTGTATCCTAAATATAGAAAAATCTATGTATTCAGATGCTCTATAAATGTGGTCTCTTGTCTTTGACTCTTGGGCTAATCCTCATGACCCACTGCTGAACTCGGTCACTGAGACAATGTTGGTCCTGCAGGCATTAGTGTAATCTACCGTATCAAATTAACCCTGATTGTGAATGCGCTTGTGTGACTGTGTGAATGATTTACTATGGCACATTGTAAGGAATTTTATTATCGTCTTTATGAGTAGCTGTCTGGCATTCAAATCTTGTCGCAGAGCACTTCCCTAAACAGATTCGTACATGTACACACACACACACACACACACACACACACACACACACACACACACACACACACACACACACACACACACACATTCCACAACAAACAAAATAAATGAGATTATAATCTTTAACAACTTTATCAGTAGAGAGTAGAATTTCTGCCAGGTTTGCAGCATATGTCTGCCATAATTAATCAGTCACAAGCATGCGTGCCCGCACATACACACACACACATTTCACTCTCCCAAGTGATATATTGCTGTGAGAACTCACTGCAGCAGTCTATAACAGACGGTATAGGGGGTCCTGTTCCTGTTGAAGCACATATGTATGCGTTTTCATACTTGGAAACATGTGAGAGCGAGTGAGATTATATGAGGTGCTGTTTAGGCCAGAACACAAGTTTTCCCTTTAATGCATATGACAAAATTATTCAGTTTCCACTTTACCTCACATTAATTAGTTTTGCATCATACATATACCCAAAATGATCTCACAATCGCTACTTTTGCCTTTCAAATACACATGAAATTTCCACAGTGGGTTCAGCTGAGCTAATGTACTCTAAGATGGGTGAAAGATTTCAATCTCAACAACAGCAAAACAGTCAGGACATAGTTTTAATTAACAACATATCAGGTACACCAGAAGCAATATCTTTTCCAATGATAGTATGTACATTATTGAAATGTGCTGTGAGATGTGACGAGAAAGATAATTTCATGAAAAAATGTTCAGGTTGTTTTTTCCCCTGTCATTTTTTTTCCCTTGAATTCCCTGCTATCTAGGTGGTCTGTATCTCAAGATGCTCCTAGAAAGAAACAATGGGGGCTGACACATGCTTTCTCTGCAGCAGGTAATGCTGCCATACCCTTTAAGGTGCTCCTCACATAATTTCAGAATTCGAGAGGTGTTGCCCACTAAGGATAGTCAACAAAAAGGTTGATTTTTTTTAGTTGAATAATGACCCACTGCAAAATAATGCTAATGAATGAATAAAATTGTATAAAAATAGTACTACAGAAGTTAAAACTAAACTTAAATGGAAGCTTTTATTTTACCTTGAGATTGAGAATATTTATATTTTTTTAAGCATAGCCAGCTACACGACAATGCCTCACACATACTTTTTGTAAGTGGCAGGGCTACATCATATTCAACACTATACTCTAAGTAAAATGTCATTAGCAGATTTAACATTCCATTTTCTTGGAATTATCTTTACAAATTTCAAAGTGCACTCACTTTTTGAGGATTTTCCCTCATATCCAATTCTTCCTCTCACATCTCTTTCATAAATTTGAATTTGAAAGAGAAGACAAGTGTGAGAGCTTTTTTGACTTTGTTTAAAGTGGAAAATGTGAACAATTTAAGCATGTCTCTGATGTAAAATATTGTTGTAGGAATTTTGAATTTTGAATACTCCTGGTTAAATTACATGTTTTTGTTGCTTTTGTTTTGAAGTGAGAATAAGTGAATATATCCTAGCACATGAAATATTTTTCTGAAAATTTTAGTGCACACATTCTACTTATTTGTAGAATATTGGAAAAAAATAAAACACAACATAAAACGTGCCATAACTTCTACATAGGCCAAATTTTACGTTTAATGTTAAATTCAGCAAATAAACAATAATTATGCATTAAAATGTTCTGAAGTATTTTCTCTGTAGAGAACATGTCTTTTTTCACTTAGAAAATCAAAACATACTTTGACCTGGGGCACCCAAACTTTTGCATACAACAGTACATTTTTACGTTACATTACACATATTTTTGAACAATGACTTAACAGCACCTTGATATGTTACAGTTTCAATAATGGCGTAATTGGCACCTTGTAATGCATCCACCTTCATGTGTATATATTTGTGTGTGTCTGCATGTCTACTTAGATTATTGCGCAAAAGTTTTAACACCCTATCACTTATTTCCATTCAAAACAGCCTGTGCATCAAAAAAGGCTAAAGGAGATATTTCTGACAAGATTAGATAAGACAATCCATTTACAAAAGAAAGGGGAAAGTCAAAGGAAAATATGTGGAAACAAGTTTCCAAACCTGAAGTTCAAATAATTATTCAAAGATATATAGCAAATGGAACTTGTAACAATGTGCAAAACCTAGTAGATCACCACAAGTCACCAGCAGACAAACAGTACTTAAAGCTTTCATCTTTGAGAGACAAGAGAAAATCAAGCTCCACTCTTGCTTTAGGCGTCAGAAAATCGCAGGTGTTTCTGTCTATGCTTCCACTGCGAGACATCAACTCAATGCTATGGGTCTGAAAGAATGTGTAGCTGTCAAGAATTTGTTACTGAGAAAATAAACTAGACAAAAAAGACGAAAAATTCTACATCAACCAAAGAAGTTGCTGGTCTTCTCTAAACAATGGACTGGCCACCCCAGAACCCAGACATTAACATAACTGAACGTGTTTGGGATACATTCGATTGTGAAAAGCAGTGAAATTTGGAGGTGTCAAAAAATATCCCTGCAGTTTTCTCTGAAAAACTGAAAGCAAGTTTGAAACCCAAAAAGAATGGAAATAGTAAGTGACGGCATGGCTGGGCATGCTAAATACTGAAAAAAATTCAACTGTATTTAGTTGTTGAGGTTTTTTTGTGTAAATTTTAAATGTACTAAAAATGAATAACTTGTACTTTGATGAATGAAAGGGTGGTCTCTGACACTGCTCAGCACAGTATG